TATTTGCCTAGGCTGACCCGATCTCAGCTTCCTAAGTATCTAGGATTATAAGCAAGAGCCACAAGTGCCTGGTGGTATATTTTGTTTCTTAAGCCACGTGACAAACGCACATGATTGCTTTATTATTGGCCTTTTAAGTTGCATGTCATATGATTTTTCCATTTTCCTGCTCAACACTGAATCATGGCAGATTTCAAATACCAGAAAAATTGAATGGGTTGTTCAGTGAATGATAGCCTATTACTTAAATTGTGTGATTAATTTTAATATGCTTTAATGTCACATACATGTCATTTGTATGTGTGGTAGATTTCATAATAAAATTATTTGAAAGACTGAAAGAAAAACCCAAGGCACCTCCATTTTGAGATACAGATTTTTGAGGTAAATAACAGTGGATGTCTAAGGAAATAGAAAAGACTTGAAATGACAAATGTTTCTTCTTTCTGCTGTGTTGAAGAGTCTCAGTATAAGTTATTTATAAAAACTGTAGAATTTTCACACTTATTAATGAACTCTCAGTAAATTTAGAATTGTATTCGTTTTTCTGTTTCTAAAATGGTTTTGGGTAGCACTTGAGTATAGAAGTGTTACATATAAAATAATACACACATTTGTTTGTAAAAAGGAACTATTTTAAGTGGAGGGTATTTTTTTGTCATTTTCCTGTTAGAGAACATGAGTTGTTATCTGTAATTCCATCATCCTGACAATGTTTTTTTTTATTCTGCTGCACAGATACCAGTTGAACAGATGTATTTACACTTTGTATTTTCATCTAATTTAACAGATACTCCTTCCTTTATGTTTGCTGTCTCGCAGTGGTATGGCTGCTTATACTCTATCACTTTTAACCACTTTTCTGATTTTAGGTTCTGCTGTTCCATCCTGGAAGTGTTCTTAGGGTAGCATGTGAATCAGGAGAGCATTAACACCTTGTGGGGCTTGCTGTGTACACACTTTGTGTTTAGCCTAAAGTGCAGCTAGACATATGTGAGTAGTCCTGGCCTTACTGACCTATGCAGCCTTAGCAACCATACGAAGCATGGTTAAAAAAAAGTTTAAACAGTTTCAGGATGAGTTTTGTTATTTGCAACCGGTGTCTGTGCTTATCAGACTGATACGAGTTTTCAGTTTTGCCAGTGTGCTACTTTCTGTCTGTTTCCAGAAGCTTCTGAGATGGGTTTGCTGTGCAGGTACCACATGCAGAACAGCACTGCTGGTGTTTGCAGTCCATCTCGAATTGAGTGTTTCCCTGTGGTTATGGGACCATAGCTCAACTGTTGTGTTTTTATATTATCTTTCATACTGTTCACATTTTTATGCACATAAAAAACATCATAGAGTAGCATCTCAACTTGTTTCAATGTACATGCTTTAATAAAAGGAGGCATAAGAGTTTTTTGCTTGCACTTTCCTCAGTTATTCTTATCCAGGGTTTGATGTAGAAAGACTTCTTTTAGAAGCTTAATGTATGCAAGACAGTAAGTCACTGAATTTCCCTCCACTTACGTACTTACATATGTTCTTTTAAAGTCTTCAGAAAGGTCACTCTCTCCTTCCTTGATCCCTTCTGACAGAGCACCAGTCTTATAAAGGGCACAGTCCAGCCAGGGTACTGTTAATTAATTTAATTATTTGTTTCTTTAAGTTGGGCAGTAGTGTTAATGGTGCTTGGTGCAGTCTGATCAGAAGATTCTGGTTTTTGCATTCCAAATGGAGAAAGCCAAGCAGAGCACGTGGGTGGGGTGAGGAGGATAGCTTTATTGAGAGAAGGGGAGTCACCTGTCCTGCCAGGTAGGGGAAGGAAAACAGGAAAAGAGGGCACAGTGGGTGCAGGTGGAGTCTGCCAGCAGAGACGGCATGCTTTTCTTTTTCAGGTGTCTTTGAAACCTACCCTACCCCATGGGAGGGCAGGCCCAGGAGGTTCCCACCCAATAATGAGTGAGTGGGGAGGGGGGTGGGCAGATTCCAGTCAGGTGCAGGTGGTCTGGCCATCCCCAGGAAACCCATGAACCCCAAACTTTTCCTTCTTCTAGCCTGCCTCAGTAGAAGTTGTCAGCTCCTACTGGTCTGAATGCTGCCTGCAGAAGGAGGCAAGTCCATTCCTCTCTTATGTGGCTGACAGTTCCAGGTTGTGTCTTCTGTGGCTGCACATCTCTCACTTAATCAACTTTTTTTTTTTTTAAGCAGCCCTGGGGTTTGAACTCAGGACCTTGTGCATGCTAAGCAAGTGCTTTACCACTTGAGCCATGTCCCCAGCCCCATCTGTTCTTTTTCATGGTGTAGCTTCTAGGCTTCCTGTAAATAATGATATTACGTCTATGAGTAAACTCTATTTTGGCATTATTTCTCTTAAAAGAGCACCAGATGGGATGTGGTGGTTTACTCTGTAATCCCAGCACTCGAGACAGAGGGCAGAAGGATCTAGAATTCAAGACTAGCCTTGAATACAGATCCTGTCTCAAACTAAAGAAAACCCCAAATAACAATAGCAAAAACAAAACAAAACAAAAAACACCCAGGATGACATTCCTGCCAGAGTGTACCTCCGTGGAGATTCTTTTTCAGCCTTCTGATGGTGGTTTTTAAAAGTGAAGTTTACATTTTAAAGGCAATAGTTATTTTACCAATAATACATTCAGCCTACAGAATAAGATAAAATTAAAGATCATTCTGGAAAACAAGGTATGTCTGTGGTCCGGGGAGTCCTTGCGTTGTTTGCAGAGCAGTTCACAGGGGCAGCCTGTGTGTTCCAGCCCTCTGAGCAGCAGGCTCAGTGCAGCCGCAGTCAGAAGGTAGTGGAGAAGCTTGCCAACCTGTCAGGGTCCCTGAGCGAGCAGAGCTTTCTGATGTAATGGAGCCCAGCTTGTCAGTTTTGCCATATGGGTGTCTAGTCTTCCAGCACCCTTTACTGAAAGGCTTTTGGTTCTCAATCTGATTGCTCTGCCTTTTCAAAATTGGCAGCTTTTGAAAACCATGAGACTGTGTCTGTTGGTCCTTTGGTGGCAGCACACATCCTGGTTTGTTGGAACCAGTCTCATGTCACAGGCTCCTCTGCATCCCTGTGCTGCCACTGAGCACATGCAGTGAGTCTCTCCTTCAGGTGTGTGTTTTCTACTTCTGGAATCTCTGCTTGGTCCTCTTTTAAAATAGTTCCTATTTTTCCATCAAGATTTCCTTTGGCCTTGATTACACTATATTTTTCTTTATATCTTGGGCATACTTATTAAATCCTTGTCTGTTAATTCCAGTATGTGGGCCATCTTGATATTGAAGTCCATTGCTTTCTGAATGTGCCATGTTTCCTTGCTTACTTGCGGTTTTGAATTGAATCTGGACAATTTGGGATGATTTGTACAACCCTGGCCTCTGTTATATTCCTCTGAAGAGGATTGATTGTTTTAATATTCCTAGCTAACTTTTCTTTTTTTGAGACAAGATCTCTGTGTAACCCAGATAGCCTTGAACTTGTGATTCTCCTACCTCAGTTTCCTAAGTGCTGGGATTACAGCACTTAGTAACCATGCCTACCTCTCCTAGCTAGCTATTGAATTGAAACTGCATATTTGGTCTCCTCTGTGTTAGGTGGAACCTGATATCTTGATTTTATATTTTGGCCTCTACTTGTTGTCTGTCTGCTCATGGTGACAAGCCAGCCAGATTCCTAAAGTCAGTTCTAGACAGATCAAGGAGAGGAGTTAGAGCCTCCCCTCTTCAGCACTTCCCTGTCCTCTTTCATCCAGGGAGACTGTGTCCTGATTTGTGCACTTCTGCAGAGTGCAGCCTGGAGATTGCCTCATGCTACACTCCCACTCCTCTGGGAACCTTGCTGGACTCCAGGCTTTCTCCCTCCTGTACTGCCTGCTAGCTTTTCATAATTTTCATATTTTACTTGGCATTTATAGTTACTTGGAATGTGTTTGGTCCGATAGAAAGTACTTGGCCATTTCTGGATACAAAAGCCTTTTATTAATTTGTTTTCTTGGACTGGGGGCATAGCTCAAGTGGTACAGGCTCTTAGTTCAGTCCCTAGTATTGCAAAACAAACAAACAAACACCTTTCTTTTGTTTCTGAATTTCTTTTCTGTTTTTTTTTTTTTTGTGGGGGGTGGTACTGGAGTTTGAACTTAGGACCTTTTGCTTGCTACCACTTGAGCTACTCCACCAGCTCCAAAAACTTTCTTTTGATTACATAAGTGATAAAGTGATATATGTTATTTCTGAGCATTTGGAGAATTTAGAAAAGTGTACATGCGTGAGAGGTAACCACTTGTTAGCATGTTGTGTTTTTAAATCATTCCTTTTTTTCTCGCCCTCCCCCTTTGTCCACCCCCCATGACCATTTCTATTTCCATGGTTTTGCCTTTCCCAAAACATCACATCCAGGTAGTTGGGACTTGTAGCCTATTGAGATTGGCTTCTTCCACTTTGTGATTAGACACTTAACTAACGCACACATTCCACATACCTACTTACCATGTAGAGTACTAACTAAATATACCATTTTGAAGATCCAAGTTGGATTGTTATTAATTGCAGTCCCAGTAGTAAGACAACTAGCCTTTCCTTTTATTACTGAGCTTTCCTGTTGTGAAGTTGGGTCAGATAGTGTGATTGCTTAGGGGAGGGGAGCCAGCTATAGGCTCAGAGCTGAAACTGAGGTTTCCCAGTTTAGCTCTTTTCTTGTCATTTCGTGTCCAAAGCTAGTTAGTTTCCAAAGGACTGTAGGTTTGCCTTGATTTGAAATTCCATTTAAAACAAGAATAATGTATCTTTACAAGTCCCTTTTTCCCTCAGAGGTAAGTTAGAGCCTTAAAGTATATATTATACATAAATATACATTGCAAGTGTATATTTAAAGATCCTGGGTGGATGGCATTTCTCTTATAAAACGGAATGAGGTCAATGTTTGGAGCAATTATGATAGTTTTAGTTCATATTCATTCTTGCAGTGCCTGTGGGTAATCAGAATTTTACTGTGTCTCTTTGTTTTTCAGCAGCAAGCCTTGGCAGGGAGCTTGGTGGCCGGGGCCAGCAGTGCGATGGAGGCCGACCCATTCAAGAGGCAGCAGGCGATGCCGCCCACAGGTATGTCTCGGGCACAGGCTGGTGCGGCCAGCACTGCAGTGGCAGTGTAGCTGCACGTGGTTCTAAGAGCTTACTTTCCAGTGTTAAAGTCAGCTTTATTTATGTGTGTTTATATGCATGAAGTTTTCAGTTGATGACTTACTCTCTGCTTTGATTTTCCATGGACCATCATTTGCTATGATTAAATGTAGCCATCATCCATATACTTTTTGAAGGTTGTTTTTTTTATTAAGTTATTTTTTAAAATGGATTTTCTTCAAATTATAAATATGACGACAAATTTTTATGTGAGAGACTTGGGCAGTTGAGGGTGGCTTAAGGCTGCCTCTGGCTTGTTGCCTGTCTCTTCCCAAGTCACAGTGGGACCCCTATCCATGTTTTGTAGATTCTTAGACATTCTCCTGTGCTTGCACAAGTGTTGTTTACACACGTGTCATTCTGGAAAGGGTGACATGGGTCATACACATGGTGTTAGAGCTTTTCAAAAGATTGACTTAGTGGCCGCCTTTCTGAGCTGTGCACCTGATTCTTCTGGGGGCTTCCTAGCATCCCATCACATGGCTGATTCCTTTTGTAGAAGTCAGATTTTACAAGTGTTTGCTTTTCTCTCCCCATTTCTCTGCTACAGTAGCAGAGGATTGGACATCTACTCTCAGATGTTTCTGCCACATGCCTGTCAGCGTATCCAAAGGAAGTCCCCAAAATGAACTGGCAGGTCAAAGCGCCTGTGCAGTGAGTGGTGGTGGTACTTAACTGCCCCCAGAAGGGCAGGGCAGTTCTGCTTCCATCAGGAGTTTTGCTTCTCTTGCTTTTTTGTTTTGTTTTGTTGATTCTGGGGATGGAACTTAGGTCCTTGTGCTTTTTTTTTAGCACTCTGCCACCTGAGCCACATCCCCAGTCCTTTTGCTTTCAGTTTGCTTTTCATGTAGGGTCTGGAGCTAACTTTACCTAGTCCTGCCTTGAACCTCCATTCTCGTGTCTCCGCCTTCTGCCTAAGCTGGGACTACAGCTAGGTTCCAAGCACACCTGACTTGTTTTTGAGATAGAGTCTCACTAACTTTTGCCTGGGGTGGTCTTGGACTGTAATTGTTTTACCTCTACCTCCCGAGTATCTGAGCTTACAAGTGTGTGCCACACTGTGCCCAGTCTTCGCTCTCTCACATTTTGACATTTTATTTAGTTCAATAAATCTTTTAATCTGGTAATGTAAGGGTAAAAATTATATCTTTTGTTTTGATTTGGGTAGTTTTGATTTTAAATCAGGGTGCACAGTATCTTTCACTATTTGTGAACCATTTGTGAATCTGTGTGTGGCTAGATGTTCATATTCTGCCCATTTTCTTCCTTTGGTTGTTGAGATTTTTCGTATTATTTGTAAGCATTTTCAGAATGTTGAATAAATCAGCCTCTATCTGTCATGTGTTGCAATGTCTCTCAGTTCTTGCTTGTTTTTTGCCTTTTTAGGATGCTCTTTCTTACGTTGGCAAAATTTTAATAAAAGACTATGTTTATCAAGCTTATCCCTATGGCATATAAAGGCTTCCCTGTTCAAAGATTATGAAACACTTACATTTTTTTCTACTACTTCTGTGGTTTTATTTTTACGTGAAATGGCACCTTTCTTGAAAATTATTCTAGAGCAGTCTAAGAGGCCTCGACTTGAAGTGGGTCATCCAGGGGTAGTTTTCCAGCACCCAGGGGCGAATGCAGGAGTCCCTCTGCAGCAGTTAATGCCGACAGTCCAAGGTAAGCCCCAGCACAGAGCCAGCGCTCTCAGCTCGTAGAGGGCATGCACGGAAACCTTGCGGCCAGCCCAGCCCAAGGCTGCGCAGTTGAGTGAGCTCATTTGGGGATGTTTCTCTGAGCCCCAGTCAATACAGGATGAGAAAGCCCTTGGAGACATGTTCTTGCCACTGTGGTGGGAGCCATGCACCTCCTTGCCATTGTGCTTTCCCGCAGTTTTACTCTTGTGTTTTCCTTAATTGCTGCTGTCATGGGGTGCCCTGTGGTTATTTGATGCTTGTTTTGCTTGGTGCTAACTTGCAAAGGTCAGACACCTCTACTTCCTTCTTTGTGTGCTCATCTTGGCGTTAGATCTGATGGGAAGCTAGCTTCTATTTGAATGTGGTGATCCTCTGGATGTCAAGTGAGTGTCCTTGTGACTCACTTGCTGGAAGCTGCTCTGAAGTAAGCGTTCTGGGGGTCTTTCTTATCTTTCAGGAGGGATGCCCCCCACTCCTCAGGCTGCACAGCTCACTGGACAGAAGCAGAGCAGAGCCAGCAGCAGTATGACCCTTCCACAGGACCTCCTGTGCAGAATGCCGCCAGCTTACACACCCCACCACCGCAGTTGCCTGCAAGGCTGCCTCCGGCCAGTGTCCCTGCTGCAGCCCTCCCTTCTGCCCTGCAGTTTTCACAGCAGCCGCAGGTGGTGGAGACTCAAACTCAGCTCCAAATCCCAGTGAAGACTCAGCAGCTGAATGTCTCTGTCCCTGCCCCCCAACCCAGCCAGATCCCTGTTCCTCCTCCACAGCCTGCACAGCCGGCCCTCCATGTTCCAATGCCTGGGAAAGCACAGATACAGGCTTCTCAGCTTCCGTCCCAGACACAGGTACTCTGTGGACATTTTCTGTCTTGTTAGGTGTGGAAGAAGAGGGAAGCAGTCTGCAGAGGCAACATGCCTTCCTCAGAGAAGCTTATCCCCTCATATGACAGTTGGTTCAGTCAGCAGTTGCAGCATATTTGCATTTGGCTCTGTAATAAGTCATTAAAATAATAGAAAACCATTATTACTGTTGCTGTTAGTATGGGAAAGCTCCACGTGTTGAAGCACACTGTGCCAAGGGTGGCCACCCATTGATCTGCCAGTAACTCTCAGGTGGTGACTACTTAACCCATCTTAGAGGCCATGTGACTGGCTTAGGTAACACAATGAGGAAATGACAGTCCAGAGCTTGACCATAGCTCTGTCGAAGGCAAAGCCACATTCCTGCCCAATCACCAGGCTTCCTCCACAGGTGTTACCTTTTCCACTGTTCAGATGCTGCAGACTCTGAACACTTGAAGGCATTACTCATCCGGCCTGGTTTACATCTGGGTATATAAAATACCCCTTCTCTACCAATCATTTCACCTACATGTGTTTTGGGAATGTTTGTAGTGACTGGCTTCAGTTTCTGAAGACCTGTGACATACTGAAGCTTGAGCACTGAGAGCCTAGCGGTGGTAGGAAGGAATTTCAGAGAATTATCAGTGCGTGGTAGAGCCTGCTTGAGAAGTCTGCTTTTCCTCTCCTGTCCCATTAGGCTTTGAGTTCAAGTTCATCGTGATTTATAGCCAAGTCTTAAGTATATAAATAGAGTGCTGGCAACAATCAATAATAGCTATCACTTACCTGTCACCTGTGAAGTGAGTTGTCTGGCACTGTGGTAAGGACTTCATTGGCATTAGTGTACTTTCTCTGTCTAGCAACCCCTTGGAGTAGCCTCTGTTTTCCCATTTTGCTGATAAAAACTCTGAGGCCAGAAAGGCTCACCACCTTGTCATGTCACTCAGCCAGGAATTGGTGGAACTTTGAGTGTGGGCCCACATGGAAGGATCTTGCACTCCACTTTGGGAAAGGGCACTTCTCCCAGGGCACCTGAACTCTGCTGCCTTACTTTATTCAAACTTTATACAGGTGGCTCTTTTTCTCTTGGAATCACGTGCTGGCTTAGAGCTGTGCTGTGGTTTTTCTTAGATTAATTTACCTGCCTTTGTCGTTAGGGGGATCAGTTGTGGAAAATGATTTTCAAGAAGCTCTGTACAAAACCTGTAGTAATGCATTACTTGTGGGTTAGCCAGCTTTCTCCGTAAAGGGCCAGTTTTGCTGCTGAAGGCGCAGCCACAGACCACACATAAGTGAACAGACATGGTTGCATCCTGTGAACTATTTCCTAACAGATGTGCTACCCGTGGTTTCTGGGTCTCTGAGGTAGGGAGATTATTGGAAACACATGTGAGGGTCAATGCTTATTCTTAAGAGGGTCTTCCATGTCTTCTGTACCTTCGTGGTTCTGACTGCCAGGCCAGATTGTCAGTCCATCCCTGGCCCTCCCCTCTCTGTAGCTAGCCTTCTCCCAGCAGAGTTCCTTGGGGAATTTAACTCAGTGTTTTCAGGGTGGTCGGAGGCCCCTTTAGTTTTGTCAGCCTCTGGATAGTACAGGAGGGTTTTCTACCCATAAGGTAGCCTGCCTGTCTGAAGAGCTGCATTTGGTATTTACTCTTCAGAGAAAAGATGCAAAGTGAACACGTGGTATTTTTCTATTACAAAAAAGCTCATGCAGTTAGACTTCTTAAAAAATTAACTTTTAAAATAGAGAAAGAACTGGAAGAAGCAAAAAAGGGAAAAGCTTTCATGAACTCTAAGATAATGTGAGTGCTTTCATTAGGTTCTGTGGAAGTAAGATAGTTTAATATTTGTAGACATCATCTAGTCTGGTTCTTAGTCGTGGTTGTGGTGGGATTTCGTGCTAATGTGTTGCCATGGAGAGGAAAGCATTGAACATGCTGGCCTCTGTCACCTGAGCGCTCTGGTATTTGGGCTCTGTGGACATCTGGAAGCTTTGTCTTGACCCTGCTTCACTTGTCTTCTGCCTGCTAGACGGTGGCATCGAACAGGCCCCCCTTGGACTCTGTCCAGTCCTGCCAGCGGTCTCTGCCCACTTCCTCTTCTTCCTCGTCCCTTGTACCTGTGAGTGGCTCAGGCGCAGGGCCCTCGCCTGCATGGTCCTCACCAGTGAACAGACCGTCCTCAGCCACCAGCAAGGCACTCTCTCCCATCACTTCCCGGTCTCCAGGGGCTGCAGTTCCGGCCCCCCCTAAGCCACAGAGCCCTGCTCAGAATATTACCTCATCCCAGGACAGTCCTCAGGACAAACTGGCAGGACAGATGGCTCTGGTAAGCACAAAATGTATCCCGTCCTTTGGGTTTGCTTTTGCTCTGTTGACACAGGCTTCACCCTGTTGCCCAGGCCGTTCTCTGACTCCTGGGTTCAGTGATCCCATCTTATCCTAGAGAGTGCTGGGACTGCAGGTGCACACCACTGAGCCCAGCATGTATTCTGCTTTGTGATACACAGTTGATTTTTTTTTCTTTTTTTTTTTTTAAAGGATGTACAGGTTTAAAACTTAACACCTGGTTGTATAGATGAAGGAATATGGTTTGTGATCATTAGAAACCAAGACTAAACCACATGGTGTAGCCCATCCTGGGCTGGTTTTCAGTAGCCACAGATTGGGGGTGTTTGTGTAGGGCTGATGCTCAGTGCTAGGCAGGAAGAATCGAGCATGGGACTTGTCAGCTGGCCAGGCCCTGCAGCCCATCCTCAAAATACAGGCACTGTGGGATGACTAAACATTGATCTTGTTGAACTTCTTTGGGAATTTGAAAGAAACACACATGTCATAGCTCAGTGCTTCCCATTGTCTGGCTTTCACACACGATCCATACGTGGCCAGTCTTTGTTGATTCTTTTGTCTTCTCAGTTATTCTGAAGAAAATTCCAAGGATCGTATTGTTTACCTTTTAAATACTTTGGTATAAACATTGGATCTTGTGAGGTTTTTTTTTTTTTTGCAAGTCTTTCCGTTCTTTTTAGTACCTAACCAAGCCTGTTACGTGGTAGGCTTTCAAATTTTGAGGTCTGAATTAATAGAACACACTTAGTAATTATGTGCTGACCCCTTGCCTGCGCCCCATACTATCCCCCTTACAGGAAAACCAGATCCATCAGAGAATAGCAGATTTAAGGAAAGAAGGTCTGTGGTCCCTACGGCGGCTGCCAAAGCTGCAGGAGGCCCCACGCTCCAAGTCTCACTGGGATTACCTGCTGGAGGAGATGCAGTGGATGGCCACAGACTTCGCCCAGGAGCGCAGGTGGAAGTTGGCTGCTGCTAAGAAGGTAGGTTGAAACACAGGCAGCTATGGTGCTGTGCTCTTTGGTGTGGGGATTTACAGTGCTGTTACTGGTGGACAGGCCTGCCTCCTGGACTTAGTCTAAGGGCGTTGACTCATCATGTCTGGAAAAGCATCTTTCTCTTGTAGACAAGGGAACCATGACACTGTGTGAATTCAGGGCTCTAGAATAGACCGTTGGGAATAGGCATGGCCTACCATGCAGTAGTACTGCCTCAGAAATTGGGTTCCTTTTCTTACCAGCTTGCATGACAGTGGGTTTGATGCCTGCAATACTCCAGACCCAGGATGGTGTCCAGGGCTGATCAGGTTGCTGTAGAAGCTAGAGTTAGGAGTGCAGATGTCTGTCAATGAGCATCTGACGCCCCTTCATGCCTGCCCTGGCATATCACTTCCTAGCCATCTGGCCTACCCTTCTCTGGTTCTGGCTGAGAATTTGTTTCCTTCTTTCTTTTCCCATAGCAGACAGTCCTTCAGAGGCTCTCTGGAAGTGTGACTGCTGATTCTAGAAAACAGTCGATAGATTTCTGCAAATTTCAGGCCTTAGAGTGGGACAGAGCCGTCTTTTCATTGTGTGAACAGCTGCGGCCTGCTGCATTGTCTGTATCATGGGCCATTGTCTTCATATCTGGGGCCTAGATGCTCTCTTTACCTTTTCTATACTGCCAGAGTTAGGGTTAATGCTTTGTCCTCTGCCATGTGTATTTCCCTCCTCTGAATTCCCTCTTACTTTCCTCATCAGTGTTAGAAAGGGAAAAGCTGAGCCCGCAGGGGCAGTGAGGTTTGGACAATAAGGAGCCTCAGGTCAGGCCCACAGGCATTACAGAAAAAGCCCACGTTCCTTAGTAATCTTTTCTTACAGAGGAAAGTAGTCCTGGATATGTGGGCATGTGCTAGACAGGATGAGGGATGGGTGTGTGGTAGATGTCAGGTGGGGCCTGGTTGGTGGGGGTCATGTGGACTGAAGAGCAGCACAGATTCCATAGGCTGTAGGGTGAGACCTGAACTGCACCCAGCCCTTCACCTTTCCCGCCTTACTGGTACAGGCAGGGAGATTGCATGGGTATCCCACCTCTGATAATGATGGCATTGATGAAGGAGAGGCCCACCAGAGGATTGGTGGGACCTAGGGCCCTGTGCAGGTGTCCCTGTGGCGACTGAGTGCATTTTTGTCCAGAATGAGGGTGGCAGCCACAATTCCTATGTGCTCAGTGCTCTGAGTGGGTTCTCACCTTCAGTTTCTCCTGCCCCTCTTTGCAGTGTGCTGCTGGCAGGTGCATAGAGTGTCAGCATCTAGAGCTCAGGGTGACAACTCACAGCAGAAGTTTAAAAATGTGACTCACACTGGGTGTGGTAGTACACGCCTGGGATCCCAGCACTTGGTGGGGCGAGGCAGGAGGCTGATGAGTTTGAGGCCAGCCTGGGCTACGTGATGAGACCTTTCTCAGAAGAGAATAAATAGACCAGGCACAGTGATTCACATCTGTAATCCCAGCTATACAGGAAGTGAAGATAGCAAGATCATGGTCTAAGGCTGGTCTTGAGCAAAAACCTTGAGACCCTATCTGAAAACTAAAGCAAAAAGGGTTGGGGGCATGGCTTGAACATGGAGTGCCTGCCAAGCAAGCATGAGGCTTGAGTTCAGTCCCCAGTGCTGCCCCTCTCTCCGGTGTATATACATACAGTGGACTCTCGGTGTCCATGGGTAAGTGGTTCCCAGGTGACCACCGTTGAGGAACAACCATGAATGTTGCAGTCTGAGCAGGCTTCATGTGCTATACTGCAGATGCTTCATTCATTTTTCCTGTAACACTGCCCAGCTTCTGTTAAAGACATGTCCCCTTCTAGCAAATGTAAATTTTCACTTTATCACTTAAACACACTAACTTTTATCGTGCTTTTGGGGCCCTGTTTTCTTTCTGGGAGACAAATTTTCACAAAATTAAGGACCAGGAAATAGCACATCATGATTATTTAAACACAACTGACAATAACACAGGGCTGCTTGAGAGCTTCTCCACATCAGCTAAGCTGTGTAATGTGTGTGTGGGGATTTCACATGTGTGCTTTGAAATTTCTTTACATTGATTGATTTTGACAGTGCTTGTTAAAACTACATGTAATCTGCAAACAAGGCAGCTCACTGTGCAGACAGACGAGTTGTTAAAATGTGGCTGCATTTGTCACTGTGCAGACAAATGTGCGAATTGTTTTAAAAAATGCGAGTCATTCCAGCCCAACAGTTTTCACCCCAGGAGCTCAGTAATGTTCAATGCTTTCATGCAGTGAAACATTCTGTGGCCTGTTAAACATGATGTTGATTTCTGTTTGTTGATTGGGAAGACGTTAACCATGTATGAAATGGGGAAAGAAAATTGTAGAACGGTATAGTCGACCATATATGAGAAGAGTATATTTAGAAAAATAATGCTTTGTAAAAAAGTTGGTGGTGTTTTTGCTTGTACCAGCACTTCTCCTGGTGTACCTGAGAGTGTGGGAGGATATATCTGATAGCATGATATGTGATTTTATTTATTTATTTATTTATTTATTTAGAGACAGGGCCTCGCTGTGTAGCCCAGGCTATCGTGGAACTTGCAGTCCCTCCTGTCTGAGCCCCTGAGTGCTGGAATTCTAGACCACCACTTTGAGATTACCTTAAAAATTTATGTATCCTTTTTCTCATGGCAGGACATAAAGTACAACATAAAATTGTTGAACTTTTTCTCTACTAGCTTGTTAGAACTGTAGCACGTCGTCATGAAGAAAAGAAGCTTCGTGAAGAAAGAGGAAAGAAAGAAGAGCAGAACAGGCTGAGACGCATTGCTGCTTCCACTGCCCGAGAGATAGAATACTTTTGGTCAAATATTGAGCAGGTAGCTTCTGGGTTTAGACCAGTTCTGAGCTGGGAGGCTGCATGCTTCCGGGAAGAACCCCGGCAGCTAGAGCAGTCGTTGTCCTTAGGCAGTGACGCCTTACTTGCTCCTTGCTGTGCTGTTGGTCCATTAGAAGGTGAGGACGAGCCCACTCTTGCCTCCATGTTTCTTTGTGCTCGAAAACACAGGGCCAATGGCACCCACAGCTGAGATGAAAGCTATGGTAAGGGCCCTTGAGGCAGTTCCTCGAGTTGTATGGGCCCCTGAAGGCAGCTCCTTTCTCAGGAAAGCTGCTCCCATGCACACATGCTCTTGTTTTTAAAACTTTTTGTTTTGTTTTTTAAATCTTACCATCTAATAAAATTTGGTAGGATATAATTAGAAAATAAGTGGAAAAGCACCATACTGAACATTTCTTTCTGAAGTAATGTAGATATACGGAACTTGTGTGATTTATATCCTTAATAACCTTGCTTATTTATTTCTTTGTGTTTAGGTTGTAGAAATAAAACTACAAGTGGAATTAGAAGAAAAAAGGAAAAAGGCCTTAAATTTACAGACAGTGTCCAGGAGAGGTATGGTCCTAAAAGACCCTTAGGGAGGGCTGGGAACACAGCTCAGTGGTGGAGCACAAGCCTAGTGTGTGTGAGGCCCTGGTTCACTCCCCAGCACTAAAAAGAAAACTCCAAAAACACCTGAACATTTTCAGCTGGCCGCTGGTGGCTCACACCTGTGATCCCAGAGATCAGGAGAACTGTGGTTCAAAGCCCACCCAGGCAAATAGTTCACAAGACCCTATCTCAAAAAAACCCATCACTCACTCACTCACTCTCTCTCTCTCCCTCTCTCTCACACACACACACACACACACACACACACACACACACACACGCACACACGCCACCCCCCCCACCCCCCCAAAATATCACAAAAAATGGCTGGTGGAGTGGCTCCAGGTGTAGACCGTGAGTTCAAATCCCAGTACCACAGGGAAGGAAAAAAAAAAAAAACTTCACCATTTTCAGGTTATACTTTGTCCAGATTCCCTGTTCATACAACATCGTTACACTGTGGCTTCCTGTGGATTCACAGGACCTCCTGGAAGCATCTGGTCTGCCTGACTTTTGCATTTTTCATCGTGTGGCCAGTCTAGTTGTCGTTTTCCATTTCACCGTCCATTTCTCTCTCTCTTTTTTTTTTCTTTGTCTCATTTTTATCAGCATCTGGTCATTGTACAGGGGATCCGCTGTGATGACTCTGAATAGCTTTATGTTGTCCATTGTTTAGATTGTCGTGTCCCCCCCTCCCCCGCAGATGCCACTCTAGTTTTTTTCTCAGTTCTTTTGCCAGTGTGAGTCAGCACATCCAAGTTGTTCAACTCTGGGATGCTCTCAGAATTGAGGTTCTGGGCTGTACCTGTGGTCCGTCTCTGGAAAGTGGGAGACATAGAGGCATCTGCTGGGTATGGGTTCCTTTGGGATCTGATGGTGTGACCTTTGCATCACTCTTCTTCAGATATTCTTGTGGCAGCTGCCTTCAGTCGTCTGCATCCCAGGCATTTGCACAGGTGGCATTCACTGTCTAGTCCTCAGATATCCTAGGGCCGTGGCGAGGGCATGATGTGTCTTCGTGTTACTGGTGAGGAAGTGGCCCTGCAAGAATGGTAGAACTGTGAGGTGGGACCACCAAGAGGATGCAGATCTTGGATCCCTGCCCTCGCTTGTAGGTGGGCAGCCACTGTGCAGCCGCATGAGTAGAGATGCATTTGCTGAGTTGAAGACCATCCTGTCTCCACGGCTTCATGAAAACTAATTATGTTTCTTGTCTCTAGGAAAAGAGTCAAGACTTAAGGGATTGGAGGCATTTCCAGAACATTTCCTGGTAGGTTCAGGATTGTTACTACTCTCTATCACAAGAATGGAAGCAAAGTGAATAAGATGCAGTGTTCTAATACAGTGGAGCTATTTGTTTTTATCTGGAGAAATTCATAGGTTATAAATATTATTCCCAGATGGAAAAACCCATTAGTCCCTGTTGTAATTAAATCAGTCTGCTTTGAAAGTGAACTGGCATGTCCGAGCTGAAGTTTCACTTGGGTGTGAATTTGGCAGTTTGGAGGATACAGCTGAACACAGTGATTGTGACCTTTACTCATCCTCTCTCTGGTGTGTTTGCATGGATTGTGGCTGAAGACGGCTTAGCCTGTGCCATAGGCTCCTACACTGTCATCTTGGGGCATGTGTTAAATAGACACTTCAGCCTTGGCACCCGTTCTGTGACTTTGAATCTCACATCTGTGATTTCTGTTCTGTATTTCAGGATCCAGGGATATCTGGAAGAAAAAGAAAAGCTAGCACATCTTTGACTGATGACGAAGGTCCGTCCTCATTCCCCTCTTGTGCGGACTTTTTCTTCTCAGGGCTCTTGAAATCACATGTGGAATGTGTACTCTGTGCTGCCACGCCACAAAGCTGTGGTGACTTTAGCCACAGTCTTGTTATTTTAAACTGGTCGGCAAGTCAACCTTGGTATTTACCCAGGCGTCTTCTTGGATGTTTTCTTGAGCAACAAGGCAGTGTCTCCTTTTGTGAGATCTGGAAACCCAGGTACACTGGTACCAGATGCTCAGATGGTGCAGAGCTGAGTCTATTCCTGTCCTCAAGGGATGGCCTTGGTGTGTTGGGGTGGAGCTGCCCATGTGGAATCGGGCATGCTCACAGCTCATCACTCCTAAGGTGGCCAGGCTGTGGCTCTTCAGGAGCAGCTTCTGTGATTTTCGGTGTCAGTACCTGACTCAGAGTGGAACACAGGTGTGACTACCAGGGGCAGGCTATTGGGCAGAGCCTGTGGCCATCACCTCTCACCTGTTTGCAAACCCATGTGATGGTGACAGAAGTCTTTAGGACTGGCCCCTGGCTGTAGGGACTGAGGGAAGAAGCAGGATTAGGTTGTTTGAGGAATTGTCTGACAGGATGCGGTATGTCAGGTTAGGCCTTGTGGTCTCAGTGGCACTGTGGCTTGATTGGCTTGACTGACAAAGTGTGTAAACGTCCAGACTTTGAAAGCTTAATGTTGTGTGTGTTGATTGTTATTTAGAAGTTGATGGAGTTTCACCAGATTATTGGTGTAGTTACTGTCTGTTAGGATTGAGTTCTGCTGCAGAAGACACAAACATACTCCTAATAGGGGCTCAGATGCACTCGGAGCCTGGGATACATACTGCAGTGTTGGCACACATCTTGTCTTCTGTCTGTCTTCAGTCCTAATGCCATCCTGGGATGGAAGGTCTCTGTGGCACAGCCCATCTCCTACAGCTCTGCTATTGTCATTGAAGCTGGCAGAAGGGGCAAGTCAGAGGAAGAAAATGTATGCCTTGGGCCTTCAAGAAAGAAGCAGCCATCCTCCTGGAAGGTCCTAGGGCAGGCTGCTACTTGTCATTGACCCATCTGTTGCTGTTGGGAGGCGGGTGTGTGTGTCTCAGTGCAGGTTGCAGTGGGCTTGGTGACTGAGGAAGGATCGGAGAGCAAATGCTTTTGGTGGCTGTAGTTTTGACCACATTCAGTGGTTTAAAATGATTTCTTCAGATATTTAACTGACTCGGGGGCACCCCTGATGTGGATGGGGGACAGATTAGTTTGGGGGGATTAGAGAGGTTCGGTAGGAACTACCCTGCATGATGTGCAAGGGGTAATGTCTGTTTAAATATTCATTTGTTTATGTATTTTTGCTTGTTTGTTTGGAGACAGGGTCTTAGTATGTAGCCCTGGCTTTCGAAATTGAGAGTCTCTGCCTCCTGAATGCTGGAATTAATACATCAATGCCTATAATGTATGTGCAATCACACCTAGTTTAGCCTTTTTTTTTTTTTTTTTTTTTTGGTGGGGCTGGAGTTTGAACTCAGGGCTTTGTGTCTTGCAAAGCAGTGCTCTGCCACTTGAGACACATTCTCCAGACCTTAGACTTTTTTTTTTTTTTTTTGGACTCTACTGGCGTTTGAACTCAGGGTCTTACACTTGCTAGGCAGGTGCTCTTACCACTTAAACCACTCCACCAGCTCTTTTGTGATGGGTTTTTTCAAGATAGGGTCTTGTGAACTAATTGCCTGGGTCTGGCTTTGAACCTCAATCCTCTTGATCTCTGCTTCCTGAGTAGCTAGAATTACAGCTTACTAATTTTTGAGGGAGATTTTCCACTTTTTTCTTCCTGATATTGTTAGATTTATTTTCTGTTCATCTTTGGATCTTACAAATAACAGTACCATTTGTATCTTTAACCTGTAAAGCTGAGTAGTCACAGGGCTTTCTCCATCTTTACCTTTTATGCTCATGTCCTGTGGAAGATGGGCAGTGGTTTTAAAGAATCACATCAGACCTAGAGCAGTAAGGATTTCAACTGAAATGGAGATCAGAGATAAACATCCATTCTACACTGGAGTGAGTGCTTGCTGTGTGCTTTGCCCCCAGGGCTGGCATTCAGATTCAGCTAATATTTAGCTAATACTGTCCTGCTCTTGTGGTACAGGTGGCTCTCCCAGGCAGGAACCAGAAACAAAGTGGGTGTTGGCTGTCTTGTCTGTAAAATAATCAGCTCATTTTTTCAGAGTGCCTTTCCCAGACCTGCAGTAGCCCTGTCAGAGCTGTGTAGGTTTACCTGTCTCTCATTCTGAGGAGCACATTTGTATATTGGACTAAATACACATTTGTTCATTTTTCACATGTTGTATAAACATGTTTATTTGACTAAATTTTATTTAAGTCCTAAAGATGCCTTGGCATTCTGAGATAAGCCAAATTCACCACTTTATATTCACTTTATTCTTGGAGACGGCCTTGTGATTATATAGCCCAGGGTGGCCTTGATCTGGTGATCCTCCTGGCTCTACCTCCAGAGTACTGGAACTACAGGCATGTGCCTAGCCATTCTTCTCCTTTTTTTCCCTTTTAAGCTGTCTTCTGTGGCAGCTGAGGAGTGGTGGTATGAATTTCCAAGAGGAAGGGCTGCCTGGTTCTGTGAGGTGCCACGAGGCTGTTGTTTATAGTCAGAACTGGATGTATCCAGGGGTCTAGGGACTTCTGTGTTGTGGCCTCTGCCTTGGCAACCTTGGTGGTTGGTGGAGGTTTTGTAGTCAAGGACTGAAGAGTTTAACTGTGATCTGGGGGAAAAGGGTTGAATTGTTTACGTGTGTACTTTGTTATAAGGGAAGAGGCAGAATTATATGTCAGTGTTGACTGGAAGGAGCCAGCTGAGAGGACTGCTGCTGAGGGAGGCAGGCTACAGCTTAGCTGGCCAGGCTGCCTGTGGGGAGATGGCCTGTTGGCAGAGGGAGTTTTGCTTCTGTGATGCTGGTGGGTTCTCTTCTGCCTAGAGCCCAGACCCTTGTTGTGCAAGAGGTGCAGGGTTTAGGGTTGATTCTGTAGAGAGTGGGCATGACTGAGCTGGCTGCTGTAGAGTGTAGGAGAGCTTCAGAGGGCGCACACTGGGCTACAGCCCTTCTCTTTGAGATGGGTGGTGAGGTGTTTATGGGGTCCCAGGCAGCATGCTTGTGGACTTTTCTGCCGTGGGCCCTGCAGTAGATGGGAAGTTTAACAGCACTCTGTGTGTTAGCCTAACTAAAGTCTGTCATGTATTGAAAACCCAGCGTTGTCATCCAGTCTGAAGTGGAAAGGAAAATAAGTTCCCCGTTTGCTGCTCAGTTAACACACCATCATTTCCAAGTTTAACCCGAGCAAGTGTTCAGCTCAGTTTCTTTAATAGCTATTCAAAACGGCTTTGAAGCTTGATAGTGTTTAGGAACTTTGAGATGTTCAAGTGGAGTCTTGTTTGCTCCTGACCTCTGATAACCATTTCAGTGGAAGATGAAGAGGAGACCATTGAAGAGGAGGAAGCACATGAAGGGCTTGTAGACCACCACACAGAACTTTCTAACTTGGCCAAAGAAGGTAGGCTTTCATTATTGTGTTGAAAATTGCTTTTGTTTTTTGTTTTGGTGGTACTGGGGTTTGAACTCATGGCTTCACGCTTGCTAGGCAGGTGCTCTGCCTTTTGAGCCATTCTGTCAGCCCACATTGAAGATTGCTTTTTGTTAAACATTAAATAGGTACACGAGAACATTTAAAAGATACATGTCAGATATAAATGATAGCACTTGGTTGAGCACCACTGTAGCTAGCAGTGCTGCCTGAAGAAAAACAGTACTCTGGGTCCTCCCTGCTGCACAGCCTCCTCTGTCATGGAGGTCATGACCATCCTGGACCTTGTGCTGCTCACATTCTTGAGTCTTCTTGCTACCTACTCGTGTCTCCTTAGTGTTCTGTTCTGCTTACTTCAGCACTGTCAGAGTGGGATTGTGTGGCAGGTGACTCTCCTGGTGCTCAGTGTCTGCTCTGGAGGTTCATCCAGGTGGTGGGTGTTGCTGTAAGCACATGAATTTCACTGTCACAAGTGCTCCACCTGTAAGCATGTCACAAGCACTGTGGGCAGGGCTCAGTTCCAGCCTTGCTGCTGTGGGTGCTCTTTTGCTCTGGGTGTGCGTGCAGGTGTGCAGCAGGCTGGTGAGGCACGCTCAGCCTGCAGAACCGTGACTTGCATGGAACCGCGTGTGGTGTCCACCTTGGAGGTTTCTGCCAAGGTGCTGGTGAGAATAGTGTCTCCTGGTAGTTCACAGCCTTTTCTCTTGACAGCTATCGAGGGAGAACATCTTTTCAGGTGCTTCCTCCTCCGTCTTTGGCCCATTTTGGTGTTGGGTTTTCTTTTCCTTATTGGCCTACTGTGTTCTTTCTATGTTGCAGACACAGTTTCTTTGTCAGTCATGTGTTCTGTTGACCATTCCCCAGTTTGTATTGTCTTTTCATTCTCTCTATTGTAACTTTTGATGAAAGATGGTATTAATTTCAATGTGCGTGAACGTGTGTTTTTTTTTTTTTGGTGCTAGAGATTGAACCAGGACCTCAAGCATGCTCACTACCGAGCTCCTCAGTCTTTGCACACTGTGGTTGTTTTGTTTGCTTGTTTGTTTTGAGACTGTGTAGCCCAGGCTGGCCTTGCACTTGTGATTCTTCTGCCTCAATCTCCCAAGTGCTGCTATTACAGGCATGTGCCACCATGCCTGCCTTTCTGTTAGTGTTTTCTAAAACAATTCCTGTACTACCCCTTTTCTTGGTGGGGAAGAGTATTTGATTCCACTTCCTGTTATATAGGGAGGCAGAAGAGCCTCTGGCCCCCTTGGTGTCACATCCCTGTGCTGGTGGCTTCTTGTACTTGGATGTAGCATTTGTTATTTTGACTTTACAGGTTTATTTTGAGGTATTTGGGTTAGAACTCAGGACTTTGCACCCTTGCTAGGCAGGTGCTCAGCTGCTTGAGCCGTTCCGCCAGCCCTATAGTCTTTTGATGGACATGTGGAAAAGCTTAACTATCACAAGTGTATGTCCAGTTAAAGTGCCTTTCCATTTTAAGTAATGGTGTGGCACTTTGAATGTGAATCTGGGTCCAAGTTGCCCATTGTTCTCTGGAAGTCACTAAAGTGGGAAATTAATAGGCATTAAGCTCTCCATATGATTTTTAGAAAAATCAAGCTAGTTCATTCTTTGACCCACCCAGTTTGACAGTGTCTGTTCTGAATTCTTTTTGATACTATGAGTTTAAGATGGCTGATCATTTGCTAGAGGACAGTTTGTGCACTTCTGATTTCTAGAGATATCCAATTAAAATACTTTATGAGGGTGGGCATCAGTGGCTCATGCCTATAATCCCAGCTACTCAGGAGGCAGAGATCAGGAGAATCATGGTTTGAAGCCAGCCCAGGTAAATAGTTCAAGAGACCCTGTCTCGAAAAACTCTTCACAAAATAGGGCTGGTAGAGTGGCTTAAGGTGAAAACCCTGAGTTCAAGCTCCAGTACTGCAAAAAAAAAAAAAAAAACTTTATAAATCCCCTGTCCTGTTTTTTGCATGGAATTTTTTCCAATTCTTTGCTCGTAGTGGTTTGAGATTTTAGTGTGAAATTTTTTGTTTGTTTGTCGATACTAGGGTTTGAATTCAGGGAGCGTCATGCTTGCTAGGCAGGCATTCTACTGCCTGAGCAACTCTACCAGCCCAGTGTGGGATTTATTTTAAGCAGTTAGGGTGTTTTATACGAAAAAAAAAAAAATCTTAGAATCTTCTTTTTTTTTTTGTTTTTTGGAGGGGGTGTATTTTTTTTTTTTTTTTTGAACTAGCATCTCTCTGTGTAGTCCAGGATGACCTTGAACTCACAACCCTCTTGCCTTCATCTCCCAAGTGATAGGATTATAGGTGTGTACCACCATGCCCAGCTTAAAGAACTTAAAACCTTTTACCATATTTTAAAAATATTTTTTGCTTCTTTATTTTTAACTAAAATTTTGTATTTTTCTGTATTATAATCATGAGTTATTTCTAACAGTGGCATTCGTTTTCTTTTTTTGGTACTGGGGGGTTAAGTTGTACCCCTAGCACCCCAGCAGGGCCTTCATTTTTCACACACACACACCACACACACACACACACACACACACACACACACACGTTTTTGGTTTTTTTTTGTGGTTGTGGGATTTGAATTTAGGGCTTCATGGTTGTGAGGCAGGCGTTCTAATGCTTGAGCCGTGCCTCCAGCCGTCATTTTTTATGTCATTTCCAGATGTGACTGGCCTCGTGCTTGCTCAGCGGGTGCTTTATCACTTGAGTCACTCCTCCAACTTTCTTCTCTTTCTTTAATGAATGAAAATTGAGTTTGACATTTCATTTCAAAGATGTGTGCTACCATGCCTGGCTCATCTTACTTCATAAAGGAAATATTTATACCTTGTATCTGTTATGGGCAGCCATGTTAATCTTGGGAGAAAATAGATGTGCTTTTAGATGTTGCAAATTGAACATCCCCCATCTGAAAATCCAGAGTCCGAAATGCTTCAAAATCCAAAACCTTTTGAGCATCAAGAAAAAATGCTCAAAAAGATTGAGACTTGGGACCAGACATTGTGACTCACAACTATAATCTCAGGCTATCTGAAAAATAAACTAAAGCAAGTGGTAGAACGCAAGGCCCTGAATTTAAACCCCCATACTGCCAAAAAAACCAAACAAACAAAAAATGCAAAACTTAAGATTTTGGAGCCTTTTGGATTTCAGATTTTCTGTTTAGGTATGCCCAGCTGATAAACTATGGAAATGTCCCAAAATTTGAAATACTCAGAATTTATTATTCCTATGGTTTCAGGCATTTTGGATAAGATACTTGTATAAATGGTTTCTGAGGACCCATCTAAAGTGACTGGCCACCCTTTATTCTTCTTGCTATGGTTTCTCTTGCTGCTTTCTCTTTGTACTTAACTGACAATTGTCATAAAATAATGGTGTTTCTTCCTGCAATCCTTTCCAGCTGAATTGCCCTTAATTGATTTGATGAAGTTGTACGAAGGCGCCTTTCTACCAAGTTTTCAGTGGCCACAGCCAGAGCCTGACCATGGAGAGTCAAGTGGAGAAGAAGGTTTGTTTCCAGCATTGCAAAGAATTTAGGTGTAGGCCAGGTACCAGTGCTCACGCCTGTCATCCCAGCTACTCAGGAGACAGAGATCAGGAGGATCGCAGTTCAAAGCCAGCCCTGGCATGTAATAGTTCAAGGACCCTATCTCAAAAAACCCATCACAAAAAAAGGGCTTGGTGAAGTGACTCTAGTGGTAGAGTGCCTGCCTAGCAAGCGTGAGGCCCTGAGTTCAAATCCCAGTGCTGCCAAAAAAAAAAAAAAAAAAAAAAGAATTCAGGCTTGTAAATGAAAGCCAAAATAGGCACAAATAAAGGCTTAAAATAAGATTTTAAAAAATTGTTTTAGTTTTATGAAGGAAAGAATTGGCGAGATATTAATATGTGATTGTGTGTGAGTGTGAGTGGTGGGCATGTGTGAGTGAGTGTGTGTGGTGTGCATGTGTGTGTATGTGGTGTGTGAGTGAGTGCGTGTGGTGTCTGGTGTGTGTATGTGGTGTGAGTATGTGTGTGGGGTCTGTGTGTGTGTGTGTGTGTGTGTGTGTGTGTGTGTGTGTGTGTGTATCTGTGTGGTGCTGGGGTTTGCACTCAGGGCCGTGCTTGCTGCTTGCTAGGCAGGAGCTTCACCACTTGACCCAGGCCCCAAGCCCTCCTTGCTTTTGATGCTTTTCTAATTAGGGGCCAGCCTCTACCCATACCCTCTGTGTCTCTGGGGTCACAGGCGCACACCCCCCGCCCAGCTCAAAGGTTAAGATGGAGGTCTTACTAACTCTTTTGCTTGGCCTGGCTTCAAACTGTGATCCTCTTGAGCACCACCTCTTCAGTAGCTGGGATTATATGTGTGAGCAACTGTGTCCACTGTCATTTTTTTCAATCAGATAAGCTTTATTTAAATTCTGTGCTGTTATTGTTACATTTATTGGAGCTCGGGTGAAGGATGTGAAAGTGTTTTCCTCTGCATGTGTAGGAGCTGTTGATTTTTATCGTATAATTTCTAGGCTGTGCTGTGTTTAGCATATATGTTTTGAGTAGTTGTCTTGAGTTTTATTAGGCATTCTGGACAGATACGTAGAATACACAAAAATGTCTACTTTTCCTTTTGCTTGCTCTGATTATCAGACACAAGGGCATGTGAGCAGGGGTGGGACCGTGAAGAAGCGGCCGGGACAGGTACTGAAGTGTCTCCATGGAGTTGGGTCCTTCAGGATCCTGGGCTCACAAGGACTGGGGGTGTGGCAGAGATGGGTCTCCCCTTGTTTGCAGACTTGGGAGGGTAATAGTGGAGGGGAAATCCCTGCAGCACACTGTCCATGACACCAACTCCATCTGACAGACCTAGATGTGGGCAAGAGGCTCTGAGATGTAGGCAGGTGGCTCTGAGAGCTTCCCAGGCTGCTCTTGAGTGGGGCATTCATGAGACTCCTGCTCACTGTCCAGGGCTAGTATAGATGTACAAAGTGATTGCAAGGAGAAAGCCAGTGCTTCATTAGGTATTGGAAGTATTCTTACTTCCTATTTGTTCTCTTCCTTTTTTTTTTTTTCAATATTGAGTCTTACAAAACTCACTTCCATCTGTTCTACTGTTGCTCTAGATGCAGAAGACTGTCCCAATGACCGGGAGAGCCGGAAGAGCTCAGTTCTTATAGACTCACTCTTCATCATGGATCAGTTTAAAGCCACAGAGAGAGTGAACATCGGGAAGCCCAACACCAAGGACATCGCAGAAGTCACGGCTGTGGCTGAAGCTGTCCTGCCTAAGGGCAGTGCCCGGGTCACCACTGCGGTGAGGCATGGGGTCATTGTGTGCAAGTTGTAAGGAAACCTCCTCCTACTTCCCAACAGGCTCTTTGTTACAACTGTAGAAGTGTCCAGAAACTTCCTTCTGTTTTCCGTAGACCATTTGTGATGGCCAGTAGGCGTATAATTTGACTTTTGACTTCAGCTTTGAGAAAAGAGTTTTGCCCGTTATTTTGACAAGCAGTCATTGTTTGGCTGGTCTGTTGCTGCAGGTGAAGTTTAATGCTCCGTCTCTATTGTATGGCGCCCTCCGTGATTATCAGAAGATTGGCCTGGACTGGCTGGCCAAGCTCTATAGGAAAAGTCTCAATGGCATATTGGCAGATGAAGCAGGACTTGGCAAAACAGTGCAGATCATTGCTTTTTTTGCCCACCTTGCTTGTAATGAAGGTAAGAGTCTTATTTTTTGAACAGTACAGAGACTTAATAGGTGATAAAATCTCTGAAGTGAGGACCTCTCACTTAGCCTTCTTTTTTTTTTTTTTTTTTTTTTTTTTTTGTGGGACTGGGGTTTGATCTCAGGGCTTCATGCTTGCAAAGCAGGCGCTTTACCACTTGAGCCATACCTCCAGCCCCTCACTTTAGCCTTCTTACACTCTTCTTTGCGCCTCCTGTCCTTTGATCTGAGCCAGCATTTGGCTTAGAAATACTCTCTGCACACACTTGTAGTCCCAGCACTCTGTAAGCTTCACTGAAGTCTAGGAATTTGAGACTAGCCTGAGAAACATAGTAAAACCCTGTCTCAAAAAAAAAAAAGTTGCACAAACAGGTAAAAAGTTCATTTGTAGTTAGAGTGACTTAGTATTATTCAGAATGTAGTGTACAGTACAAAGACCAGCAAGTCTGTAACTAAACTTTGTGATTGAGATGTCACCCATAGCCTATGGGCAGCAGAGCAGGTGGCATGGCCTCCAGTATTAGTTGGGAGCCCTTGATGGTACCCATTCTAGCTCCCATATCTCTGTGCTGCCACGTATATGCTTCTCTTGCCTCCTTTTCTGCTGAGCTTGCCTCTGAGCAGCATTTTTTTGTTGTTTTTTTGGTGGTACTGGGGGGTTTGAATTCAGGACTTTGCACTTGCTAGCCAGGTACTGTACCGCTTGAGCTGCAACTCAGTCTTCTGAGCAGCATTTCTGATGTGCAGTAGTCTGGCTGCTCCATGGGGCTCAGCTGCCCTGCAGTCTGTGCCTTTTTGACTCTTTCTACTGATACTTGCAGGCGCACTGGCCTCCCGTCGGATCTGTAGGATCAGTTCCCCGTCCTCTCCCCTGCTGCTTTGGCCTTTGGGTCAGCCCTTGAACGTTCTGTGCTCTGTACCTCTGGGGCTGGTTGCTGTTTGAGCTGGCTGCAGAGGAGTGCAACTGTCTGACCCAGTACTCTGTCTCACTTTTTTCTTCTTGCAGAAGTTTTCCTCAGTTCCAGAAGCAGATTACCTAGGCCCCTGTAATGGTGCCAGGAAAATTGGAGGTGTCTTGTCCTCCTGCACTGAGTGTCAAAGGCAGGGATGGACACTGAGTCAGGAGGGCTGATGTAGGACAGTGATGTCAGCTGGGAGTTGAGAGTTCAAGGGATAGGGTGGGTCCTAGGTGGCCACCAGTCCTTCACTTTGGGAGCAGTTTCTTCTGAACTCCTTCCTTCTGCAGTGCCACAGTCTTCCATTCATGTTACTGAATAGTTCTTCACCCATATCAACCTCATAATCAGTTCTTAAATACATACAAGTAGATCAGCTTCTGGGCTCCGTGCTTTCTTCCATTGATTTCTTTTTGTTTCTGACCCAGTATCACAAACTTTTAAATGCATACCTTAACACAAGTCATACATATAGTTATGTCAAGATGGAAAAGCACCTTGCCTTACTTACTAGTTTGTTATTTAAGTGAAAAAAGTGTCAGCATACTTTACTACATTTGTAATAACAGTGTTCGTCTTATCTACACGGGGTGTGCTCTAAGACTCCAGTGGATGCCTAAAACCTGCATAATACCAAACTCAGTGTATATTGTGTTTTTTGCTAAGTTGACAACTTTCACTTTTTTGCTTAAAGAAGCACTTAGTGGCTTCTATTCAGCGTATCTCAATTGCCATCATTGCTGCTCTTGTGTTTAATTGAGTAAAATAGGGTCACTTGAGCATAAGCACTGCAGCAGCATAACAGTGGCTCTGCCAGCCCTGATAACAGGCAGGTAGTGTACCCTGTGTGCAGATGCTGCATAAAGGCACAGTGTGCATCCCGGGGATTTCATCATGGTGCTCAGAATGGTGTGCAAGTTAATGCTTATGAATTGTTAATTTCTCAAGTTTCTCATTTCATGTTTTTAGACCACGGTTGACTGGTAACTGAAACCTTGGGTAATGGGCAACTACTCTAGTTAACACTGGAAGTACTCTAGACTTCTAAAATATGGGACTTTATCTCACTAACTGGAGGAATGAATTTGTTGAGTTAGTCACTCATCCTCATTCCCTTATCTGATGGCAGCCAGGCCAGGCAGATTTTAGTCCCTGAGGATGTCCACTTGCCTAGGAGGAAAGACCTGCGGGAGGAGCCTCAGGGCAACGGGGGCAGTGGGTGTAGGAGCTGCAGTACAGCTTACATGTCCAGAGCAGGTTGAGGCCATATGAGGGCTTGAAAGTGCAAGAACAGTCAGAAGTGTGAAGGGAAAGCCCTGCAGTCTCATGCAGTGTGGCTCTGCCTCAGTGACAGGCCTGTGTGGTGAGGGCTCAGTCTACTCTGCTGGTGTCCACAGAGGGCCAGAGAGGATATGGCTCCATCAGGAGTCTGGTGAACAATGTGGCTGCTGGGCCTAGAGGGTGCATGTCTGGAAATGCCGGGAAGGATTCTGTGGCTGGATTTACCTGACCTGCTCTGGAGAGGGATTTGTCCACACTGCACTATGGTCTCCCATCCCTCTGGCTAGGTTGGTGTTTCTGGGTAACTAGAAAACCTCAGGCTTATAGTTCTCCCAAGAGCAGTGTTGATGAACTATAGAAACGATCCCTGGAATTAGAGTCTTACAAGTGTTTATTATTTGGATTTTAGTTAGGAAATGCTGATAAACTTACACAAGAGGAAAAGTACTCATGAACTGTACACTGGGTGCCCTCTTTTTTCTTTTTAAGGGAGAAAAAAGTCTCTCTTGTCTCCTTGGTGGTGACCACGGGTTAGCCTAGTGTGTGTCCTGCCCAGTTTCCTCAGTGTCATTGACACTTACATGACCACTTTTCATCTCCAAGGGCGGACTCATGGGCTACATACGAGATTTTCAGTTCTGTTTGTCATTTTGGGGAGAATGGAGTCTGGATTTGATTTGTGTTTCCTTGTAAGTTGATGTGTGGGTCCGGGGATGTGGCTCTGTGGTAGGGTAGGTATATGTAGCATGGGAGAGGTCCTGAGTTTGATCCCTAGCACTGCAAAAATAAAACAGTTTATTATCCTCTGGTGGGGGTGTGTGTGTGTGTGTGAAATTTCTGTTCATACCCTTGGTTCTTTTTCTTTTGAGTGGTTGTTTTTATAGGATCTGTAGCAGTGCTTTGTAGATGTGGGAAATGCAGGTATTATTTGAAGTCAGTCCTTTCTGTCATTAACTTGATTTGCATTTCATTATGGTATAGAAGTTGAAATTTTCTGTGTCTGTTATTTTCATTAATTTTTAAAATTCTGTTTTTCAGACTAAGCTAAATCACTGGGTGGGTTGGGTGTGCTCTGTCTAGAGGCTGGGGTCAGCCAGGACTAGAAGCCCTCACCCTGGGAAAGGACTGGAGAAAGGCTTCAGGCCACTGAAGTCCTGTGCCAGTAGCTTTCTTGTTTGTAAGAATTCTTCCCAAAGCCCATAGTAGAGGTTCACCATGGCTTAGAGTAAGTCCTGATTGTGTTTGTGACTATTCTTTCCACAGTGGGGAGGGCCTGTCCCCCTGCAGTGCAGTGGGGCCAGCTCTGGGTAGTGTGATGGTGCTAGAGTGCAGCGTGTTCCCTTGGCCTCTGTTGCTTTTCCTTGTGGGCCACCTGCTTCCTACCTTCTCCCATCAGATACGGTGCCAGGTGCTTGGACTTGACAGATGATGTGAAGTGGAAAATTCCTTGTCTTTTCTTTTGCAGGTAATTGGGGCCCCCATCTTGTTGTTGTCAGAAGCTGTAACATACTCAAATGGGAACTGGAGTTGAAACGGTGGTGTCCTGGACTCAAAACCCTCTCCTATGTTGGCAGCCACAGAGAACTCAAAGCAAAGAGACAGGTAACTCTGTGCGTGCGCGCGCGCGTGCGTGTGTGTGTGCGCGTGTGCGTGCGTGTGCGCGTGCGTGTGTGCGTGTGCGCGTGCGTTTGCGCGTGTGTGCGTGTGTGTGCGTGTGTGCGCGTGTGTGTGCGTGTGTGTGTGTGTGCGTGCGCGTGCGTGCGTGTGCGCGCGTGTGTGTGCGCGTGTGTGCGCGTGTGTGCGCGCGCGGGTGTGCGCGCGTGTGTGTGCGCGTGTGTGTGCGCGTGTGTGTGCGCGTGTGTGTGTGCGCGTGTGTGTGTGTGCGCGTGTGTGTGTGCGCGTGTGTGCGTGTGCGTGTGCGTGCGTGTGTGCGTGTGCGCGTGTGTGTGCGTGTGTGTGTGTGCGCGTGTGTGCGTGTGCGTGTGTGTGCGTGTGTGTGTGCGTGCGCGTGCGTGCGCGTGCGTGTGTGTGCGCGCGTGTGTGTGCGCGTGTGTGCGTGTGTGTGCGTGCGCGGGTGTGCGTGCGCGGGTGTGTGCGTGTGTGTGCGCGTGTGTGTGTGCGCGTGTGTGTGTGCGCGCGTGTGTGTGCGCGTGTGTGCGCGCGTGTGTGCGTGCGCGTGTGTGCGCGTGTGTGCGTGCGCGTGTGTGTGTGCGCGTGTGTGCGCGTGTGTGCGCGCGCGTGTGTGCGCGTGTGTGCGCGCGCGTGTGTGTGTGTGTGCGCGTGTGTGTGTGCGCGTGTGTGTGCGCGCGTGTGTGTGCGCGTGTGTGCGCGTGTGCGCGTGTGTGCGTGCGCGTGTGCGCGCGCTGCTGGAAATGAACCCAGGGTCTCACTCATTTTAAGCAAGTACTGTGCTACTGAGCTCTAGCCGGGTGTATTTTAAACATGAAACAAAACTAAACGGCAAATCATCTTAATCTTTGTTGTTGTTATTATTTTTGATACAAGATCTTGCCATGTAACATAACCCAGACTGGCTTGGAACTTTCGATTTTCTTGCCTCAGCCTTCTGAGTGCTGGACTCACAAGCTTGTGCCATGATTCCTGGCCCCGTCTTAATTTTTACAGGTGAAAAATTTCAGTTTGAAGACAAGCTTATTAATGTAATTACTACATACGGATCACCAATTTGTGAACTGTCAAACCCATAACTGGTTCTAGAACTGAGCCCCTTGAGAGCATAAAGATCACAGGTGACTCAGTTGTTCCTTGGGAGGTAGCTGCTGGTACATGGGGCTCTGTCTCCCATCCCAGGGACTGTGGTGTTCCCTAGAACTGAGGTGCTCACTGGAGACACATTTGAAGAATTTAATTGATCTGTGACTGTGCTGCAGTGGTAGAGGACATGTCTAGCATGAGAGAGGGCCTGGGTTTGATCCCCAGCACCACAAAAATAAATGAATAAAAATAAAGAGTTTATGTTTTTCTGCCTCAAGATCCTACTGATTTCCACAAGTGTAATGGAGTGGTTGCGAGGCCTCTTAAACTCTGACTTATAAATCCATATTATAAATCCATAATATAAATTCTGTGGGTTGTTCACAGGAATATTTGTGACTGATAGATATTTCCTTTTGTCCTCTAGCACTTCCTAGTGCTAGGCCATAAGTGGCTGTGTATTGGTCAAGAGTTTTTCATCACACAAAGATTTGACTTACATAAGATGGTTTTATGTTGAATAGTGTTTACTGGACAAGTGAGTGCCTGGAAATGTATTTTCTTTTTTTCTGTTTCTTAGTCTTTTTCTCCTGCTGTAAAAGAATGCCACAGGGCAGACAAGTCATTTATTTATTTATTTATTTGTTTGTTTGTTTATTTATTTATGGCAGTACTGAGATTTGTACTCAGGGCCTTGTATTGCTAGGCAGACATTTTACCACTTGAGCCACACCCCCAGCCCTTTCTGCTTCAGTTTTTTTTTTTTTCTTTTCAGATAGGGTCTCATATTTTTTGAGCAGAGCTGTTCTAGAACCGTGATCTTCTTCTCTGTGCCTCCCACAGAGCTGGGGTTTCAGGTGCACACCACCACATGTGGTTTGTTAGCAAGGTGCGCCACCATGTCTGGCTGAGTAGAAGTTTATTCTCACAGTGCTGGAGGCCGGGCACTCAGCACCAAGGTACTGGCAAGTTTGGTGTTTGGCAAGGCCTGGTTTTGTTCCCAAGGGGACTCCTTGCTGCATCCTCACATAGTGGAAGAGAAAGGGGCCTCAGCTGGTTCCCTACAGCCCTTTAATTCATTTGTGAGGGCAGAGAAGACCCTACCTCTTAATACCACCTCAATGGGGATTCAGTTTTTCAACATGAATTTGGAAGGGACACATTCAAACCATAGCCCTGTCACCAGTTATTATCTGCTTTTAAAAAAGCTTATGATGTTGACATTTGCATTTCTTATCCTCTCTCTGAGCATGTCTTTCTTTAGTTAGATTACACTCTATAAAATGTGTTCCTCTTCAGGATCTTCTCTTTATTTTTCAAGTGATGGTTGGCAGTGCTTCCAAAGCATTTTGTTAACTTAGATTGTAGAGGAAGAGATAAGAATATTACCTCAGCCATTTTTGTGTGGAATCGTTGAGAAGGGCAGGTAGGTGGTTAGCAGTGGGTTGGGCTGCTGCTGAGGATAGGTGGAAAACGAGGGCTTCTGTCCATGCTGCAGGAGTGGGCTGAGCCCAACAGCTTCCACGTCTGCGTCACGTCCTACAAGCAGTTCTTCAGGGGCTACACTGCCTTCTCACGGGTGCGCTGGAAGTGCCTTGTCATTGATGAGATGCAGCGTGTGAAGGGCATGACCGAGCGGCACTGGGAAGCAGTTTTTACCCTGCAGAGGTCTGACCACCATTCAAGTACTGTGTGCTACCTACCATCCCTGTGTTCTTTGTTGTTGTTACCTAAGGATTCTTGTCAAGAAACTTAGCTCAGTGCACATGCACACAAACTGCCTTGTAGTGATAGAAATTACCCTTCACCTTTGTCACGGCATGCGGGGCTGAGGACACTCCATGGGTCCTTTGTTCAGTCCCTTCTTCATGTGTACCTATCCATCAGTTCCGTTTTCTCTCACATTTCCAGAGTCATGTTCAGCCACCTTCATGTATCTAATAATTCCAGCACTGCCCGTTTTATTTGCAGCCAGCAGCGCCTGCTTCTGATCGATGCCCCACTACATAACACCTTTCTGGAGCTCTGGACCATGGTGCACTTTCTCATCCCTGGGATCTCCAGGCCTTACCTGAGCTTTCCCCTAAAGGCCCCCAGTGAGGAAAATCAGGATTATTATCACAAAGTGGTCATAAGACTACACAGGGTATGTCTGCTTCTGTGACTCCAGCTGATCGATCTAAGATACATTGGCCTTACGGTGAATGGGCTCATGGCATTTTTTTGGGAGGAAAACAGTCATTGTTGTCTCTAGGTGACACAGCCTTTCATTTTGAGAAGAACTAAGAGAGATGTGGAGAAGCAGCTGACCAGGAAATATGAGCATGTTCTGAAGTGCCGCCTTTCCAGTCGGCAGAAGGCCTTGTATGAGGATGTCATCCTGCAGCCTGGGTGAGTGAGTGCCGGGTGTCCATGTGCCCACTTGCCATTGCCCTCACTGTAAACTGCATATGTCCTCTCTGTGGGAGCTCAGTGAGGACCAGGGACTGTAGCCAGGACTCCGCAGTCTCCCAGACGTCTCCCTTTCTCTCAGGGTCCTTCTGGTCCACACACAGAAACTGTTCTAACCTCAGACTTGTTGCAGCTACACAGCTTATACATGTAGCATGCTGTCCACTTTGCTTCTGCTGCTTCCTGGGTCAGTGTTGAAGTGTTTTTTGTGGACTTAGCCAGGAAAAGCATGCTGGTTGACCAGCCTGTCCTTACCAAGCAGCTGCAGCACCTTCAGGTTAGTGTGACTTGGCTGAAAGATGGCACACTGACTGTTTGGGGGCATAGGCCAGCAGGGCACAGGATACATGTTATGGAATAACATTTTATGACCACAGCAGGCCACACCACACCATGGTTGCTTCTCTAACTCCCACACAGCCAGGCACCTCATGCCAACAGGTGGGCTCACCTTGATCCCTCCATGGCCTCTCAGTGGCTGCTTTGGTTCTTTCTTTTGGGCTCTCTAGTTCCTACATTTAAAGAAAACAAACATCAAATTCCAGAGGATTTTATATTTGTTGGTTCTCAGGACTTAACACCTGCTTTGTTTCCCCAAAGGTAGCTTAGAAGAAATGTTTGTGGTGCTTACCTGCACAGCTCCGGGTGCCACCTCACAGCCTCTCAGGGGTTATGGCATCTGGTCCTGCTCCCTATCTGTCAGGCCAGCCTCACCTGGTTCTTGGGTTACCACTCTGTGTGGGAAAACAGTGCAGGGTTCCCGGGAGGTGCCACAGCAGAGCATACAGGTGCAGAATGATGGCACCAGCATTTGCCTTGTCTGTGGGCCGACAGTGTGGGCTGCACCAAGGTTGGTTGTGAGACCTGGCAGGTCTCCTGATGCTTCTTACCTGTAGTATTTGGTGTGTCCTCTGGTCTCTGAGGATGAGGTTTGTGTGTGTGGATTCCTCACGGTAGTGGGTGGCATCCTGTACACCTTCAGGAAGTAGTTTGGCTGTTATTGCAGTGTGTTTTATAAGCTTATTGGGAAGTTTAGTACAGGACATAAGTATGCATGCTGCCAGATTTCTCAGGCAGTCCACAACAAATTGCATTGATAATATGACACAGCCTGTCATTTAATCTAGAATAGGGGCAATGAAACCACACCTCTTCACATTAGCTATGACCAGCCCTCTAGAACATTGTAAAAACTGTGGACAGAAAATGCTTTGCTGCATTGCTGCAGCTCTGGTGTCAGATCCTTAAATGAAATGTTGGTGTCACATGCCAGCTCTAGTTGTTGATACACAAGTTTGGGTGGAGGGAATGCAGCTTCTGTGGAGGTCAGGTGCCATCACCAGCACTCAGGGGATGGGCTGGGATGTAGCTCGGTGGTACAGCGCTTGCCTAGCATGCGTGAGGCCCTGGGTTCGATCCCAGCACCAAAAAAAGAAAAGACAAAAAAAAAAAAAAAAAAAAAAAAAACCTCTCCCCAGCACTCAGGGGAAGCATAGCTCAAAGTCCCCTTACTTTCTGAGCTCTCCCACCAGGCAGAAGCTCAGAGAAGCTGTTGCCTGGGTCGCTGGCTCATTGATCTTTGGAGTCAGTTTGCTTGTGTCTGAGAGTCAGGGGCACTGAGATCCACTGGGCAAAAATGGGTCTTGTTTCACTGATGTTTGGCTAGTTCTGTGGTGTCTGCTCCCTTAGGGGAGGGAGAAACTTCCTCTTCACATTTATTTTCTTCCTCTCTGAGTTGGTAAATCGAGTGCTGGTGCATTAGATCTGCATGCACCCCACTTTTTGCACCTAGGAACCAGGTTTCTAGGTGCTATCAGTCACATGGACATCCGGATAGTATGCTGCCGCTGATAACCTCAGGGTCCTCACTTGATGCTGAGTGTCCGGTATCTGGTCAGCCCTCTTTTTGTACCACAATGCCAGAGAGATGTAGGAGTGGTCTGTCTAGGCCCTGCCTTTGTCGCCATTTGCTTGAGCTCCTGGCTCTTGAGGGAGCTACCTTTCTGGACCAGTGCCCCAACCTGTGCTCTGAATCCCATTCCTTCTGTGGAAGCTTCTGTATTTCTTTGTCTTTTAGCCTTTCTCTTGGAGGTTCATTCCAGCATCAGTTTTTGTATATATAAACATGGAACTGTTCAAACTTTCCCTTGACTGGAGGTGTGGCTTTAAGTGGTAGAGCACCTGCTTAGCAAGAATGAGGCCCTGAGTTCAAATCCCAGTACTGCCAAAAAATAATAATAAAATAAATTCTCCCTTAATCCTTCCCTTCCTCCTCTGCTCTCTGGAGCCAGCTGTATAGGTTCTGTCTCTGCTTATCCCAATTTCTGTGCCCACCCCTTCTCAGCCTCTGTGCAGAGAGGTTCTTTTACAGAACTGAGAACTGGCTGTGCCAGGGTCCACAGTGACTTCAGGCTCTGAATCTCCTGTGGCATCTTTTCTTGGTAGCACCTGTCCCAGGGGCTCCAGCGTGACCCACCTTGAGCTCATGCTATCTCCTGAGCCTCGTTCTCCTGTGCCCCTTCTATTGAGGATATGGTACCACCAACCAAGTATTTGGATTAAAAAGCTGCAGTGCTTTCTCCATAGACCAGTCATCCCTCACTATGTACCTCTGGCTGCTAGACGCACTGTGTTCTACCTGGGGCAGCCTCTCCTCACCCAGGTTCACTACACACCATAGCCCCCTTCTGTCTCCTCCCCCGTTCCAGTGTGCTTTGTGGGTCTGTGTCTGCCTCCCACTGCAACTGCAGCAGCGTCTAGTCCTCAGCCTGATCACTGCCTTGCTCTGCACTGTGCATTCTCCCTGCAGGGTTGGGCATTGGCAGTTCTACCTTGAGAGCCTGGGAGTGTGCTTTCTGGGTTTCTCTCATCCTTTTCCTTAGCTAATTCCTCTCATTCCTTAAAGTACTTCTAGAATGACTCTGCTCCTTAACTTCCGTAGAACAGCCTCTTCCCGGTCTTGGCAGAGTGACTCAAGCATTTGCCTAGCAAGTGTGAGGCCCTGAGTCCAACCCCAAAGCCATCTAAAAAACAAAACAGCCTTTCCCCATCAGAAGGGGTAGCACCAAACAGAGAGAGCTGCCCACTTCTGACCTCTCAGTCTGGGCTCTCTGGCAGGATTTCTTGTTCAACAAAGTCTCGGGGAAGCATGCTAGTTACTATGTTTCTGGGATTAGGAAAGTAGATTGTGATGAATCTTGAGTGGTAAATACATTTGCCATTCGGACTGAACTGCCCTGTTTGTTCTCCCATGAGCAGGACACAGGAAGCTCTGAAGAGCGGACACTTTGTCAGCGTCCTGAGTGTCCTGATGCGGCTGCAGCGCATCTGCAACCACCCAGGGCTGGTAGAACCCCGGCTGCCTGGCTCCTCCTATGCAGCCGGCTCTCTGCAGTACCGATCAGCCTCTCTCATCCTCAAGGCACTGGAGAGAGAGTTTTGGAAGGTAGGTGGAGGATTCAGAAAGCCGAATCACTACTTGAAGTCTTTGTAGGCACGTGGTAGATAAAACCCATATATACTTGTATGTATCAGTTTTCAAGCCCTCTCCCCTCTTTCCAGGGCCTCCCTGGCCACCACAAGGCTGTTTTCTATGTATGGATATGGTATGTGGATGGGATCACATGTGGCCTTTTGTGTCTGGCCTCTTTCACTTACTGTATTCTCAAGGCTCTCCATCATTGTAGTGCACACCAAAATGTCACTCCTTGCCGAGCGCCAGTGGCTCACGCCTATCATCTTAACCACCCAGGAAGCAGACCATCAGGAGGATTAGTTTGAAGCTAGCCCCAGGCAAATAATTCATGAGACCCTATCTTGAAAATAACCATCATAAAGAAAGGGCTGGTGGAGTGACTCAAGTGGTAAGAGTGCCTGCCCAGCAAACATGAGGCCCTGAGTCTTAAAAAAAAGAATGGTACTCTTTTTTAAGGCTGAGTAATATTCTCTTGTGTGAGTACCATATTTCATTTCTTTTTCCATCAGCTGATGGCCATCTGGGCGATTTCCAATTCTGGCTGTTGTTAGTAAGGCTACTGAGAATATTCCTACAGAGTTTTGCATGCACATGGTTTCTCATTACTCTTGGGAGTACACTAGGAATTGGTCACTGGGCCACACAGTCACTCTCTGTACTTCTTCTTGGAACTGCTGACCATGCCACTGTGGCTGGACCACCTGGCTCCCCACCAGCAGTGTGAGGGCTTCCCGTTCTTCACTCTTCACCAGGACCCTCTTTTTTGGCTGCCACCCTTCTATTAGGTGTGAGGTTACTTTCTTGTTATCCAAAGCCTTGAGATGCACGGATTGGTGGTGCTAGGGAAGAAAGGCATGTGCTCCTGTCGGGCACAGCTCTGCACCTAGGCTGGCTGCTGTTTAACTGAAAGCATGCTCTCCAGCAGTCTCACTCCATCCTCATGTGTCCATCTGGCACTGAGGTGGTCTCCAGTTGTCTATAGAGTGAGTCTTGGAGGGGTCACTTCCATACCAACTTTCACATGCACCAGCGCATGTAGGCTCGCTCGCTCAGCCCCTCCCTCCTCCTGAGGAGGCCTGCTGCCTCCATGTTGTCCAGATTCAAAGCTGCCTGACTGTTCTCTCCTCTAAGCTCCATTTTGTCTCTCAGTGCTCCCTGGGCATTTGCACAACCTTGGAGGACCGAACACCATAGTTTCTGTTCTGCAGAGGGGAGTCAGGCCCCTAAGATGCATGGCCTGCAACAGCCCTAGCAAGAGAGGGCATGGGATACCACCTGGGCAGAGCCTGCTCACTCTGGCTCCACACTTCAACAGGCTCCAGTTCTTGGTCAGGTGTTCCTTGTACCACTTCATGCAGCAAGTTTTTTTCCTTTCCTACTTAGGAAACGGATCTTTCCATATTTGATCTCATTGGCTTAGAAAATAAAATCACTCGCCATGAGGCTGAATTGCTGTCTAAGAAAAAGGTGACTCGGAAACTCATGGAGGAGGTCTTTGTCTCACCACCCTCGTCAGCCCGGCCAGCAGCAGTGAAGCTGAAGGCTAGTAGGTAAGTGGGCTTGGGTTAGATGCAGTATGGGGCTGGCTTGTCTTGTTCACAGACCTATGCCAAGGAGCTGCTACTAGTTGGTCTGGCTCCCTAGGCTTGGGGTTATGAATCCCTCACAGCTCCTCCCCGCCAGGTGACCCCCAGACTAGTGATGAAGAGGAAGACCATGGTCTAATTTGGTTACCTGATTCTCTTGGGAATTTAGAAATTCCCAAGAGAGCATAGCCACATCCAGACACCCCCGGGGCAAGGGTGGCTGCTTACTGTTCTAAGGAGTGCCCTTGGTCATCTTTAAGTAGGCTTTGGTATTTGGAGGACATCAGTGCTGAGTTTAGTCTGCTGTCTGGCATGGCCAGGCCAGGCTCTGAGAGTGGTGAGGGTGTAGGACGTGCTCATGGTGTGGTATCACGGGCAGGCAGAGTGTTCCACAGGACCACAGTGAAGGTATTGTCCTTATAGTGACATTACAATAATGTACATGATGGTTTTTGTGAGTTCATGAAGCTGGGAGGGGTAGATAATGTTAGATGATGAACTCAAGATACAAATGACTCAGGACTGACTATACCCAGTGACTAGGAGTAAGCAAAGTCCTGTGCTTGGGTGAAAAAAGAAAAGAGGTATTTGAGAGATAAAGGGGCCAATTCTGTGATTGCTGGCCCATCCCCCAGCTCTTCTGTACCCGGCTTCCCTGGGACCAGTGACCAGTTGCCCTCATTTTGGTGCTGGTAGCAGCAGTAGGTTTCTACTCAGCCTGCACTGCTCAGGGAGCCTGTACACAGATGAGTCTGTCAGTTTGTGCTAATTTGGGCTTCATTAAAGGCTTCAGTGGCTATCTCTGCTGCCATTCCTATTTTCTAGGTAAAAAAAAAAAAAAGGCAGGCTCCATTGTGGTCATATTTGGAACGGCAGCCTAGCTGGGCCCTCTTGCGGCTTCCCACTGTCACTGTGTATACCTTCACAGCTGCCATTTCTGCCCCCTCCTGAGCCTCCTGTTATTAACACTGTTTCCTGGGGGGTAAGGGTGGGGTTCCTTCCACCTTGCTCTTCACTCCTAATTGTGGTGTCATGGATGCTCTGTGCCAGAGGTATTTTTTTCTAATCCACATTGATGTGTACTTGAAAACTAAGATATCTTTGTCTTCATACACCCAAGAATCAGGGAGTGTGATTCTGTGCTTTTGAGTGCAGGGTTTGTCAGCAACTCCCCCAGGCTCAGAGTGATCATCCTGTAGCAGTATGTAGAATCCTCCCTGCCCTACAGAGTTGGGGACCCTCAGCTGGCCTCCAAGGGCAGTCCTTGTGAGCTTGTGCCATCTGTGGCTTAGTGACACTCGTGTATCTTCCTGCCTGGGCAACCGGCACCTAGGTTGTTTCAGCCTGTGCAGTATGGCCAGAAACCTGAGGGCCGCACCGTGGCATTCCCCAGCACACATCCACCTCGGACGGCACCCACCAGTGCAGCTGCTGCAGCGCCACAGGGCCAGGTTCGAGGACGACCACCGATTGCCACGTTCTCTGCCAACCCAGATTCGAAAGGTATCTCACCTAGCTGGAGTACTCTGTTGTGGAAGGCTGTGGGAAAGTGTGTAGCACTGTGTTCTTGTCCTACCACGTATCATAGCCACTGCTGAGAGGGTGCAGGGGCCGCCACTGCCTTCAGAGGTCCCGTGTGCAGCTCTCCAGGTGTTGCAGACTTTTTTTTGTTTTTGGTGTTTTGAGACAGGGTCTCACCATGTAGCAGAGGCTGGCCTGGAACTCTGTGGTAGCCCACACTAGCCTCAAAGTCTTCAGTCCTTCTGCCTCAGTCTCCCAGGTGTTGGGAGCAACCACGGCCGGCTGCAGATGTTTTTACTTTCTGTGCTGGGTTTTCTTTGTACAAGAATGTTCACTTTTAACTGAGTGAGTGGTGGTGGTGGTGTGTTGGCAGAGTGTTTCCTTTGTGTGTGTTAAGGTCGTTCAGGAAACTTTGGAGAAAACTTGTCATGTTTGCTGTCATCATTTCAACTTACCTAATGGTTACTTTAAAGGAGGAGGATAGGCTGAAGTGCAGAAAAGGTCATAAAAGGCATTCTAGCCTCCAGCTGTTCACATCCATGGTGTGCTCTGCGATAAGCAATTTCTCTGAAAAGACTGAATGAATGCTGCTGTGTTTAGAGAGCAGTTTCTGACCGGGCTGACTCCTGGGCCTTCTCTTTCCCCTGAGAAGTGTATCCTGCGTGCACTGATCAGCTCACAGTCAGCCTGACTCATCGTTTGAGAAACTGAAGTAATGTTTGTATAATTTCTTAAAACTTCGGGTGTAAAATACTGCGTTTTATGAAGAACCTCTAACAGCTTTGCACAAACCAACCTTATTGATTTCAGTGGCAGCAGCCCCGTTTCAGACCTCTCAGGCTTCCACCGGTGCACCTCGACACCAGCCCGCCTCGACCTCCAGCACGGCAGCCGGTCCACCCCATCCTGCGAAACTGCGGGCTCAGACCGCTGCCCAGGCCTCCGCCCCAGGCCCACCCCCGCCCCCGCCCCAGGCCCCCTCGCTGGCTGCAGGGCAGAGCGCGCCGCCTCAGCGGCTGGTGCTCACCTCACAGGCCCAGGCCCGCTTGCCCAGTAAGTGGCCTTGCCGACCGGCATCTGCTCTTGCTGCCCTGAAGCAGCGTGTCAGGAACACGGGATATCTGAAGAGCCTTTGCTGTCCACTGCTTCTGTCTATTCTTCAGCCCAGGCCTAGTCCTGCCTGGAACCTGACACCTGCTAGAGGGCGGGGCCTCTCTCGAGGTCATCGTCCAGGGCCCTGCTCCTCTCTACTCTTTCTCCTTACCCCTTGCCAGCTCTGCTTTCATCCTGCACCTCTGTGCTGTACTGGTGTGTGGGGCTAGTACTGCCACTTAGTGTCAGCCAAGATTCTGTTCCAGGAGCCCATGGGTTCACCCCAGGGAGCATGTGGTGAAGCTACGTGAACTAGTTAGGTTTTGAGACACTAGTTACCAGGTTTGGAACTGGAATGAATCGTTGCTCAATGGACATGTTGTAATAATGGATCAACTAGAACACCACAAAGTTAACCCCAGTCAAACCAAAAAAAAAAATCACAATGCTATTTCTCCAATATAGAACTTTTACTGCGGCCAGTCAGATTAGCATATTTTCAGACCTCATATGGACCTTCATTCATCCTGTGTGGAAATTATCCTAACATAAAATGTATGGGTTATGTTGTTTTCATATGCCGCCTTAGGTATGTTATTTGTTGTATAAAAAATTGTGCTTAGGCCTTCCTAAAGAGATGGAAGGGAGAAGCAGTGGAAGAGACACTGAATCCGCCCCATCTCCTGTTCTGAGTCTCTTCACTGCTAACAGTAGAGAGTAGCTGTCCTAAGCAGCAGATGAGGGGAGAAAGCCCTTGCATCCTTCACACTTCCCTAGGCTAGAGATAAGGTGCTATCGTGTGGGAGGGATCAAGTGAAGGGGGCAGAATCACTCTTCGTGTCAACTGGTCTTCACACACCCTACAGACCAAGGAGGGCTGGTTGGAGATTGAAATGTCTGTGTCCTCTGTTTTCATTTTACCTTCCTCGATTACAGTTATTCTGTAGGCAGGGCATCTCTAGATAGCTTCCAAGTCTTTTACTAACTTTTCTCTTTATGGTACCACTAATATTTCTGGCATGGACTTTCTTGGGAGGAGCATTTGGTCTTGCATATCACCTGTCAGTAAAAGCCTCTAAGATGCTGCTCAGTTGTGGCTAACGGGAGGACAATTTTGAGTTGGGGGCATGGTGACATTGAGTAAGATTTTTAAAAAAAAAGCATTGTGAAGTCTTACATCTTTTCATGGCAAATGTTATAGACTGGATCCTATGATCTTATTCAAATTATGATTTATTTATTTAAATACAAATTACGGGTGTAATAGAAGCTCATGACTCATTCTTTTGTATCTAGTGAACTCTTTACTTGCCCATGTGAGATAAGTTGAATGCTGCTTCAGGTTTTGAGAACCTCTTCTGAAGAGTCTCCAAATTTACTACAAGTATATTTCTGCTATTTGATGCTTGCTTTTTTTGTTTTTTAAATCATTCAGGGAGAAAAATAAAATGTTCCTGAATAGTTTGGTTACTATTAATATATCTAAAATCTTACCAGTTTTCATTAAATAGGTCAGCCACTAAAATCTGATACATTAGTTTTTTCTTTTCTGTTAAAATGATTATTTTCTTGAAGTGGTAGAGAGCAGTGCTTAAAGTTCAGTTTGCTGAATGTGGTCATTATTTACAAGTAATCATTGTTGCACAGCAATCCCAAACTTTCCCCACAATGGTGTTCACCTTTTCCTCTGCATTTCAACAGGTGGAGAGGTAGTGAAAATAGCTCAACTGGCGTCCATCGCAGGGCCTCAGAGCCGCATTGCCCAGCCAGAGACGCCTGTGACACTGCAGTTCCAAGGGAACAAATTCACATTGTCACACAGCCAGCTGAGGCAGCTCACGGCAGGCCAGCCCCTTCAGCTGCAAGGTAAAGGAGGGTAGTGACAAGCATGCCACTGTTAGCACCATTCCTAAGGCCCTGTCCCATCTAGTGGGGTGACTTGGTGAGCCATTGGACCCCTGTAAGCTGCAGGTTCTTCGGCCAGGAGTGGTGTGAACTAGTCTTACTTCATAGGGCTTGTTGAGGAGCAGTGAGATGACATTGACAAGTCACGTTGATACACACTAGAATGAACAATAGTAAGTTTTAGTGACAGCATCTGTCCTTTGAAAAGAGTTCCTATTTTCTAAATCACAATAAAAATGTTTGCTGCTTCCTGACATGAGTGTGAGGTCAGTTGTTCTAAAAGTGACAACTCGTGATTTATCTGTAAGAAATTATTTTCTTTTACATACAGACATATTTTGTTTCTGGGTTTTTTTGTTATTGTTGTTGTTGTTGTTTAATCTCAGATAGATTCCTGCTATATTGCCCAGGCTATCCTCAAACTCCTGGGCTCAAACCGTCTTCCTGCCTCATATAGGCAGACACCACCATGCCTGATTAGATGTTTTAACTTTTAATTCCCAGACTTCTGGCTAAGAGCAATGTGCTTCTCATTACTGCTTTTAGAGAAATGAGGGAATGAATTTGAGTAGCTCCTTAAGTTTACTCTTCAGTCATTATGTGGCAACAGCTTTATCCACTTTAGCTCCTCTTAGTGCTGGATGTGCCCTTGCTTCTTTTCTTTAGGTTAGGCTTCAGAAGTAGTGTTCACAACAGCTGTGGCCAGCGCCTCCCTGCAGCTTTCCTGTGAGGTGCTGCCTAGGTCTGCAGAAGGATGGAGGCTTTTACTGATAGAGAAACCATTTCACTTGGTTTCCTCTCTCCAGGGTTTCAGATGTCAGGTGCAGGCCATCCATGAACACCTCTTGTTTCCTCCGCACAACCTTGGAGCATCCTCCCAGAGGCAAGGTTTAACCTCTTTAAAGAGCAGCTGCAAAGCCACAGGCACCTGGACTGAGCCATGTTCCTTCTGGCAGTTCTTCATCTCACTTGCTGTGGTTGGCAAGTGCCCACATGGGTCTGTGTGACAGTCACACAACCGTGGGACAGCCGTGCAGCCCCAGCAGTGTGTGCTGAGGCACTGGAGTGAGGTGCTGGAGGGGGCAGTGACGCTCTTCCTGATGTCAAGCAAAGCACCTGCTCCTCAGGTGCTGTTGAGTTGGGGATGGAGTATTTCCTCCTCAGTAACCAGCCTTCACATCGGTTTGCTTGTGCACGGTGACTGTAGGTCCTCTGTGTACAGGCTCGTTGTGTGTGTAACATTTGGCAGTGACTGGTGTGTGCCATAATGCGCACATGCCTGTGACTGACGCTTCTGGTGGACGTGTGATTGCAGGCAGTGTCCTCCAGATCGTGTCAGCCCCTGGGCAGCCCTACCTGCGAGCCCCTGGCCCCGTGGTGATGCAGACCGTGTCTCAGGCGGGCGCTGTGCATGGCGCCCTGGGAAGCAAGCCCCCGGCCGGTGGCCCCAGCCCCGCACCCTTGACCCCGCAAGGTAGGGTGTTCTGAGCAGGAGGAAGGCTTGGTGTTGAGCTCCTTCCTGACTCTTCTGAGTGATTGGGAGGCGTTGTGCGTTTCTGACTATAGGCCCTCCGCGAGTCAAAGCCTCTCTGTGACTGGTTCCACAGAGGTGTTGTGGTATCAGCTTGGTTTGTTCTCTTCCTCTTTTTGTTCTCAAAAGTACTCATTGTATGTTAACAGACCCCACTTTCCTGAGTTTTTCATTTTGATCTTATTCTAACAAGAGTCTTTGGGAACTATGAGAAATTTTGCTTGTTAACATATCACAAGTACATTTCCTGACTACACTTACAGTTCCCTGGGAGTGGTTTGCGGGCCACTGTGCATACAGGAATCGAATTCTTCTCCAGCTGGCCTGTGTCCCAGAGTGCTGGGCTCCCAGCTCCTGCCTTGCTCTCGCCAACTTCTCCTTGAAGGCCCCAGCCTTGCCTGGATGTGCTCTGTCCTGGGAGCTAGTGGGTGGTTTTGACGTGTAGACATGGCAGGGAGTATCAAGTGGCCAATGCACCTCTGCTTGTGGTCTGAAGCCCTGGTCACTCACTGTGTGCTGGTTGTTCAGTGGCTTTTGCTCAGTTCCAGTCCCACCTCCAAGTCTGGTGATGCTGGTGGGGCCTCTGCAGACTGTGTGACACTTTGCCTGGGTGGGGCAGGGCAAATTGTGTGCTCTACCCTCTCAGTCACCCAGCACAGTCCTGATCCCAGCTGTGGCGATGGCGTCCATGTGCCAGTTCCCACACTCCCAGAGCAAGCTCCTCTCACCGTCTTGGGAATTTGGAAGCCAGCTACTACACACTGCCTCAGAGATGGTCAAGTGCCTGTTCTAGACAGCCTGCCTCTGGGACTGGATCCTGTCCACATTTGCATTCCTTCTCAGCTCTTCATTTTTGCATTTGTAGTTGGTGTTCCGGGTCGAGTGGCAGTGAGCGCCATGGCTGTAGGAGAACCTGGGGTGGCCTCCAAACCGGCCTCTCCTGCCACAGGGCCCACCCAGGTAAGGTGCTTTGCTGTTAAGGATGTGCATTTGTTGGCAGATTGCAAGCTGGTGGTGTAGAGGCAGGTGGCTTTCAGAAGCTGCTTGTGCATGTGTTATCAAGTGAGGGTTCCATGGGTCCTTATCTAGTCAGGAACCTCATCAGAGATGCAAGTGCTATCTGAATTACAGTCCTGATTTTAGCATATAGTCAGAGATGAAACTGGACTCTGTGGGTGTAGACATTTTTTTTTTATTCCTCCATGTGTCTTCCTAGGCACGGAAGTGCTTTCTGTGTCTTGAGAAAGAAGAGAAAGCTGGCTCTCTCTGCTTTTTTCTATCACTAGTTCCCACAGAACAAGGACTGGATTTGAAGTGGACGCTGTACACAAGGGATCCGAAGGTGTCTGATAAAGAGATAACTTGCCGTGTTGTTTCTTGAGTAACCATTTCTCATCATGTTTTTGGTAAAGGAAGAAAAGACCAGGCTTTTGAAGGAGCGGCTGGATCAGATGCATTTTGTCAATGAACGACGCTGCTCCCAAGCCCCAGTGTACGGCAGAGACTTGCTGAGCATTTGCTCCCTTCCTGGTAGAGGATCTTTTGACAGCAGCCTCAGGAAGGGGCCTGGGCCAGCAGGCTGTTATATGTCACCCTCAAAAAGTAAGGGTGATCTGATTTTGACACTGAATCAACGCCAGGAATCACTCCAGGATGTTCTTAACAGGTAAGTTTGCGTATACGCAGATAAATATTTTAACCTTTTCTGTGTTTCCTCACTATGTCACGCCCCAACAATTTTCCTTATTCTTTTTCAGATGTTTTTATTCTTGTCCTCATTTCCCCGAGTTGTCTCTTAGGAGTCTCTTCTTGGGGTCTTTCATACCAGAGTGGCTTGTTTATGTGTCCCTCGTAACCACATGTATGAGTGAATGTTGCAAGAGCTGAACTCAGAGCTGGTAAAAAGTCCCAGTGGGCCGGATGCTGCAGCTAGCCTGCACAGTTCCTGCCAGGCCTCGTTCTTCACTTCCTGGAGCTTTGATCTTGTGTGCAGTTCTCTGCGTGCTCGTGTCTCCAGGCTCAGCCTCAGGACTGTTTTGTTCCTCTTTCTGGTCTGGCTACATTAGCTTGTTACTCCCTGTCCAAGGGAGGCCTTGCTGCCCCAAGCTCATCTCAGAGGTTCAGGTCCCCTGTTCTGCTCTTTCAGGTTCTTTAGATAGGCAGGATTAATAGATAGGAGAAGAGGAAAGTGCAAGTGTTCCCCAGGTTGAGCAAGCTGCCTCCTCCTAGACTGATAGGCAGCAGCCTCTCGTTCCACGCACTTGTCTCTCCAATGCTTGTTCGTAACGCATCATAGATGACTTTTGTAGTTGGGAGCAAGTTATCAAAAACCAAACTTCAGTTCACCTCTGCAGGGAGGGCTTTCCTGGTGCAGGTGACCTGAGGTTGGGAGGTCGTGTCGTGCCTGCCATGGACTCGGGGTCCTTCCTCCTTGAGGCATAGTGCTGCAGCAGTTCTGGGGTTCACGATTCTGTCCCCAGAATCCAGCTGCATATGAACTTCAAACAGAATGGGCATCTGTGAACCCATAGACTGTGGTCCAGGGACTTCCCTATGCTCCTTGTTGAGGCCTGTGCTGTCTGAAGTGGTCCTGGGTGATACTCATCGGGCAGGACTGTCAGGGTTTGCTCCTGTGCTGTGGAGGATGGTGCCAGCCTGTGGTGACTGACAGGTGCCCTTGCCACTTCTTTTGACACATACACTTCTAGAAGGTCCTGGGTGTCATGTGGTGACCCCCCATTCTTTCTGATCCTCAGGGTGGCCTGTGTGATTCCTCCGGTGGTGGCTGCACCTCCCTCCTTGTGGGTGGCAAGGCCACCCTCACTATACAGCTGTGGGCTTCGGGCCCTGAGGCAGCACCTGAGGGAACATGCTGCCCCTTACCTGTGGCAGCTGCGGCAGCTGACTGCATTGCGCTCACTGCAGTTCCCTGAGCTGAGGCTGGTTCAGTTCGACTCAGGTATGGCAGGCCCTGTTGGCAGGGTTCGTGGAGTGCCAGTGTGCTTGCTTTGTACTATGAGATACTCTTGGTGTTTCATTTCCTAGGAAAGTTAGAAGCTTTAGCAATCCTACTTCAGAAGCTGAAATCTGAAGGTCGTCGGGTGCTGATTCTATCACAGATGGTTCTTATGTTAGACATTTTAGAAATGTTCTTGAACTTCCACTATCTCACCTATATAAGAATTGATGAAAACGCCAACAGTGAGCAGCGGCAGGTAAGGAATAGCTGACCTTATCATCACTTGTTCAGCTACATGACCTCTAGTCACTGGTGTTTAGCCTCATTGCTTGCTATGTAGATTCTAGGCAGAAGAGGGGGCACTTCCAACATGTTTGAACTCTAGTTATCTGTGCTCTCCCTCTGTGGTTTATCACAAGCATATTATAAGATAAGTGTCTGGCCAGCTAGGCCTCTCAGCTGGAACAGGTGAACTGCAGTCACTCCAGGACAGTGCAGGCGTCTTTCAGGAGGCAACCATGGAGCACAGACATAGTGCTGTTCAGACTCACTATAAAAAATGCACAGAAATAACGTGCCCATCTTTTGCTTACCACTTTTGCTGAGGGTTTTCTAATTCTATCATGTACAGTGAGAGGCCCTCTCTCACAGTGCTGGTGAGGGCATGCATTAGCATAACTTTGTAGAAAGCAGTGTAGTGGTGTGGATTGCTGACCTCCGCGACGGATAGCTACTTCAGCTAGTGGTTCCACATCCAGGACTCTTGTGCAACAGAAGGCAGTGTACCACTTAAAGATTTGTGCACACGTTTATTCGCTGTAGAAATGTTTCTCCTAAGCCACAACCAGGAGCAGAGTGAATGCTCAGTAGTATAGTGAGGGGACAGAGGAGGTCTGTGGCCATATAGCTTGACAGTGTCCTGAACAAAAACTGTCCTCTCAGGCTCCGTGCAAGCATGGGCGCCTGGCATAAGGGTCCTGAATGCAAGAAGCGGGTGCTGGTTGGGGCTTGTGTTGTTTGCTGTGTTCCACAGCAGACTCAGGGCTCCCACACGGTGCGAGGATACGCACAGACACACTCACAGACACACGCACAGACACACACAGACACATGCACGCGTGCGCCTGGAGAGAATCGAACCACTTTTCTTCAGAGTACGTAGAGAGAACTTCTTGAAAGAAGAGGGCTGGCCAACTCAGGTTTTGTTTTATCGTGGAAATAATTTATGGAAGAGAAGTATTCACAGTGACAGTTTAGCTCATGGTTCCCAAGGGCTAGAAGGATCTCTTTTCATGTCCTCATCCTTACTCCAGGGGCTCTTTGTTGTAGAGTGCCCTGGCATTGCCTGAGGATAGAGGAGAAAGCACTTCTCCCTCCCCAGCAAGACTCTGCTTTCTTGTGGGGCCTACAGATTGAGCTGACAAGAAATACAAGATGCATCTTGTTTGTAGCTAATACCTGTGCTGCTTGGACAGCACACAGAGATGTGTGGTAAGTAGAATGTGGTCCATGTGTGCAGAGAGCTACATGGACCACAAACCGAAGTCACTTTGTAATTGACAGTGGTACTAAGAGTACCTGCTTAGTATGTGCAAGGCCCAAACACACACACACCCCAAAATGGGAAGATTAATTGACAGGTGTTAGAAAGCTTCAAGGTTCCCCAGTATTTTCCAGGAATACCAACCTATGCATCTTTTTTCCTCTCAGGAGCTGATGAGGAGTTTCAACAGAGATAGGCGGGTTTTCTGTGCTCTTTTCTCCACCCACAGCCGTGCCACTGGCATAAACCTAGTCGAGGCTGACACTGTGGTATTTTACGACAACGACCTAAATCCAGTGATGGACGCCAAGGCCCAGGAGTGGTGCGATCGAATTGGAAGATGCAAGGACATTCACATATACAGGTGACCACCCCAGGACATAGCTGTGGAAATAACTGTCAAGAGAAGCTTTATGGAAGGTGTTTGTACAAAAAGTACCAGTGCAGAAATGAAAGAACCAAAGATCATACTCTACAGTTTAAGTTTAGCAGTTTCTATGGTGTTTGGTTTATATTTTTTTTAGTTTTTTCTCTTTTGGCAGGACTGGGTTTTGAGCTCAGGGCACTTATTAGGCCAGCGCTGTGCCACTTGAGCCAAGCCCCCAGCTTGACATTTGCTTGAATTATCACTCAGCTGTCAGCCTGCTTGCCTTCAGTGCTTACATGCTGCGCCTCTTCTAGAACGCCTGGCCCTCAAGGGGAGGGCTTGTGTGACTATTGGGTATCTGCTAAAAGAATTTACATCTCTGTCATTACAATCAAGCATAAAAATTGTAGCTGGCCAAATGTAACTAGCTGGAGAGAGTGTAGAAAACGCCACAACATGTCTTTAAATTTTTGGAAGTATTTATTACAGTGTAACACTAGTCTATGTAATGAGTACTGCTGCGTAATCAATCAACTGTCCCTGAGTTGTCCCTGAGCTAGAGAAGAGGCTAGGTCACTGTTTCCCAGTGCAGGTAGGCGAAGGATGAACAGTGTCTAGGTAATTAAATCTTGGAGGAAGATACCCTAAGCAGTCAGTAGGTGGGAAAGTTGTTTGTAATTCTCAGGACAATTGAAGAGTCAGGTCATTCTTACAAGTTGAGAAAAAAAGTAAAAGATGCTCTTATTTAAAAAGGGGAGGGAGAGAACTTAGGAAAATGAGAAGTCAAGCCCAGGTGGCAAAATAGCATGAAAGGATAGCCATTCACTGGTGGGTGGGAAGACATACTCGTTTAATGTGTTATAAAATGTCTCTAGACATACCAGGCAGAGAGCATGGCAAAGGGAAGCTGAGCCTGCATCAGGCCCTGGTAAGGGAGGCTTCCCTGTGTTTATGGGGCACAGGGATTGGCCCAGCCCTCCTGAAAGCAACCTGGCAAGTGCAGAGGCTTATGGGACTGGAGCAGAGGTGGGGCAGGGTGAATGATGGCAGTCTAGCAGATGCTGGACAGAGTATGGGGCAGGGACCACCTTTCTCCTGCCATCTTCCTGTGATTCCAGATGACATAGTTGTCATTGTGTCTCTGCGTGTTATTTATAGGCTTGTAAGTGGCAATTCTATTGAAGAGAAATTGCTGAAAAATGGAACTAAAGATTTAATCCGAGAAGTGGCTGCTCAGGGAAATGACTACTCCATGGCATTCTTAACTCAGGTATTCATTCTTAACTCCATGGCATTCTTATCCTCAGGGTAGTGCACCTGGGAGACTGAGGCAGGTAGATGGTGAGTTCAAGGCCAGCCTGGGTTACGTAGACCTTGTCTCAACCCTCCCTGCCCCGCCCTCCCGCCCCCACCCCCCCCTCCACCACCAAAAAAAAATCCTCAGGGTGAGCTAACAGAATCATCTTGTTTTAACATGCACTAATGAGGAGTGATTGATGGTTTTCATGGTGCATTAATCTCAAGCTTAAGCATGAGATTGTGCCTTTGATTCTGGAGACTAATGGGCTTTTTATGTGTTCAGCGAACTATCCAGGAGTTGTTTGAGGTTTACTCTCCCATGGATGATGCTGGCTTCCCAGTGAAAGCTGAAGAGTTTGTAGTGCTTTCTCAGGAACCTTCTGTTAGTGAAACCATTGCACCCAAGATTGCAAGGCCTTTCATAGAGGTAAGCAAGTGTATATGTGGTCAGCCCTAAAGACTCATTTGAAAGGAGCATCCCGTTTGGGTCCTGAGCTTGTGTGCTCTCCCAGTGTGGGTATGAGCACTCTTTCCCGATCTGTGATCCCTATGCCATGCCCCCCGCAGCCACCCTCACTCCTAGTCTTCTTGCCTGTCTCCTTCCCTCCCTCACTTGCTTATCCATCCATCCCTGGCAGTTTTAGCTATAAAGAAGTATAAAGGGAATGGTGGAAGAGGTGCAGGTCTCATGACTAGCACAGTTTCAGCCCCTATCCTTGTTTACATTAGCACTTTTCAAGCTCTAGTCAATTTCCCTGACCCCCGTCCCTCCCCCCCAGTCAGCTTTCTGAGCTCCCTCTCTGCTGACTGGAACAGCCACTGACCCACGTGGCCACCAAACACTAGAAATGTGGCTAACTTGCATTAGTATAAAGTCAGACTTAAAGTGATCTGGCTACAGGGGTGACTTGCTTATCTTTGGTGTAAAAGCTGTGAGCATTAGACAAGTGTGCAAGGCCATGGCCCCAGTGTCCTATGACAGCCAGAGCCCCTTGCTGCTCTCACCTTGTTCTCACTGACTGTAGTGTCATATGGCCAGTGCCTCTTCTGTCTGCCCCCAGCCGCTCCTTCCCAGAGGCAGCCTACTCTTGGTGTGCTTGACCACAGTTACCCAGTTTGAATTTGATCTGAGTAGAATCCTGTTCTTTGCACCTGGTTCTTGTTCTGTGTGTGATAATTTGGCTGCCCTCTGTTGTGTGGCGTGCTTGCTGCATGAACACATCACGGTTTGTCTGTCAGATGTGCCGTCCTGGCTGTGACTGTAACCTGGAGTGGAGCCCCCATGGTAGCATGTGGGTGTGTGTGAGAGGGCACTGCCTGGAGGTACTCCAGGGCATGCTGGTGGCTGTTCTCAGCAGGGTCTGTGCTGGGCTGCTGCTCCACCCAGGACTGAGCACAGCTGAAGGGACTATCTCACATGGTGGTTTCACTTTGCTTCTTGCTATGGGTAATGAATTTGAGCGCACCTTTTCACACCCTGCAGTGATGGGAATGAACCCAGGGCCTCACATACTAGATAAGCACTGTACCACTGAGCCTTGCGTCCAGCCCCTGTATACATTTTTTGTGTGTGGGATTTGCACTCAGGGTCTCCCAGTTGCTAGGCAGATGCTCTACCACTTGAGCCATACACCCAACCCTTTTTGGTTTAGTTATTTTTCAAATAGGGTCTTGCTTTTATTTATGTCCCAGCTGGCTGGGACCATGAGCCTCCTACTTATGCTTCCCTCACAGCTGGGGTGACAGGCATGCATCACCACGCCCCAGATTTTATTGGGTGAGATAAGGTCTCGCTAACTTTTTGCCTTGGATGGCCTCAAACTTTGATTCTCCTGATCTCTGCCTCCTGGGTAGCTGGGATTACTGGCGTGAGCCACCATGCCTGACTACTTAGATACTTCTATACCTGGTGAAATCTTTTCCCTATTTTTTTTTAAGTTGAGTTTTCTGTTTTTCATTCTTGCTTGCTTCTTTTGTTTTATTAGACAGTCTTGCTATATAGTCCATGCATCCCTAGAACTTGTCCTCCCTAATGCTGGGATTGTGGCTTTCTTCTCGTGCCTTACTCCCACATGTGTATGAAGATGTCAAGGAATGTGGGAAGTGCCTTTGTAGAGGCCCCGTGACCACGTGCAGTGCAGGCTTAACTTAACCTTGTGAGCCCCTTCCTTTAGAGAGTGCACTGCAGTAGTGTCAATACAGAATCCCTTTAGGCCCTCAAGAGCATTGAGTGTCTGGAAGAAGATGTGCAGAGGTCCACAGAGGAGGTGGTGCCTGGTTCCAGTGCTGGTGTTGTGTCCTCAGACTCTGATGGCTTGCCGTGTGATGAGGAGCCCTCACAGATGGAGGAGCTGGCCGACTTTATGGAACAGGTTTGGTTTTTTTTCTTTAAAGTATTAAGATATTTATTTCTTACTTTGACAAAGAACAGTCACTCTCTGGATTCAAACATTGGTGAGATGATTGTATAAGTTACTTTATTGGCATGTGTTAACTGCCTATTAACCCTGCTCAAAATACCTATTTTTGAAATAGCTTACGCCAATTGAAAAATATGCTTTGAATTACCTGGAATTGTTCCATACAACCATTGAGCAAGAAAAAGAGAGAAATGGTGAGGTAAGAGAACCAACGTTTGACCACTTTAGCATGCAAATAACCTTAAAATCTTCATTGCTGAATTTGATTTGGTGTATACGCAGCTTTGTTAGACTAAGCAACAAACCAAACCCAGCAGTGTGGGGCTCCCCTCACTTAGAGCGAGGTCTTGAGGACCCCGCACAGGCAGCTGTGATGCTCACTTCCTGCCTCAGTGTCTTGGTACTTGGTTCACAGTGTGATGTTCAATAAGGAGTTACATATTGGGGAGTAGAAAGGAGGGGGAAGAACTTGTGTTGCAGTGAGACCTGAGAAACCCTTTTGTGGCTCCACCTGTGAATGGTGGCTGGTGCCTGGGGAGTTGGTGTGCAGCAGGCACCCAAACCATGCTTGCTCTGATCTTGAAAGTCCCTTTCTCCGTACTCTTCCTGCCAGGATGCAGCGATGGCCTCGGTGAGAGATTGGGAGTCCCGCAATGCCCAGAGCTTCCAGGAGAGGGAGGCCCAGCTACAGCGAGAGCAGGAGGAGGCAGAGCTTCTCACCTACACAAGAGAAGATGCCTACAGCATGGTACGGTCCATGTCTGCTTCTACCCCAAAGACAGCTCTCAGCTTGCTTGGCTTGTTCAAATCCAGCATGCGTGTTCATTCATGTTCCCACCTAGCTCATGTTCCAAAAGCAGTTTCTTTATAACTAATGTGTTGTTTGAGATCTTCAATTAAGATACTAGCTTTTATCTGAACTGGATTATCAGCTATGAGTAAAACACATTTATAATCTTGTAGTCATAATGATTGGACTTACTTGGAAGATTTAATAAGTAGGAAAGTAAATAATTTGTGGCATAGAGCATGAAGCCCGGTTGTTTTGAGTTTGAAACTTGCCTGTGTTCCCTCAGGAATATGTCTATGAAGATGCGGATGGACAGACAGAGGTTATGCCGGTACGTACGTAGCTCCTCGCACTCTGTCTTGAGCACCCAGCTTCTTGTAGCTCCACAGCTCATGGGCCTTCCTTTTGTCTCTGCAGCTGTGGACGCCACCCACTCCCCCTCAGGATGACAATGACATCTATATTGACTCGGTTATGTGTCTCATGTATGAAACTACACCCATCCCAGAGGCTAAGCTGCCTCCTGTGTATGTGAGGAAGGAGCGTAAGCGGCACAAGACAGACCCCTCAGGTGTGCATCCTTTGGGCCTCTGTGCCTACAGGTGTCATTGTGCTTGGTGGAGGGTCAAAAGTGGGAACCAGTTGTCCATCTGTCACCTCTTGTATCACGTTGTGTGTCTTAACGTTTCCCATGAGGATCCTTGATAGTTATAGCCCTCATTAATGGTAAGCTTAGCAGGTAAGCCAGGCATGGTGGTACCTGCCTGTAATCCCAGGACTTGGGAGGCTGGGGCAGGACGAATCCTGAGATCCAGGGCAGCCTGGGCTACGTATCAAGGCCTTGTCTCGAGGCAGAAAAGAAAATGGTTGCACCTTTAACAGGTACTTCCAAGGGCCCTTGGTCCACATGTCTCTTGGCTGCCCTCTTGTTCCTTCTTTTCCCTGCTGGCATGAGGTCTCCTAGTGTCCTGTCTTGCTGAAGTCAGCCCCCATTCAGCTGCAGGCAGGAAGAAGAAGCAGCGGCATGGGGAGGCGGTTGTCCCTCCACGGTCCTTGTTTGATCGGGCAACCCCAGGCATGCTGAAGATCAGGAGAGAAGGCAGAGAGCAGAAGAAGAACCTGCTGCTGAAGCAGCAGACACCCTTTGCCAAGCCTCTGCCCACCTATGTCAAGCCCTCAGGGGAGCCAGCCCAGGACAGCCCCGAGTGGCTCATTGGTGAGGACTGGGCCCTGCTGCAGGTGAGCATCCTTGTTGTCTCTTTTGAGAGCACTCATTCAGGATTGGCTTCTCTCCATGTTTTCATTTGTGTGCATGTGATTGCCTTGCTGGAGTCTTTGGCTCAGGACAGAGCTTCTGGTCTGCAGCTTCTTGACCTGTTTGACCCGAAACCCCGTCTTCCAGGCTGTAAAGCAGCTACTTGAGCTGCCTCTGAACCTCACCATCGTGTCGCCTGCCCACACACCTAATTGGGACCTTGTCAGTGATGTCGTCAACTCCTGCAGCCGAATCTACCGCTCTTCCAAACAGTGCCGGAACCGTTACGAGAACGTCATCATTCCCAGAGAGGAAGGGAAGGTGAGCCTGGCCTTGCTCTTTCTGGGAGGACTCAGGCCTGCTCAGTGACCGCAGCCTGCGGTGCATTGCCTGGGTGGCTCACTTGTCCCCGTGGGCTGTGGTGGGACCACCTGGTTCTGTGAGTTCCCTGGCATGAGACAATGGCAGCCATGGAGAGAGACACTGTACTTGTTAGGATCACGGTTGGTGTTAGCAGCAGACCCAGTCCAACACCAACATCCGTGCTACCACTGCCATTTGGAGAACTGTCATCCAAGCCTTGGTCATAGTTTTTTTTTTTTTGCAATATTGGGGATTGAATTTAGGGTCTGAAGCATGCTAGGCAAGCACTCTACTCCTTGAGCTTTGCCTCCATCCCAGCTCTTCTATTTATTTTATTTTATTTTATTTTTAAAGAGTTTGGATAAGTAAAAGAAGACAACTTCTCTTTGTTTTAATGATTAGCTTAAAGAAGAGTCTGTATTTCCTCTATTTTGATGCTGAATTGGCGGTTTTACAAGTACAAGTAGTTTGTGTTTGAGGGTTAACTGACTATTGTAAATGTCCATTTACTTACAGCACAGCCTCATCATTGTGTCTTTCATCTAGGAAGCCCGCTGTGGTTTGCACCCAGCCCAGATGAGACAGCACAGCTGTCAGGGACGTGCAGCCTCCACCCGGCTTTGCCTCTTTTCATTTCTCCATCTGACTTTCTTCACACACCTCCGTCTTTTCTCCCTAGCACAAATTGTACAGTCTCTGTCATGCCAGCACTTATAAATGTCCTGCACCCTTCTGGGGGACTTGCCCCACTTCAGTGACAAACGCTACAGCAGGTGTGCAGAGTATACTACCTTTCTGCCTACCTCGGGCTTCTGTCAGCATAGGAGCTGCCAGACGTCAGTAGAGGCAGACATTAGTCCTTGCGTTAAATTTGCTGTTTTGTTACAGTTGGTGACAATGACGCTCTCTGCATATGAGTTGGCTTTGCCTTCAGGATGAGGTCTCCACATAGACCTTACTCTGTGACCACTTCAGTCATCTCAGTTTTCATCTCTAAAACACTTGTCTCAGAGTAAAGCATTTGTTTGCTTTTTTGTTTGGAATAAAAAAGCAAACCGCCTTCATGATACCATTTTGTGGTGCCTCCACCATGAGACTTCCTGAAGTCTCACATTCACTCTTTTATGTTTTGGAAGCTTTTATAATAATAGCCGTTACCTTAATATGGAAAAAAATAAAGCTAAAATTTTTTCTTCTCTTATAGCTGATTTGTGAAGCTAATCCAAAGAAAAAGGCACAAAATATTTATAAGGTATGAAGGAGATGTTCTGAGTGAGTTGGAAAGCTTTGTTCAGAGCCTGTGCGAAGAAGCGTAGCAGGAGTTCAGGAAGAGTCTGTGTTTCAGTAATAGCAGAACCCTGAAGCCAGGGTTTTCTCAAGTGCCTTTTGTTCCTATATGTAGAGGATTGGCTTCTTCACCTGAGGGGGTCACACAATGACTCCTCCGCAGGGGACGTCCTGAGCCTCGTAGTTGCTCACACCCTGGTTGTGGCTGGGTGTGTGCGTGGATAGGATGGCCACAGGCTTGTTATCTGGGAGCCAGTCACAGCCAGAGCCAAACAGTTTCCTTCACCGAACACACAGTCCTTCCTGCCTTTGGCTTTGGCCTTCACTCTGGCGGTGTGTATGACATACCTCATCTTATTCCTCTCCCTTCTCCTGCTTCCCTTTGCCTGATTTTATTGTCATAGGAGAGTGCTCTATGTATGGGAGAGTGCTCTAGGTTTGGGACAGTGCTCGGGAAATGGACCTGTGAACCTACAGCCTTGGTGTTGTAGTTCTGATTCTTTGGCATTCCTTCTGAATTTAAGACGTTCCTCTAGCAACCGACTACCCGTGCGTATGCACACGTGTGTACGTATACCACACCCACACCAGGACTGTGTCACTGTGCATGCTCTGACTCCAGTCTTGGGGTTGGTAAGAGTTTAGAGATACCAAGGAGCAGAAAGAGCCCCAGGCCACGAAGGGGCCTCCCAGCTCTTGTTCTGACTCCTCACTGGGCAGCTCTGTGACCTTCACAGACTGCATTCCTGGTGTGGCACTTCTCTCTATCGGCGAAGGAACTGCTCTGAAATTCTGTGGAATGCCAAGATGTCTTGGGAGCAAGTAGGCGACAGCTGAGTGGCCTTTGTTTAGCTGTGGATTTATGCAGAAGAGGTTAACAGACACTAGTAAAGCCATAGCCAAAACACATTTAGACTTAAGTTCCTGAATGTCACCTCCCCGCACACTGTGGGTGGAGGGAGGAGGGGTCTGTGGAATTGGCACTTTTCCCCACTTCACGCCCATGGGTATTGGACCTGACAGGTGAAGGCTTGCAGCTGGCCCCACCCCGTCACTAGCTGTGTGACCCAAGTGTTCTATGTAACCTTTCTTTCCTCAGCTGAAGGGGGGAGATTCCCTCTAGGTTAATTGCGAGGCTCACCTGAATGAGGGCTCCCACACATTGGGGAATATCACCAGCCACCAGCCAGTGACAGCCACTCAGTATTGCTTCTGTTGTACTATGTCATACCTCAAAAAGATGGGAAGGGAGAGGAAATGGGTTCAGCCATGTGGAGCTTAGCCGCAGGCCTCCGAGTCAGTGAATGCTGTCTCCAAAGCAGTCGTCCTTCAGGCCCGTGGTCCAGCCTTGATGAACTCCTGTCCATTTTGTTTCAGAGTAAGAACAACCGTCCACTCCGCACAGGTCAGATCTATGCCCAAGATGAGAATGCCACACACACGCAGCTGTACACCAGCCACTTTGACCTGATGAAGATGACTGCCGGCAAGAGGAGCCCCCCAATCAAGCCTCTGTGCGTGCAGGCTCTTGCTCGTGAGAGTGCGGCCGTGCTAAACGAGAGGCGAGGTGGTGGGCGCTTCCCTCCACAAGTTTTCCCTTTGTCTAGTAATTGCTGTCTCTTTCTGTGCTGCAGGCTTGGTATGAATCCCTTTCAGAAGAACCCTAAGCACGCCTCAGTGTTGGCAGAAAGGTACGTGTGGGGGGGGGGGCACATTTTTCACCATTTGAAAATGGTCCGTCTCAGTGTTCAGTGAAATTCAGAAAGTTAACTGTTGTACAAGTGGTATATCCCAGGCACTAGCTTAAGATGGTGCAGCATCCTGCCTGGGAGATCACGGCTTCCTGCTAAGCATGGGCACGTGGAGAGCCTGGATCTATAAGGGCATGGCCATTGTCCCTACTTGCACTCTGGCAGGGACGTCACTCACAGGCACAGTGGGTACACTCCAGGGCTGTGGGAGTCATCACTTCAGGAGCTTTCTTCTTTCCTCTGCTTCTCCTCAGGCATAGGTTTTGTTGGTTGTACCTTAAAAATATATCACCTTTAGAGGTAGAGGTGTACTTGCTGTAAGATTTAGGAAAGGCAAAAAGATGAATTGATGGGTAGATACTGAAGTGGGAAGATGTGAGGAGGTAAACATGGTAAACTGAGATGGAATCTGACCTGGGCACGTGGGTATCAGCAGTGTCATACAGTTGGCTTTCTGGAACCAAATGTTTGGAAGGAAATCTCAGCTGAAACAGACACCCCCACCCTCTGGCTCAAGCGCCATCACTATCTTGTGCACACTGGTCGTTTCCTGCATAGATCCTGATAGCCTGCAGGGCTCTCTGTCTCTTTCTGCACAACTGCAGGGAATGGTCCTTTTCAAAGAGAGTTGGCTCATGGTGTATCTGTGAGAGCCCACAGTGGCTCCTTCCAGCCATACCCCATACCCCATTATGTCCTGGACCCTGGCTTTTGGCCTTGTGGTACCCTACCTCCAGGGAAGGAACACCCTGTTGAAAATTACAGTTTCTCTTGATAGTACAGATCACCTTCAGAGGTACCACATATGCTACTTGTTTGTTGTATCGGAGCTCTGTGGACCTTAGGGATCTAGTGCCTAGAAGCATGAAGCCAGGCTGACTCAGTACTTGTCAGTTAGGTGGGTGAGTTCAATTTGCTGGTGTTTATTTGTAGGTCATGGGCTAGCATAGCAGTAGAGTGACATGACAGGTACTGTCCTGTCCTCTTTGTACTTAATGGGAGGATCACAGAAGTATCAGATGGAGATGTTCCTGAGCTCAATGAAAGACACAGGACAGGCTCAGGGTGAGGAGCCTCAGTACCCTGGGGATTGTTGAGATACTTACCCCGGGGAAGTGGGTGGGGGTGGGGATGGCAGTCAACCCAGTAGACCTTGTGCAGAGGCAAGGCAGGGCTGCAGGAGGCTTTGGGTCACACGTGGGCTGAGCAGAAGACCTGCACAACTGGACATAGGTGTTCATTCTTACCTGCTGTGTAGCAGGGGAAGAGCATAGAGCATCTGGGGTGCTTGTGGGAGGGGTATGTCTGTGGGGCTGTTTGAGGGGCTTGTCCGGGGAGTGATGGGATAGCTGGAGGTGGGTTCTGGGTTCCTTGATGTGCTATGGGAGATTTGTGGGGGTATCTGGAGCATATCCTTAAGGGGGGGCAATGCTCGCTAGTGGATGCCTGAAACTGTAAATAGTACTGAATGTCATTTATGTTCCGTTTTTCTTAAGTAAAAATCTTAGCACTTTTTAACTTAAAGGGAACAGTATGGCATCTCTCTGGCACATAAGAATTGCTACCATCACTGCTCTTGCATTTGGCTGTTGTTAAGTAAAGTAAGGGTTATTTGAACACAAGCCTGTGATACAGCAACAATCAATCCAGTAACTGAGATGGTAGCTAAGTGATGAATGGCAGGTAGCACGTACAGTGTAGGAGAATTTGACAAAGGGGTGATCCATATCCTGGAGGAAGGGGTGGGACAGTTGAGTGATTTTCATCACACTACTCAGTAATACGCAATTGAAAACTTGTGAATTGTTGCCAAGCAGTGTCTCACACCAGTAATCTCAACTGCTTGGGAGGCAGAGAGCGGGAGAATTTCAGTTTGAGGACAGCCTGGGCAGATTTAGTAAGCCCCCCATCTTGATCAGTAACTCAGACGTGGTGGCACAGGTCTGTGATCTCAGCTATGCAGGAATCTATAGGTAGGAAGATCATGGTCCAAGGCCCACCCCAGTCAAAAAAGGTGAAACCCTACCTGAAAAATAATTAAAGCAAAAAGGGCTAGGGCTTGGCTGCCTAGCAAGTGAGGTTTAAAGCCCAGTACTGTCAAAACAAAACCCCCCAAAACTGGCTATTTCTGGAATTTTCGTGTTGTATCTTTGGACGTTGGTTGACAGGTCATTGAAACTGCAGCTAAGGGTACTGCATTTCTCACTCTGCTTTTGTCTTTCAGTGGAATCAACTATGACAAGCCACTGCCTCCCATTCAGGTTGCATCTCTCCGCGCAGAGCGAATTGCAAAGGAAAAAAAGGTGTGCAGTGCTGCCGGCCCTCAGCCCGTAGGACTGCGTTGTCATAGGGACACAGTGTTGGCCCTGGGCTGGGTCCCACTGCTCCAACGTTATCTTTTCCCACCTGACTCTTCTAGGCTTTGGCGGATCAACAAAAGGCTCAGCAGCCGACCGTGACACAGCCGCCCCCCCAGCAGCAGCAGCAGCAGCCACCGCCACCCCCGCAGCAGCCACCGCCACCACTGCCTCAGCCACAGGCGGCTGGCAGCCAGCCGCCTGCAGGGCCACCCACTGTCCAGTCCCAGCCTCAGGCCCAGGCGCAGGCTCAGCCACAGCCTGTGCAGGCCCCACCAAAGGGACAACCCACAATAACGACCGTGGGCAGCGCTGCAGTGCTGGTGAGAGCCTCTGACCCCCTGCCATGGCCTCCAGACCTCCCTCTTTGAGGAGGGAGGGTGGAGGCGTGGTCTTGCCCCAGGGCAAGTGCATGCTCTCACCTGGATCCCCCACTCTCCTCCAGGCTCTCAGCTAAGCAATCTCACTGAGTTGAGGGAGAGTCTGCTTTTCTGGTATAGGGAGTGGGGCATGGAAGAACTGGATCCTGTAGAACACGCGCACGAGGAGCTCGTCCCCTTTACTCCCTGCAGACACATAGAGCAATGCTGTCCATGCCAGGGTGAAACAGCCACAGCAGGCCACCTTCTCCTGAAGACAAGCCACCCTTTTGCTGAGGATGTATACACATGTGCCCACTTACACTCCTAAGTTCTAAAGTGCACAAACAGTGCAAAGAGCAGAAAGGCAGAGGTGTGGTCCTGCAAGCCATGGTTGTTGACATCCACACCTTGGTGTGTTCCTTTACTGTGTGTTGTGTTGGCACAGCTCACAGACTTTAAAGTCACGTGTGTAGAGTCACACTTGCAGAGAACAGGTTCCATGCTCAGTTGGTGGAACATTTTGGATTAGTAGCCAGGTGTGAAAGTATTTTTGATGTAGAATTATTTCCTCCATTAGTTTTTTCTTCGAATTGCATTTGCCCGGTGGGATTTTTGTGACATTCTTCTTTGTTCCTTCAAACGATACATTACGAAACACCTATGTGGTACAAAGTCTGTCACACTAGCAAGGTGGGCAGTACCCCTGCTGCTGGAGCTTACATTCTCACGGGGAGCTGGCACATGGACTAGAGCAATCGTTTTAAGTGTTGTCGGGGAAGAATCGAGGTTGGTAGTGCTGGCTGGTTAGGAAAAGCCTTTCTGAGGAGGTAGCATTGGAGTTGAAGTCTGCACAGCAGGAAGTTGACCATGAGAAGAATGGAAACAGGCACAGAGGCTTGCGTGAGGGCAGAGTGGTCAGTGTGGCCAGGCCAGGTGACACGGGGCAGCATGCACAGGAGATGGTTGTGGTTCTGTGAGTGCACTCAGGACTTTGGATCTGGCTCTGAATGAAGGGGAAGTTTTTGGAGGGTTTTATGCCATGAAGAACTTGGCCTGAAATTCACATGAGTTTGCTTTCTTAAATAGGCAGGAACCATTAAAACATCTGTCACTGGGACAAGCATACCAACAGGTAAGAATGGTACAGAAGTGTTGAAATGTTTTGGTTTTTTTTTTTTTTTTTTTTTTGTCCTCTTGTCTCATACACATCTTCCTCCACAGGCACTGTGAGTGGGAACGTGATTGTGAACACCATAGCAGGTGTCCCTGCTGCCACCTTCCAGTCCATTAACAAGCGTCTTGCTTCGCCCGTGGCTCCTGGACCCTTGACTGTAAGTTGACCCCGTGCTTAGGGGAGAACCATGATGACTTTGTGTTTGGATATTCCAGTGGTGAAAAGTACTGATGTTTATAAGATAAATAGCTTGATTTTTGTAAAATAAGTAGCTGATGAATACAGTGGTTTTAGATTGTTCAGTTGTTAAAGGATGGCTTCTGTTTTGCATGTGTGGAGATCAGAAGTTTCAGAGAGGAGGTAGATGGGGGTAAGGGCACATTGCCAGCCATTGACACAGTGCCTCTCAGGTGTGCATCACTGTGCCTGTGTGGGGAGGCAGAGGTGAGATGGTCACTCTTGGAGGGGCACTGCTCTGGAGGAGGGGACACAGCACTGTTCGAGGGCACAGCTTGGGTTCACACACATTTTCAGAGTGTATGGAGGCCAGCAGAGCCAGGAGAGGGGCTGCCGCTCTGTGGCAGTGCAGAGGCCTTACTGTGGGAGGCAGGATTAGTCCCACTTGGGTGGAGACGCAGAGCCACAAGGCATCTGAGTATGTGGTCAGAAGACCCATGCCAGGGTCAAGCCACCTGCTTTTTGACAGCTCACTGCAAAAACAAAACAGAGCCAAGATTGTGGAGTCTGAATGTATATCCTGACTTCCCAAGTAGTTGGACCCAAAGGCAGCATGTGGCTCTCAAAGTGGCTGTGCTCTGGAAGAGAATGTCCCTTTGAGGTTTGGAGAATGCCTTTCACAGGGTGGCATGATGTGAGAGGAGACACACATAGATGGACAGAGTTGGGTAGAGTTCAGGAGTGGTTGCACATACCTGGTGTAGTCAGTAGATTTCCTAAAAGTGCCAAGGAAGTCAGTGGGAAAGGATAACCCTTACCAAATGCTGCTGGAACAATTGGGGTAACCATAAGTAATACAACTAACCTTGACCTATGATTCATGCCCTATATAAAAACCCATCAAAATGGATCAGAAGTCTAGAGCTAAGAGCTATAGGTAACAATCAAGACATTTTGGAAGAAAGCGTAAGAGAAAATGTTCCCATGTTGGGTTAGGGAGACACTTTGTAGGGAGTACCAAATGCCCACATGTGGAGGAAACATGAGTAAGTCAGAGTTCATCAAAATTAAATCTATTAAATCCATGAAAAACAGTATGAAAGTGAAGAGAAGACAGACTAAAAGAAGATCTCCACACAGCACGTGAAAGAATGAGTGTGTGGGCCACATGAGGTTTTCCGTCTCAGGAGGAAGAACATGGGCAGCAGAGGCAGTGGGCACTTCTCCAGAGAAGGTGAATGGTGGTGGCGAGTAAGTCATGGACAGATGGCCCAGCTTTCTGTGCCTGCCAGTGCCTTGTGCTGGTGAGGATGCAGAGCCACAGAGCTTCCTACCGCCAGTGGGGCAGGGATCTTGCAGTCACCCTGCTCAGCACTTCTGTGACTTCTGCAACCTAGCAATTCTTCTAGGGACTTCCCTGAGGTAAATGAAAGATGTCCACATGAGGAACCTGAACATGAAAGTTTGTAGTGGCTTTGTTCATAATTGCTAAAGAGAAAGCAGGCCAGATTGTCCTTCAGCTGGCTAGTGGCATAATGGATTGTGTCTGTCCACACAGTCTAGAACTACCCAACAGGACACGCGTAAACCACAGCACATGCAATGGCAGGATGGATCCCAGCAACTTTTTTTTTTTGTAGCATTGGGGAATGAATCTAAGACCTCATGTATGCTAGGACAGCTTGATGTCCTCAGTCCTTTTTTTTTAGATAGGGTCTCCCTAACTTTGCCTGGTTCATTGAACTCATAATCCTCCTGCCTCTGGCTCCTAAATTGCTGGGGTTACCAAGTGCACAGAGTTCTGAAAGATTTCATACGCTCCATGATTCCGTTTAAGTAACGTGGTGGAAAAGGCAAAACTTTAGGAACAGAAAACAGACAAATAATTGCTGGGTGCTGAAGGCGAGGGAGGGATTTGACCAAGAGAGGGCCATGACAACTTCAGGGGCAACAGCAGAAAGTTCTGCTGGATCATTGTAGTCACATGGCTTCATGCATCCACCACAGTTCATAGAACTGTATTCCTAGAACATATGAGCATTACTATAAAAAGTTAAATCCTGCTGGGCACCAGAGGTTCACACCAATAGTCCTAGCTGCTTGGGAGGCTGAGGTTGGGAGGATTTCAGTTTGAGACCAGCTCTGGTACATAGTTCACAAGATCCCATCTCCAAAGTAATCAGAGCAGAATGGACTGGAGGTGTGAGTCAAGCTGTAGAGCACCCACCCCCTTGGCAAGCATGAAGCCCTGAATTCAAATCTCAGTCTTCTCCCCCACCCCACCACCAAAAAAAAGTTATCAATCCCTTAGGCAACAGAATACATACAAAAAGCTTCTCTAGCATATGACCTGAGATTATTTTATTTATTTTTCTTTCAGTTTTGCAACAAACCACTTGAGGCTTAATCATTTCAGTAAAACCGAAGCTATATGTAATAACCGAATCAGTACACACGTATTGGGAATACTCCGTATGACCAAGACTACTGTTCCTGTGGGGGTGGGAGCCAAAGTCGTTCTGTTTGGAGCTTTAAACTAAGAAGACCTGTTTCTTTGTGATATTTCAGGATGCAGTATAAAGTCACAGCCCGTCCCTTTTTTCTTTGAGCATCTCTTAATCTACAAGATAGAAGTTGAGCATCCCTAGTCTGAAATTCCCAGACCTAAAATGTTGCAAAATGCGAAATTTGTAGAGCACCGACATGGTATCACACATGGAAACTTTCACCCCAGGAAACTGTTTATTGAACAAAGTTGTGAAAGAAAAAAAATAGTGTAGAAAATGACCTTCAGGCGTTTATGTGTACAAGGTGTATATGGAACATAAATGAACTCTGTTTTTAGACCTGGGTCCTATCCCCAAAGTAATTCACTGTGTGTATACACATATTCATTTTCCTGCCAGGTGCTGTGGCTCACAGCTGTAATTCTAGCTACTCAGGAGGCAGAGATCAGGAGGATCGTGGTTCAAAGCCAGCCCAACAAATAGTTCTGTGAGACCATATCTCAAAAAAAAAAAACCCTTCACAAAAAAAGGCTGGTGGAGTGGCTCCAGGTGTAGGCCCTGAGTTGAAGCCCCAATACTGCAAAAAAAAAAAAAAATCCATGAGGATTTCACCGGGGATTCAGGGAAGCTTTCAGGAGAAGGGAGCATGGGCTTCAGGCTAGGAAGTTTGTTGTCTTGAGCAAAAGGTCAGAGGTGTTTCATTGAGTCAGCAGGTGGCTATGTTTGGGTGGAGCACAGAACATAACAGCCAGTGCTGGTTGCCTCAGCCTTTAACAGGCTTTCGTTGAGGCTGGTAGAACTAGGATTGGAGATCAGGCTAAGTAAAGACTGGATCTCATTCACCTGGGTGGGTGCTTTGAAGGATTGGGGCAGAGGGACGTCCTAGGAAAGGGAATGTGATATTTATGTAGTTGGTGAGCACAGAAAAGGGCATTGAAATCCATTCCAGTAGTTCAGAAAGAGGACTTTGTTTCTGGTAACAGGCAAATTAAGTGTTTTTATAAAACTCAATTTTTAAAAAATTTAAACAAAAGTTATTAGAAAAAAATTTGAAAGTCTTCTTAAGAGCTTCAAGGAATTGAAAATAAATTGGTAGTGATCAGGCCAGAATCTAAGGGCAGAAGAAAGCAGAGGATGGGTAGGCTGCTTCTAAGCTATATTTGACTCAGGAATGAATTTCAGCGAGGGTGGCATTCAAATCTTCCCCAGTGCCTGGCCCTTGTGAGGATTGCCCAAGGTGGAATCCAGAGGAGACTGTGAAGACACAAGCTAGATGCATGAAGAAGTGTTCAGCTGCCCTGGTCATAAGAGATACAGAACAAAACAACTCTTAGATTTGGTCTCTCCCCAGTTAGAACGGCCGTGTTCAAGGGCAGTAACAACAACAGATGCTGCTGAGGCTGTGAGGAAACAGGATGCAGGCTATGCAACCACTGTGGAGAACAGTGTGGAGACTCCTCAAAAAACTGCAGCTAGAACTGCCATGTGATCAGTGATACCATTCCTGGGCTTCGACCCGAAGGAACGTAAGGCAGAATACAGGAGAGACCTGTACACCGATGTTCATCACAGCACTATTCACAATAGCCAAGCTCTGGAAACAATCCAGATGCCCTACATCTGATGAAGGATCATGAAATTGTGGAGTATACACAATGGAGTTTTACTCAGCCATGAGGAATAATGACATGTGGTGTGATAGTACATAGATGCAACTGGAGGACATCATGTTAAGTAAGCCAGGATTAGAAACACAAAAGCCACATGTTTTCTCTCATACGTGGAAGATAGAGCCAAAGATAAACACATACACAAAAACATCATGACCATGTACAAACTCATACGTAGAGCATGTGTGTAACAGTGGAACTGCTCTACAGAACTCGGGGAAAGAGGGAAAGGAAGAGAGAATGCTAGGGCATCAGTAATATTACACAACTTAAGCTGTGAAGGTGGAGGACACAAGGATGTGTATCGAAAGCTACTGAAAAATGGCGGGTGGGAGGTAAAGGGGTGAGGGAGAGTAATGGAAGGGGTTGAACAGACCAAAGTAAAGCACACCCACAGTGGGCACCCATTAAGAAACGCCTTTGAACATCAACTTAAATATTAATAATGAAAAACAGGACTGCAAAATAGGTACATGGTGAGGAGATACTAGTGGGAGGGGGAGGGTGAAGGAAGATTAAGGTGAGGGTGTATGGTTGATAGACTTCACGCACCCCTATGAAACAGAACTAAGAAACCTCTTGCGGTTGCTTTAAGTGGGTGGGGAGGGGGTTGAGGGGGAGAAACGATGGGGACAACGTAATAACGCATAATTGGAATTGTCACTATGAATCCCCCCTGTATTATGAATATATATATATATATTCATATATATATATAAAAAGACACAAGCTAGGACTGTTTAGGGCAAGAGTGAGCCAAAAGTGAAATCTGCCTTTGGAATAAAAGGAAGGTTCAGCTGGGCATGGTGGTGCACACCTGTATTCTCAGCACATGGGAGGCTAAGACCAGAAGATGGTGAGTGAGGCCACCCTCGGCTATGTAGCCATACACTGTTTCAAAAAAAAAAAAAAGTGCTTGTGTTACATGGAAGGCAGACGTGGGGACAATGCCTGTAAGTTGTGAAAGAAAATAAACTCTGGTGTTCTGTGTCTCTTGAAAATGTCTTGAAGAAAAAGGACAAAAGACATTTTCAAACAAAAAATTAATTACTAGTAGGTCTTCAGTAGATGATACATTTCAGCCAGAAGAAGGAAGCGGCTCCTAGTCTGAAGGTCCTAGAAACCACAGGAAGGCAGAACAAAGGGAAGGGTGGCTATGGACTAAGGGGATGAAATTGGCTCCAAAACAGCAGTAACTCACTGTGGGGCTAAAGGTGAAATCCATTCACACAGTGTTAACACATGTGAGTTTATGGGTGCAGAAAAGTGTTAGAATGTTAAAGAATGTGAAAATACAGATCTTTGTGTTTTATAAGTATTCAGGTAAGCCTCCAAAAGAGTAAAAGTGGAATATATGACTCCCAGACACTGAAAGGGGAAAAGGGGAAAAGGGATCTAGAAGAAGGCAAGAAAGAATAAAGAAGCACTGGCCTTTGGGTGACAAGCGGCTGCCCAGAGGGCATCTTCTTCCTCTGCTGCTGTTAGGATCTCTGCCTCTGATACTAAGCAGGTGGCAATTCCTTTTTAGCATTCTTGACCAGGGAAAATTTGACTTTTTGTATATAAGGGTCAGTGTCGTTGACCAGTTCTGGAAGATCCCTATACCTTGAGATGCTGGTGTGTTGACTAACCACTGTCACCCCCACTCAACCTTGCATAGCTCTTCAGTTCTCGCACATGTCTGTCTTGTCTCCTCAGCTCATTTGTTGTCCCTTCGCTGTGTGGCACTCAGCCCATTCATGAGCACCCACCCTAAGTTTGGTGACCATGCTTCTCATTTCCAGATGTTGTCGGTTTCCTTCTAGACACAACTTCGCTTCCACTTAGGTTCATTAAAAAGAAAGTGTAACTAACAATCCCAGTCTCAGGTCTTCAAGGCCCTGCCCACTGTTTGTGTCTCTACTGGTTTTTACTCATGGTGCCTGTCATCTTGTGAGCTTGGTTATTTGTTTACTGCATGCTGGTTATTTTTCTTGAAAATTATTTGTGGAGATTCTAAGAACCTAAGTCAGACATGGAAGCACAGTCTTCCAGAGGGAACTAACATTTGCTTCTGCTCAGCCACTTAGGAACACAGCCAGTCCAGGTCTGCTGCATATGTCTTGAAAGGGGTTTGAGACTCTTAAGGCTACCAACTTGAGCTTCAAATGGACAGAAGAGCTGACTGTTCACAACTTATGGGGACAGCCCCCACCTCTGTCTTCTGCTCAATGCAGAGACAACTTTGTTTTGAAACAGTGTCTGGCTATGTAGGCCAGAATGGCCGTGAACTTGCTATATTGCCCCAGCTGACCTTAAACTCATTTACAATCTTCCTTGTCTCTGCCTCCCACGTACTGCAATTACAGGTGTGCACCACCATGTCTGGCCGAACTTTCCTTTTACCCCAAGGGTTGATTTCACTTCAGGCTCACTCTTGCCCTAAAGAGTCCTGGAAAGTGCAGAATACCATGCTCCATTTAAATTCACACATAGAAGGAATAAAATGTAGAAGGGTCAAAACTTAAGTAGTTTAGGAAGGGATAGTGAATATCTGAACTCAGATAGCTGGCTGGGAGAAGCAATGCATTGAAGAGACATTTCAAAGGGTTTATTGTGGCATGGGGAAGGTGATGAGGCAAGATGTGCAGTGGGCTGAGCACCACATTTAGCCCCTTTCCCTCCTAGCCAGAGGGTACAACTTGGGAGAGGCAGTGAGGATGCTCTCTGAGTTTCAGGCAGGGTGAAGTTAGGATGCACCAGCCCCCAAGACCCTAAGCGGCTGGCCAGGAGATGCGGGGCTACAACTTCTGCCCAGCTTTTGGACAGTGGTGGCGAGTTAGGGCTAGCTGTGGTGGGAACATGCATGGAACTTGTCATGTTCCTAGGGCAGTCTGTGATTGAAGTGAGAGGGCCATGTTAGTGGGAACATTGTCCTGAAACCCCTTTCTGTGGCTAGTCTGGTTTGCCACAGAACATTGCAGTTCTGAGTTTGTGTGGAATCATTTGTTCTTAGCACTTTGTGTGTGAAAAGACAATTCCAGAATGTGCCCCACTCCTTAGTTCTGGAGTCTGGGCACTCTCTTTTCCTCCTCTGGAGGCTGTGTGAAGTAATGTGTTGCATTCCTGCATTTTCCTTTCTAGACATCAGGAAGCTCTGCTCCCGCCCCAGTGGTCCACACCCAGCAACGCGCAGTTGGCTCCCCTGCCTCTGCAGCCACTGACCTGGTGTCCATGGCAACGACGCAGGGTGTTCGAGCAGCCACTTCTGTGACAGCCTCAGCCGTGGTCACTACCAACCTGACCCCTGTGCAGACCCCTACCCGGTCTTTAGTGACCCAGGTGTCCCAAGGTAAGGGGGACGTGGTGTTCCCTGTGTGGGTTCTGCAGTTGGAGCACATTGGAGCTTGGAGCTTATTTGTCCAAGGAGAAATGAGGATGGGAAGGTCTCACCAACAAACCTCTTCACAGCCACAGGGGTTCAGCTTCCTGGAAAAGCCATCACTCCTGCCCACTTCCAGCTCCTCAGGCAGCAGCAGCAGCAGCAGCAGCAGCAGCAGCAGCAGCAACAGCAGCAGCAGCAGCAGCAGCAGCAGCAGCAACAGCAGCAGCAGCAGCAGCAACAGACCTCCCAGGTGCAAGTTCCACAGATGCAGGGCCAGGCCCAGTCCCCTGCACAGATCAAAGCTGTGGGCAAGCTGGCACCGGTGAGTGCGTCCCAAAACAAGGCAGACATAACACGGTCTGTTTGTAAGGCAGGGCCTTGTTACATGGGTGCAAGTCCAAGTGTATTTTGCAAAAATCTAGCATTACCTTTAGGTATAAACTGTGTTTTGTATTTAATACAACTCTCCATCCAGTAAGGCTTGGATCACGCTTTTGACAAGTAAGTTTGGGTTTGTGCAGAGCACTTGCAGTTCTTAATTCTCCATTTACAGCTGTATGTTCTTGTTCCGCTTTCTTGTGCATTGAATGCCATAAGTTCATTCTCAAGAGAGGACCTAGAAGGCCCACTCGGTACCATTCTCCACCAGATGGTACTGGTGAGAAAGTGCCCCCTCACAGCTTGTAGAGGGCAGGGGTGGGACCTGGCTTCTTTGGGAATAGCTCATTACAGCTTCTTGGGCTGCTCATTTGAACACTGGTGTGCTGGTTTTGCCTGTCTGTGCACCATCTTGCCATCACTTATGCAGATGTGTTCATCTTAGTAGAAGGAAATGGTATTTTCCTGTCACAAGTATGTGACATTAAAAGAAACCAGAAAATCACATACAGACCTGCTGACTGTTGGGCCTGTCACAGGGCCTGATCTTGTAGAACTTCTGGTCACAGGCTAAGGACTTACTATAGCTGAGCTGAGGCTTCCTCCCCAAGGGTTGGGAGCCAGGGGCATGCCAGTTGTCCATCAGTGCTCTGCTGTCCTTCTGAGGACGCCTCATGGCCACCAGGCACCCACCTCAGTCCCCGTGAGAAGCAGTAATACAGTCAGGCTGCCCCACATGGGATCTGCTGTGTGTGCTACTTTAAGTCAGCTGAAATGCCACAAAGCACAGCATTCGGTTCCGCAGTCAGCATGCCGTGCTTCTGGCTTCTGGTGCTCTGTGGACACGAGGCTGTGTCTGTAGCATGGATGGCCCAGTACTGCTTTTTTCTGTCACAGTAGAGCGTTCCCTCCTGCAGTGCTAAGCGAGAGAGTTTTTGTGCTTAGGAGTTCCTGGTCCAGCAGATGTGAATCGCTTGGTACGTGGTGCTGGCTCTCACCCAGCACCAGGCCTTCTGACCTGCCTGGACCCAGCTGTGCAGACACGCTTCTCACTCTCAGTTGCCAGGGGCCCCGCTCTTCTGCTTGCTTGCCTGGTTCCTTTATTCTTCACCCCACCATCTCCAAATTCAGTTTCAAAAGTCATTTTCATTTCCATCATATTTGAAGAGACTTGATAGGAGCAACTCAGTATAATTTTTTTTTTTTTTTTTTGGGACGGGGGTTTGAGCTCAGGGCTTCGCACTTGAAAAGCAGGTGCTCTACTGCTTGAGTCACACCTTGAGTCCTAAATTTTTCTTCTTAAAAAGCCATTTGTGTGTTAAGTACCAAGTGTGCACCTTGGTACTTAACAGAGGCGGAGGACCACCCTGGAGTCAGGATGTCTGATTTCAAGAGGGGAGTGTGAGTGCGTGCCTTTATTTGGGTTTCAGGAACACATCATCAAGATGCAGAAGCAGAAGATGCAGCTTCCACCGCAGCCTCCCCCACCACAGGCCCAGCCGGGGCCCCAGCCACCAGCACAGGTGCAAGTGCAGCCTCCACAAGCCCCACAGCAGCAGAGCCCCCAGCTCGCCACCGTCACGGCCCCGAGGCCTGGGGCTTTGCTCACGGGCACCACAGTGGCCAACCTTCAGGTGGCCCGGCTTGTAAGTTCCAGTTAACATGTTTGTTTTCCAAAAGCTAGGGCCTCTGCAGTTGAGTTAGACTGTTACTGCTGTAAGTGAGGCACAAGAGGCAATCTTCTCCCGAGAGCCTCAGTCATCCTGAGGATGAGACACCGAAGGTATCTTGCACGGCAGGCACTCTCCCACTTGAACCACACCTCCAGCCCTGGCGACCTATTTTGAAGTAGATTTTAGTGAGAAAGCTTCAAAAGTGTGAATATTATTTAATGCAACATTCCTTCTACCATCCTAAAGAAGCACCAGGGCTATTACGAAGCAGTGAGTATACACGATTGTTTCAGGAATGACAGGAGATTAAATGTCTAAATTACAGAGCGTCCAAACAATGGAACATCAAGCAATTTGAAAAGTATTGTAAAGGAAAGAAAAACAGGTTACAAAATACCTGTGACTCACCCCTTTATACATATTTCTCACAACAGGCACACAGATAAGAGCAGTGTCTAGAAGGTAAATACCAATTTCAGTGTTTATCCTTGAGTAGTTGTGGGAGTGTATTTTTAGGTGACCTCACTTTCTGTACATATAAGAATGAACCTATTTACAGTTCCAGTTTTAAAAATGTAATTTTAATGAGAAGATGCTTGATAGCAAAGTGGTAGATTTGGGAAATACAGCAGTGATCTTGGAGGAGGGGGTGCGACCTTGAGTGGTAGCCGGGGGACAGGGCACAAGCAGACCCACTTGGGTAACTGGTGGGGTGCAGAGCAGGAGGGGAGCAGAGGCAAGCATCAGAACACTGCAGCCAGGCTTGTGCAAACTCTGTCCCCAGGCATTAGTTAGTGGTGGGTGGCATGTGGGTTATGTTTTCCTTTAGTGTCACTGCCACTTTTTGACTTTGTCAAGCTTTGCAAATTTCTCACAGGCTTGAGTTCTTGTCAAGAAATGTTGAAAATGATTCACAGTACTGAATTTCTCTGGACTCTCCTGTTATTTCCACTGTTTAGACCCGGGTTCCCACTTCTCAGCTGCAGGCGCAAGGGCAGATGCAAACTCAGACACCCCAACCAGCTCAGGTGGCCTTGGCGAAGCCTCCGGTAGTGTCTGTCCCAGCAGCTGTTGTGTCCTCGCCTGGGGTCACGACCCTGCCCATGAACGTTGCAGGGATCAGCGTGGCGATTGGGCAGCCGCAGAAAGCAGCAGGTGCCTGCCCCCATCTCCTCAGTCTGTTCCATCCTGTCCTGACACCCCTTTCATGCCTGTGTTGTTTAGTGTAAGTTCCCTCACAGACTTCCAAGTCAAGTTCTGGTGCAAGTTTACCAATTAGCACTGGCATTTCCCTACTCTTACTTAGTCCACAAGCAGAGGCTCATGAAGTTTATCAGGCATCAGGGTCTGCCTTGGTGCAGCCCCAGGGTTGGTTTTCTGTGTAAAGAGTCTGAGCAGAGCCCTCTGTGAGTGAGCACAGGCCTCCCTGGGCCTGATGCTTTGTGACACAGGTGTTCTTGCAGGGCAGACCGTCGTGGCCCAGCCTGTGCACGTCCAGCAGCTGCTAAAGCTCAAGCAGCAGGCTGTCCAGCAGCAGAAGGCCATCCAGCCACAAGTCGCACAGAGTCAGACTGCCGTCCAGCAGAAGGTACGGGGCCCTCCGTGGGGTTTCTCCTGGGCATCTGGGCTGAGGAAGAGGGTCTGGAGCACACAGCTGCATCAGGCCAAGGGCCCACAGAGGATGGCAGGACTTCAAGGGAAGCTCCTATGGGCCCAGTCAGCGTTGCTTGTTGATTTATGTCCTTTTTGAAATGAATTATGGCTGTGAGGTGACGATGATCTAAGGACTCAGCCTGGAGGGTGACTGGAGGTCTGGGAAGATGACTGGGCTCAAGCCCTCCACCGGGAATGAATTGCCTGACGAGGAGGCACCTAAAAGGCTCAGGGAAGCAGGGGCAGGTCAGTGTGCGGCCACTGGGACTCATGCTCCAGGCCACCCAATTTGTACCCCTCCTGGCTTGCAAGGGAGGATGGGTGAGGCGGGGACTGGAGTGGCAGAAATGACTGCTCAGAGGAAGGCTGCTGGGAGCTCAGACCTCCTCACTAGCCAGCACTGTGTACATGGACAAGGGGCATGCAGTGAGATGTCCCTGTTTCAGGGGCTCCTGCTCTTAGGCTCTTATTGGTGGCATCAGCCCCAGACCCCCTTGGCTTGCAGGTGGCTGGCTTCTCGTTGGCACTCACCGTGATCTCTGTGTATGTGCTGTTTTCAGGCCTGAAGCTAGAACATGGCCTGATTTGGAACAGGGGCTGCCCCAGTGCGAGCTCCCGCACTTCTCTCTCCTATACACTGAACACCAGCTGAGAGCATGGTATCTTGGTGCTTACCCCCTGAAGGGAGTGTTAGCTGAGGAGCTCAGGCCAGGGAGAAGGAGGGCTTGCCCAGCATGGCAGGGCTGACAAAAGGTAGTGGGTTGAGCAGCTGACTCCAGTGGGACCCAGGGTCCATGATTACACAAGCTGGACCACTTGGACCTCTAAGTCACTGTCACACCACGCAGAAGACCTGCTGTGAGGGTCTGGGAAGGACGGAAGGAAGCATGCTGGTGCCTGGCAGTGGCGAGCTTTGTGGGAAAAGTGGAACAGAAAACGAGGTAGAGCTGTCCTTGGGAATGCAGGCGTGCACGCAGAGGACTCAGTACCCCCAAGGGGTACTGAGGATCAGGGTCTGTGCACACAGGGGCAGCAAGGGCTGAGGTACCTGCCCCGTTGCAGCTGGACAGGTGTCATCCTTATTTGGGAGGTGTGTGCACCCCACCTCTTGGAGGTGTCTTCTCTCTGTGTCAGGCAGTGTGAAGAAAGAAACACCTGCAGAATCACCTTCCCAGGCCTCAGGAGTCCTGAGGAGCAGAGGTGGCCTTGTGGGCACCCAGGCTCTGGGAGGCCCAACAGGCGAGTGTGCTGCCAGGCCTGCTTCACCCCTGGAAGAGTAGGAGACAAGCCTTGCCTGACATCTGATTTATGTTATGAGTACAAGGCCGTGGCTTACACGGCAAGCACATGGCCATATCATGCATGACCTGAATAGTATTCAGTTTTCCTGGCAGAGAAGACTAGAAATTTGATTGACTATAGGTTGGGTCAAGTTCAGTCACTTGCACAGGTGAACACTCCCAAGTGCTGAGGAGGGCAGCACTGAAAGCCTCTGTGTCTGTGCAGACACACTCCCCAAACAGGGAAAAGGGAGCAGGTCGGCCCACTGTAGAGGCTGAAGTGGCACCTGGAGGAGGGTGCTGGCAGGTCCAGGACAGAAGGACAGGGCAGGACTCAGAGCCTGAAGTGGTCACTTGTGGGGGTTGGGGAATGTTGTGAGGTGCTGGGGCCACATGGTGAAGACCCCCGAGGTTTCAAAGGGCCTTCTATGCAGGTTTTAAGCATAGGCGTGGTTCTTACCCAGCTCTCTTTTCTTTAGCTGACTGCTCAACAGATTGCTGCTCAGGGCCCCCAGCAGAAGGTAACCTATGCCACGCAGCCAACCCTTAAGACCCAGTTTCTAACTACGCCCATCTCCCAGGCTCAAAAACTGGCCGGGACTCAGCAAGTGCAGACCCAGATCCAGGTGAGCAAGGCACGCATCCCACAGATGGGAGGGCTGTGTAGCCGGGATTATGGGTATGAGCCTCTGGGTGAACCGTGTACATTGCCATTTTAATCTGCAACTTTGCTGGGCTGTCACATTTGAAGAGTTGGCCTGTACCCAGCCCTTTCATCTGTAAGTGAAGCAGTCTGCTTCACCACATCCCTCCTGCCCTGTTCCTTGTCTTCTTGCCTTCTGTGTCCACAAGGACCTGAGCACAGAGGTGGCTAGGAGATGTCAAAACATTCACTAACCACACTGAACATGGCATTTTCAGTTGTTTTATTAGTCATTGTGCCTTAGGGTGAAGACAATTGTGTTCTTTTCTAGTTTGGTAGACCTTTTTGGTCCTTTTTTGACATTGTGGGTTCATCCTTCCTCCCTGGAAGCCACCTGTAAGTCCTGTCCAAGGGCTGCAAGTGCTGAGTTCCAGACTTGATTCCACAGGCACTGGAGCCTGGCCTGTGCGTGGCTGGGGGCCCAGCAGTCTGATCTGGAATATAATCAGGTTTTTTGTGTGGCTGGCTTTTTGAGACGGAATCTCAAACCCAGGCTGGTCTCAGTCTCACCATTCTACTGCCTCTGCCTCCTGAGTGCTGGGGCTACAGGTATGGCCAGCACAACTGGCTGAGCCTGCTTTTGTCCCTGTTCTGTAAACAGGAGACCAGAGTGAGGGGCAGGGCCTGTGAGGGGCTGTCACAGAGCCCTCCGGGAGCCTACATTACTTCATAGCTAGTATTCATGCTAGCTCAGATCGCACAACTGATTCCAGCCCCCTTAGCATCAAGACAACAGGAGGTGTGCAATGAGATATCTGTGGAAAGAAAGCATGGCGGAAAGTTTTGTTTTACAATAGTGAGCTCTCAATTATGAGTTACGAATGACAGGGTAGCCACTCTCCAGACTGGAGCTGGAACTTGGTGTTCTGATTCCAGACCTCTCTGTTCCCACTTAGCTATGTCTGAGACACGGTGCCACTTGCTACAGAGGAATGTCATCCAACCCTACCATGAAGCAGAGCCTCTGAGAACTCACGGAATGATAAATGCTTAATTCCTTCCCCAGTCTTAATTCTTTCATCTGAACTTGGAGCAGTTTTTATTGAGAAAAAAAGTTTGAGAGGCTGTAGCTTCAAGCGGTAGAGCACTTGGGAGGCCCTGAGTTCAATCCGCAGTGCTGCCAGTGATCGAATGCATGAATAAATTAATGAATGAGTCAGAAAGCTTAAGTTACGGCAGATTGCCAGTTAGGAAGGTGGTTAAGTGAGGTCCCTCACCTTCTCAGTGGGCACACTTACGACTGACTTCTGTGTTTGGATGTTTTGTTTCGTTAAAGGTTGCAAAACTTCCTCAAGTTGTTCAGCAGCAAACACCTGTGGCCAGCATCCAGCAGGTTGCCGCTGCCTCTCAGCAGGTAGGATGTGGGAAATCAAGGTAGCCCAATCAATCACGTAGGCTTTTTAATAAACTTGACACTTGTTGGCATTTGGGGTTTTATCCTGAGGAAGCAGAGTGTTTCTGATTAGAGAATCATTTTTGATTCTCATGATGGCCACAAAAATATTAGCTGTCAGGGCAGAAGTTGCTGTCCTTACTAGGAGAAAGCAAGCATCATCTGGGCCTGCCTGGGCCACTGTGCTGAACGAGACTCCTGCACCCAGTAGGCACCGTGGATGTGTCCCGTGACACACAGCCACTTCCACAGACCTAAGGACTTTGCCAGAGGGGGAGCCTGAACACAGACATGCTTCCCCTTCCTCACAAAGGGACTTCTTACCATATCTGTTTATGGTGCAGAGAGCAGCACTGTTTTTAAATTTTTACTTTGTGCAAGCCACACTGGCATAGGACTTGAGGAGCCCGATAGTGCCAGACCTGCCCACTGACTGCTGGCCCCGCTCTCCCTGCTTCTCCAAGGCTAAACACTGCACCGCTTCCTTCCCTACTTGTCCCATTAGAACCCATAGGCCTGCTGGGTATGGCTGACGCTTCTCACATTCATTGCAGCAGGCTGGCCGGGGCTGTGCTCTGGTGACATATGTGTTCTCCCCCGCCCCCAGGCTTCTCCACAGACAGTGACACTCACACAGGCAACAGCGGCAGGGCAGCAGGTGCAGATGATTCCCACGGTGACAGCCACTGCCCAGGTGGTGCAGCAGAAACTCATACAGCAGCAGGTGGTGACAACAGCCTCGGCCCCACTCCAGAACCCTGGTGGCCCAAGCCCAGCACAGGTCCCAGCCAGCTCCGACAGCCCAAGCCAGCAGCCCAAGCTGCAGATGAGAGTCCCTGCTGTGAGGCTGAAGACGCCCACAAAGCCCCCATGCCAGTAGGTGGGAAGGCGGGCCCACCAGGCAAAGAGGCCTTCCAGACAGGGAGCACCAAGCTGCTTCTGGATTCTCGTGGAGAGCACCGTGTAAGACAGGCAGCCCTGGGCAGCCGCTGTCGGCTCAGTCCTGTAACATTCTGTTAAAGTGCACTGAGCTGCAGGAAGAGTGGTCCTTCCTGCACACACCTGTCCACCTGTCTGTGTATGTGACGAGTTGGGAAAGACGGTGATGCTTTCCTGATTGCCTCCTGGGCAGTGGTACTGTTTTGAAAGCAACATGATACGTTAACGTGTAGTATTCGGCATATCCCAGAAACCACTGGGCATGTGCAGTGAGCCCTAAAATGCTCTGCTGCTAACACGTGGTCTTTGGCACTGTCTGCTGTGATCTGAGCAGAAGACACATCGTCAAGGAAGAGGAGCAAATACAGCAGACCGCCTGAGACTGGTTGCTCGCTCCCAAGACACCACTGTGGCTTTCCCTCCCTCATTCAGTGCTGTTTGTTTTATCTTTTAAGGGAAATACTTAGTACTGACACCTAGCTAAGTAGCTGATGTGCTCCGGGCTTGCACGTGAGGGCTGTGACCTGTGATTGGATCTTCATTCCAAAGATCAGCCAGTGTGGCCTCTAGCCCTGCCACAGTGGGTTGGCTTTCATTTGAAGGATGTTTTTGGGACTGACACCATCTCTGCACACCCATGAAAAGCATCCAGCTTTGGCCATAGCTCATGTTTGGACCTGGCATGCCAGACATTTCCAGGGAAGCCTTGTGAGGCTCCAGTGCCACACACATGCTGTTAGGTTGCAGATGGCACACTGAGTATGTGGTAGGTGAGGTGGCTTATGGAAGCTGGGAGTAATGTCACAGACCCCTTTGCTACCTCCCTGGCCAGGGCTTGGCCTGGAGCTCTGAGGTCCTCCTCACAAGGCATTCTGTCCATGGATCTGGAGGTGGACCCAGCAGGGCCAGCCACGTATGCCTCCTGAGCGATAGTGCGCCTATGGTTCTGCCAGTCAGCTGCTGTGGCAGGCCTGCAGCTGAGGGGACAAGGCAGGCCAGTGTTCACTCATGCTCATTTTTATTACGACAAGGTAACACCTGCAGCTTTCATGGGCACAGCGGGCTGATGGTGGCCCTTCACCTTGCGTATTCACCACAGCAGAAGGTCTTACCCATCACTGTTCTGCAGCCATCTGTGGCCGGGTTACACCACTGGTCCAGGAAGTTGGCCTCTGTTGGCTTGTGCACCCTTGACACGGCACCCTCCTCGCAGTGTGGGTGTGTAGTGTTTTCACTGTAGCTGCTGTTCCCATCCCGTCGCATCCGGCCTGTGTGGGCAGGGATTGACTGAAGCCCATCTGAGCCCCTGATGCGAAACTTGGAAAAAGTTGAGGCCAAAAGCAGAAGGGATTTCACATCTGTTACTTGAATGCCTCAACCCAATCTGTGGCTTTCTCATAAACAGCCCATTGTCCTGGCTGGAGTGTGCTGTGCTGGGGAGCATGGCCTCACAGGGCTGTCATGTGACCTCGGGTCTGGTTCCCAGCTGCTTGCTCCCTGCCCTTGTCTTCAGATGTGCAGAACTTGTCAGCACCATGCACTTCATTCTTTGTCCTTCTGCCATGTTGGTCGAAGGCTGCATCACTAACTTAAGCAGGTCCTAGGGGAACTGCCCATGTTCCCACTGAGAGCTCTTGGAATCTGAAACTCTAGGGCATGGTACCTTCTCTCAGAGCAGATCTGTTACTCTGAACATCTGCCATGTGGTCTCTTGCTCATCCTCCTACCTGAGCACCTCCCATCTTTGGAGTGAGTTTATGCAATGAGTCCTGCGTAACGTGGACAGAGGTGTTTTTACTGTCACTTGATTTGGTGACATCCCTGCTGCTCCCACCAGCCTGGGTGAACCTGCTTCTTCCAGCGCTCCTTTCCTGCCTTCCCTTGCAAAGGTCAGAACTGCTAACTGAGAAGAAACTTTGAGTCCGGGAGGGGTCATCTTGGCCTCCTTGCCAGTCAGGGTCATACCAATACAGAGGGCATGAGTCAATGAAATTATTAGAACAATATAAAACAGCAGCCAAGCTACCAGACTACCTGGGCCTCATGGTGAACAGGACCCAGCCATTCTGTAAGCAGGAGGCCTTTGTTCTAAGGAGAAGTAGTCCAGGCCATTTTAAAGTTCCCCAGTGGTGACGCAAGCGGCTGGTGATGCCTGACGGACGGGAGCATCCTTTTTGCAGTTGTTACTGTTTTTGTTCACTTTAAAACCGGATAGCTGTTGTGTTTCAAAAGACTGAAATTGTAAATACTTTGTAAACAAGCATTTGTACTTGCAGAGTAGGATTTTAAAAGGCTCCGAAGTCCTACCAAACAAAAGGCCAAATAAAGTGGTCTCTTTATATACTCTTGGTTCTGTCTTTGATAGAACACTAGTTAAGCCAAAATAAGATGCTGAGTGTGTTCACTTGCAAATGAGCAACAGGGTTTGGGGAGGGTGGGCACCAGAGGAGGATCTAAAAGGAGTGGGCCATGCCCGAGCTCCTCTTCTGCAGGCACTGTGCGTGTGTGTTGCAGGGCCTCATGGAGCCAACTGCGGCTGCACACTGAGGTGGTCCTCGCTCTCAGCACTGGCCACTGCCATTGCTCCTTTCTCTTCTCCTTTGCTAAAAAACAGATTTCTAATTGCACAACATTCCTTAAGGGCTGATAGAGCAGCTCAAGTGGTGGAGCGCCTGCCCAGCAAGCATGAGGCCTGGAGTTCAAACCCCAGTACTGCAAAACAAAAGAAAAATTCCTATTTTAGATATAAATGGCATCATTCTTATCAATCAGTCAAGGTGAAGGTGACGTGCCCCCAGAAGCCCACGGTTGGTTCTGGTGTCTCCTTTTCCCACCACAGAATTGGGAGTGCCCAGGGTGTGAGCCTTGAAGATCTGGCTTCCATTTTTCATTCTACACGGGAAGGACCACAGGCCCAGGGTGTGCTGGGTACCTGCAAGTGATAGTGTGGCCATAGGACGTGGGCCAGTAATGGGGCTTTTGCCAAGCTGCCAGATGCTGGTACTGGGAGGACCCACCTGTGAACACCTGTCAAGCCCTCTGCAGCTGGTGACTGCACTTGGGGATCCTTTCCCTAATTGTGACTCTGTATAAAGGTTCCCTGCCATGGTCCTGACTACGCCAAGTCTCTGCTCTTTTGGCCTGGAGGCTGCATCTGTGTACAGCTGGGGTGGAGGACTGCACAGGGGGAAATGTCAGACCCTAGAGTAGCTCCTCTGAGCCCAGCAGTTGTGAGCCTCCTGCTCAGAGGTCATCACATGACAGCTATGGCTAGGGCCCTCAAACAAACACACCACCTTTACCATAGACCTACCATGGTGAGGCAGGCTAGGAGGAGGAAAAGTTTGGGGCTCGTGGGTTGCCTGGGGATGGCCAGGCCAGAGCACCCTCACCTGGCTGGGAACCGCCTGTCCCCCTCCCCACTCACTCATTATTGGGTGGGAACCTCCTGGGCCTGCCCTCCCATGGGGTAGGGTAGGTTTCAAAGGCACCTGAAAAAGAAAAGCATGCGTCTCTGCTGGCAGACTCCACCTGCACCCACTGTGCCCTCTTCCTGTTTTCCTTCCCCTACCTGGCAGGACAGGTGACTCCCCTTCTCTCAATAAAGCTATCCTCCTCACCCCACCCACGTGCTCTGCTTGGCTTTCTCCATTTGGAATGCAAAAACCAGAATCTTCTGATCACGGACGGCACCAGCACCGTTAATACAGCTGGCGTGGGAAGATGGCTCTCCCTGCCATCACCAGCCTGTCCCTTCCTCTGTTGCAGCTGCCCTTTGACCTTCTGCTTGGGTAGCTAGGGAAGCTTTTCACCACATAGATCTGAGCCTCTTGCACCACAGTGGGATAATTCCCAGAGCCATGTGACCTGGACCCCGTTGCCATCTCCAGCCTCAATTGTCCCCCTCGCTGATTGTGCACGGTCTCTGCAGTTGTCCTCACCTGGCTGTGGCAACTGTGCTCACCCACTTTGTAAACCACATCTCTCTTAGGCTCTTTCCACACTCCAGATTGTTTGTTTCAGAAATACAGTTTGATTTCTACTTGCAGTTGTCAAGAACAAAATCACTCCCAAGCTTGGCGTATAACCAGCAATTCCAGCACTCAGGCGGTGATTGTATCTTAAGCCAACCAGGGCTATGTAGCAAGACTCAAAAAATTAAAAATCAGTCACCCTTCTCATTCACGCGTCCTAAAGACCTTGGAGTGCAGCTCCTACCTAGTCACCTAATGCCCAGTCCAGCCCTCAGCGTAGCTTCTTCCCTTGCCCAGGACCTAGACCCAGACAGGGGGGCCCTAAATGATCAGGAACTCCAGGTGACATAGCCCCTCCCTAAAATTGCTGAACCCCAAAGCACTGAGCACCAGCAGCTCATCTTCACTGCAGCTTGGGCAGCTTAGAGCAGCCAGAATCAAACATTAATGGTAAGATTATCTTATGAATCTTAAAAGTATTGTGTCTGTTCTTGTGCTTACCAAGGTTATTCCAGTACTGGAAAGTATGTCTGTGCATCCCAAGCACCCATCTATCCGTTTGCTTTTAAGTCATCTGCTCAGATGGAAAGCCAACATATGACCTTCAGGACAGTCCTGGAGATTGGTGTGAGTGCAGGGAAGGTACTCTGGGTACGGGGGAAGGTGAGCCTGACTCTCAGAGTGGAAGTTACAATGTGTTTGCCTGAACCTAGGGCCAACAGAAATTTTCCAGATGGTTACAGGGAGGGGGGAAAAAATTTTAGGCAGCAGTAACAGCACCCACAGGGGTGGTGCAGGACATAAGGCAGGTAGGTCCAGATCCCAAAGGGATCCCCCCTCTCCAAGTCCCAAATTCCCAAGGGCCAGTATTGTAAGCCGTGCCACTGAGGACAGCACCTGCGGTGTGTGCCGAGTGCTTTTCTACAGACCTAGGATATCCTGTGAATTAGGGGGCAGCTGGAGGGGCCTTCAAGAGGAAGGTGACCCATTTGTGCTGCAGCCATGGGGGCCAGGATCAAGGGAACTCAAAGGTATAAGCTCCATACCTGAATCATTTTCTCTTACACAAGCGGAACCAATCTGTCCCCCACCCACTTTTTTTTTTATTATATAAAACTAAGAAAGAGCCTTTTTATAAACAAACAGACTAGTGGTATGAGAACGTTCTTGTGTGACACCTGGGTGCTACCACTGTGGAAACGCCTTTGAGGCCACCCTCCCCGTCCCCGTCCAAATGACAGCAGGGATGGGCTCACTGATGCTTTCTGCAGACAGGGAGATGCCAATTCTGCAGCATCAGCTCCAGACTAATCCTGACCCTTATCACGCACGAGGCAACTGTCGTCATTCTCGCTGGAGCGTTTCCAGAGACCAGTGGAACCCAGCCACAGTGGTGATGTCACAGGCCTGAGCCGAGTGCCAGGCTGCTTGGAGAAAAGGGCTGTTTGCTCTGGCTACTTCCTCAGAAGCCCAGAGGAACTCCATCTTCTGCTCACACAGCACCCAGTGTGCAGGGTTTTTCCGGTCAGAGAGTAGATGGTGACTAATTTCAGCAGGAGGATCCCTCCATTTCCCAAGAGCCTCTGCCTAGACCGCCTTCAATTTTTGCTCTTCCTGCAGGAGAAAGGGGGACTTGACACCGTGCCCCTGCTATCTGCAAGCCCCCAGCCCAGCTCCTGGGAACCCGAGGAGGAACAGGCTTGTGCTCTCTGGGAAGGATCTTCGCAGCCTCAGGCCAGGTGTTCAAGGGTACACAAGTCCTGCCCTCCTGCACCTCAAAATGTGTGACAGTGTCTGCTCTAGAGCTCCTGAGGTTTGATTTGTAGGACCCTCACCCTGAGCTTAGTGGTCCTCACCTTGACAGTCCTCTCCAGCTGAGACAAGGCCTCCTCATACCGAGGGACTAGCGGCTGCAGGAGCTCACTGGAGATCTCACAGCGCACCAGCTCAGGCACCCCAGCTTCTGCCAGCATCCGGAGGAACTTCTTTTCCTGTAAGGAGGGGTCTCGTGTGGGAAGTGTTTCTGGACCAGTCCCAGCACCTCTAGCAGCAAGAGAGTCGTGTGCGGAAACCCACACAGCCTCACCTGCACTTTCAGGAGTAGTGTGAAGGCCTGTCCTGTTTTTCCAGCTCGGGCTGTTCTCCCTACCCTGAAATAAGACACAGATGTCTTCAGAAAACAGCCTTGACCCTTTAGGAACCGAACAAAAGGACGGCTTCTCTCTCCTGTCCACACCCCAACCAAACCTATGCAAGATGATCCCACATGTGACACTCAGCAGCTCACAGGCCTCGGATTCCCAAGAGGCCATGGTGGGCCAGCCCTCACCGGTGCACGTAGGTCCTCAGGTACTGAGGGGCATCGAAGTTGACCACCAGCTCCACACCTTGCACGTCGATACCTCGGGCAGTGGCGTCTGTGCTGATGAGGCTGATGGGATACACGCTCTAGAGTCTCCGATGCCCAGGAGCAAGGACACCCACACCTGTGCCTGCCTGCCTCAGGGTGGGGGTGGGGGGAGACTCCAGGGCACATTTCCAGAAGCAAGTGCCCTTCAGAAAGACCCCAGGCTGATGGATAGCTGGGGCGAGCACCTCACCCTTCCTAAGTACTCACAGCTGAATCTTGCCCTGTTCAAACTGCTTCAAGATCTTCTTCCTCTGGCCAGGTCCATAGCGGGAGGAAAACTCAGCCACATTCACACCTCCGAAAGCTTGCACTAACAGGAAGAGCCTGGGAGAGACAAAGCCAGAGCCAGGTGGTGCCAGGGCCTCAGCCTGCCTCAACACATGCCCCAGTAGCTTACCTGTGGGAGCTATCTCGTGAGTTGGTGAAGCACAGAGTCCTTGAGAAGTTCATCCCAAGGACCAGGCGCAGGACAGCGAGTGGCTTGGAGCTGAGGCTGCAGGGCACATAGTGGTGCTGTGGGAGATGGCAGAGGCTGGGTAGGAGCTGTGGAATTGATGTCCCCTAACCTCAGTGTCTACTCAACTTACCGTGAGCCCCACAGGAAAGGTGTACTTCTCCCCCAAGTCCTCGTCCACCTCGACATCTTTGTCTTTGAGACCCCTATGCGCCAGGCCCGTGGAGAAAAGCCGGGGCTGGTAGAGACCAAGCTGCTGTAGCTTCTCAGGGTTCTGGGTTAGGGTAGCTGAGAAAAGCAGCTTCTGCAGAGGCATCTGCGGGTAGCAAGTGCTGGAAGGCAAGGGGAATGCTGGCAGGATGGGCTCCTCACAGCACCCTGACTTACCAGGCAAGGACAACCATGGGACTCACACATCCTCCCCTTAGCACTGAGAAAGGAGTGCAAGGTGGGGTACCTGCGGGCAGTCACAGCCTGGGGCTGCCTCCTTTGGAGCAGGGCACAGGGGTCCACAGGGTCCCCACTATGAAAGGCCGCTGCCACCACCCGTGGCAGCCAGGACTGATGCATGCTGTCTATCATCCGGTCAGCCTCATCAATCACCTGCAGGAGGCAGGAGCCAGGGTTGGCTGGAGACACCTGCTGAGGTCAATCCTCAGTTCAAAGCCAGGCTTCAGGGTAGGCAGCCTACCAGAAAGCGCAGCTGTTGGAGACTGAATCCTGGGGTCTGGTCGATGTGGTCCACTAGGCGGCCAGGTGTGGCCACCACAATGTCAGCCAGGCAGCGGTAGCCATCTGCTCTACAAACCAGTAAGACTCAACCCAAGAAAGTTCCTTTCAGGACCTCTTCACAACAAGCACTGCCTGCTTCTTAAAACACAACCCCATCCAACCCTGAACACCTACGTCTTCTGGACGAGGCTCTCCTGCTCCTTGGCCAAAGACTTCTGTCCAGTAACCAGAGCAACACGTAGAGGAGTGGCATCTGTGTAGATGTTGAACACTTTGCTCACCTACAGGAGAAGTCTGTCACCAGCTGGCCAGGCACTAGCACTCCCCACACCTAGCAAGGAAGACCCTGGCTGCCCTTGGGCTGGGCACACAAATGCCTGCTGGGGCAGTTAAGGCTGAAGGTGCAGACTTCCAGGCGTGGGGGTAGATGTACCTGCTGGGCCAGCTCTTTGGTGGGCAACATGACCAGGGCACGGATGTGGCAGACCACACGATGCAGCAGGGCCTGCAGGGAGAAAGGGCCACCCAGGTGAGCAGGCTGGCTCCTTGCCGTGTCTAGCTAGAGGGGAAGGGGACCTTCACGCTCACCTGTACCACAGGGATGACAAAGGCCAGTGTCTTCCCACTGCCTGTTGGGGCAGAAACACAGAGGTCGCTGGGCGGGTAGCCACCTTTGCCAATCAGAAATCCACCGGCTGCACTCTCAAGGAGGGCAGGAATCACAGCCGCCTGGACTGGACCAGGAAGAGCGAAGGATCAACTTTATGTCAGAACCAGTCACTTGTCCAGAACACGTCTTGCTCAAAGAAAGTACTAGGTGGGGAGAATGGGGTGTGGGAGGCCCAAGTGGTCACCAGAAGCTTGACACCAAGGTGCACTTGAACACGAATGTGGCAGGGCTCCTGAGCCAAGGCCTTCAGCCTGGACGGAGCTCTCCACGATTGTCCCCCACCACCTGCCCTGGACTGGGCACCTGGAAAGTAGGAAGAAATCCCATGTGCTCGCAGCTGCTTCTGCAGGTCAGGGTGCACCTCGGGGATGGCCTCGATTGGAGTGAGATCCTCCGTGACGTTCCTCCTGACACCGCGTGGCTCAGCCAGCCACAGTGGCAGGAAAGGCTGAACCTAACCCAAAAGGAAAGAGAGACAGCATTCCACAGTGCCCTCCAGGCCGGGGTGGCAGAGCAGAGCGGGCAGGAACCAGGCTGGCTGCCCGAGAAGGCTCTGACCAGTCTCCATTCTCCTCAACCCCTTCCCCCAACTTTCAGCGCCCCTCATACGACTAAGGAAATTAAGGAACAGGCAGCAGACGCCCTCCCCTGAGCCCACCCCGAGACCTCGCATCCATCGCCCCAGGGGAGCCCACACTCTCACCGCCCGGTTCTTACGTCCGAGCTGCCCTGCCCCGCACCCCGCAAATCTCAAGCTCGAACAACTTTCCCCGCGCCCCAGGACCTCCGCACGGCCTCGCCCGGGCAGCTCACCTTGGGCGCCTTCCTCCTCGTGAAGCCCCCCAGCACCGGGCCGCGGGCCTGAGGTTCGGCCCCCTCCTCTGGGGGCCGCTCCCCTGGGGTCGGCTGGGCCTCGGCTCTCTCGGCGCGCGTCCCCGGCGCCGTCTCGCTGCTCCCTGCGCGGCAACGGGCCCCGGGGGCGTCAGCGCCGCCGCCCGCCCCGGGAGGGAGGGAGGCTCCACGCCCGGCCTGCGACGTCCCGATCACCAACCTCCTCCAGCCGCCCACCTGGGTTCGCGTCCTCGCCGTCCGCTTTCCGACGCTTCGCCCGCCGCGCGTCGGGGCTCTGTGACGCTGAGCCGCTCGGCCGCCGCCTCCGCCGGGGCCGCCGCCGCCGCCGCCGCCTGCCCGCCGGCTCCGCGCTCTGCACGGCCGTCTCGGGCTGTCGCAGCTGCTGCCGCTCGCGGGCCCGGCACTGCAGCCGCTCGAGCAGTGCTCGGGCCCGACCGCGAGCTCCAGCCTCTCCCTCGGCTTCGGCCTCCGCCGACCCGGCCTTGGGGTCCGAGTACCGCGCGACATGAAAGAGCGCCATAGCCTCCAGGGGCCGCGCGCACGGCGATGACGTAGCGCCGAGGAGACGGCGCGCCGGCGTGACGTCACGGGCGCGCCGGGGGCGCAGACGTAGGCAACCATTACTCTGCGCGGTCGGCGGCAGCATGGAGCGGGAGCGAAAGCAGAGCCCCGCGGACGCGCGTCGCACGCTGGGTCGCCTGCTGCAGGCGGTGCTGGCGAGCCGCGCCGAGGCCAACTCCGTGTTCGACATTCTGGCCGTGCTGCAGGTGCGAGACTTGGGTGGGGGCTGCGCTTCCAAGGTGTTGAGAGCGGGTGGAGGGTCGGGGTGGGAGGCGTGAGGTCACGCCGGGGCTAAGGGTCTCTCCGCCCGGCCTCCCGCCGCAGTCTGAGGACCAGGAGGAGATCCAGGAAGCGGTCCGCACGTGCAGCCGATTGTTTGGGGCCATGCTGGAGCGGGGAGAGCTATTCGTGGGCCAGCTGCCCTCTGAGGACGCGCTCAGGACAGGTGAGCTTCGCGGAGGGAGCGCTGTCTACACGGGACGAGCGCCCCGAGCCCTGTCATACGACGGGCGGCTTGTCAGAAACACATCAAGCCCACTGTGGGACCTGGGTGGCTCTTTGGGGGCGGGGCGTGATACGGGGATGTCTGTGCCCAGGTTTAAGTGAGCGTGAATGAGGTGTTGCTTCTCCGCTTGTGAACTGTTCCAGTTAGTGCGATACTGTCACTTAAAACTGGGGCTTTGTGTCCCAGTCTTTGGGACACCCCAGTCCTAGGTCACGTTAAGGGATGGCGAGCTGGGTTGGGGGCAGTGCAGGTTTAGATCTGCTCCCTGTGTTTGCAGGGCTCAGGGAATGACTGGTACTGAAACCCTAGGTGGGGTCTGGGGCTGAGGGCAGTGGGAGGGTGGGACGGGGTTTAGGACATTGGACCCACACCTGGCATAGGTGAGCATCATGTGGAATGATCCCCAAACCCTGCCCGCAGGGTCCCGCGGAGCCACGCGTAAGTACAAGGTGTGGATGAGACACCGCTATAACAGCTGCTGTAACCGCCTGCAGGAGCTGCTGGCCCACCCGTCCTTCCAGGTCAAGGTGAGGCTTGGGGTTGCTTTACCTTTGTCCATCCACCTCCAGAGCTCTCCACAGAGCAGAGGATTCCTCTTTCTAGGCTTCTGTGCTTAAGGGTGTTTTCTCCTCAGACACAGCCTCCACTACTCTCCATCTTTTCACGTGTGGCTGTTTTGTTTTATGAGGTCACATGTCTGGTCCTGAACATGCAGAGTTCGTGACCGTGATCTTAATGCTGAGCTCTGCTCTTCATCAGGCACCATTCTGGCACTTCCTGCTTGAGTGTGAGGTTTGCAGAGGCATTCTCGACACTCGGTGACATACCAGTGTGCACTCGCAGGTCAGATCCTATTCCCAGTCCAGTTTTGATTCTAGACCTTACCCACGTCCCACAGGGCACGGAGGCCCAGATCATGGCTAGCAAGGAGTAAGATAAGGCAGGACGGTCTTTCCCCTGGCCCAGTTCTGGGCCAGGTTTTGAGGGGCCCCTAGGCTGGGGTGAACTCTGTGGGGCCATCTGGAGGGTGGTGGTGTCGTGGCCATTCTGCCTCTTGTTTTCTAGGAACTGGCCCTCAGGACACTCATGAAGTTTGTACAGCTGGAAGGAGCACAGCCCCTGGAGAAGGCCCAGTGGGAAGGCCACTACCTGTTCCCCCACACTCTTTTCAAGGTGAGGGTCACATTGGCCATAAGTGCAGGCTCACCCTGAGCAGGGGCTGTCTGAGCAGATGGTTGGAGGAACAGGCCGTTTCTCCTCACCTTGCCTTGGGAGCCCTGAGACACTAACCACCCACTGGTCTCTTGGGAGCCCTGAGACACTAACCACCCACTGGTCTCTTTGGAGGTCTTTTGGCAGTGGAGAGGGGTTTGGGTGTGGCAGGCAGCTTGGCAGGGCTTGGCACCTGCCTGGCGCTGCTGGCACTGTTGGTGAGGAGAGGCGGCTCACCACATCTCTGCCCCAGGCAGTGGTAGGAGGTCTGCTCTCACCTGAAGAGGACCACAGCCTGCTCATCTCCCAGTTCTGCCAGTACATGGAGTATGATGATATTCGCTACCACACGATGCAGGCAGCCACGAGCACCACGGCCCGGATCACCAAACAGCAGACTGAGGTGAGCGATCGGGTCCCATTGTCATCCTGTGTCACAGCACTGCACGGAGGCAGATGGGTGGTGGGGTCCGGCTAGGTGTTCAGGCCAGGCTTCCTGCAGGTGCCCATCATCTTCTGGAACAATGCCTTCGCGCTGCTGTCTGCTGTGAGCTTGCCCCATCAGGAGTGCAGTGTCACCAGCTTCTATGTGAAGCATGCAGGTGAGTGTCCTGGGCAGGTTGAGCGGAGGCTGGCCCTGCACCCTGGCAGGAGGCGCCGCAGAACAGGGTCTGAGTTTAGCAGCCCAGTGAACTCCTGCCTCCATCTCGTGTGTTGTGACTGCTCGCACCTTTCTGTCCTTGCAGAGCTGTCAGACAAGTGGAAGGTCACTCATCTGAAGGTGAGACACTCCCAGAGGCTCACTTGCCTTCCGTGTAGATAGAACACCAACTGACGTAGGCAGTGATGTGTACCTTGTGTTGTCACATCATGCCACTTCCACGTGTCATTTTGTGATCGGCGTTAGACCCGAGCATTCTGTACTTCCTGTACCTGCAAGGGATGTGCTTGTTCCTCTGACCCCTGGCGCTCAGGTTCAAGGGCTTGCATGTGGTCATGAGGAGGGGTAGATGGCAGGGCTGGCGAGGGCCTCCTCCCCAGCGCTAGGGTCGGAGGGGAGGGTGTGTGCTCAGCCTGGCCCAATTGCAGGAACACAGGAAGGCATTCCAGGAGATGTGGCTCGGCTTCCTCAAGCACAAGGTAGGACATGGTGGGGTAGGGGCTCCCAGGTCTCGGGGGGGTAGCCAGCTACACCCTGACCACCTGTGATCTCCCCAGCTGCCCCTCAGCCTTTATAAGAAGGTGCTCGTGGCCATGCACGACTCCATCCTGCCCCACCTGGCGCAGCCTACCCTCATGATTGACTTCCTAACCAGCGCCTGTGATGTGGGTGAGCAGGGGTAGTGGGCCTGGGTTGAGCTTATGCATCTTCTGACTCACAGAACTCTGTTCCATTCTCATGTGTGTTTGGGTAGTGGCCCATGGGCAGGGGCCCAGCTTTGGAGCTGTACCAGTTGCTGCCTTTTCCAGTTGCTATTAATCCTGTGGGGGGGGTGGAGGTGTGGGGGGTTCGGTTGGGGGGCGGGGGTGGTAGTGGATCATGCCTGGGTCTCACGCCCAGTGACTTGGCTTCCTGCATCGGTCTCTGTGTGTCTGCAGGTGGCGCCATCAGCCTCCTGGCCTTGAATGGACTTTTCATCCTGATCCATAAACACAACCTGTGAGTGTCAGCTGGGAGTTGTCATTGCTGGGGCTTCCGGCCAGCCTACCTGTCCTTCCTGGCCTCCCTCCCCTAGAGGGTCAGGACACCGGGGAGCCCATGGAACTTGCCCAGGGGTCATTGGGGAAGGAGAGGAGGGGGCTGAGGTACTGGCTCCCCTGGTCCCTGGCTTGACCTTCCACCCTCCACCACGGCCAGCTCACCCGTGCATTCCTGTGTCCCCCTCTCTCAGAGAATACCCTGATTTCTACCAGAAACTTTATGGCCTCTTGGACCCGTCCATCTTCCACGTCAAGTATCGGGCCCGTTTCTTCCACCTAGCTGACCTCTTCTTGTCATCCTCGTGAGTGTCAGGAGCACCAGCCTGGCATCAGAGTGGTGTGGGCTGTCTGGGCCGCTGCAAGGCGCCCTGCTCTGTGGGGCTATCTGGGGGTTGGAAGACAGGCTAGGGAGCCCTGAAGTCTAACACCTCGCCTCCCTGTCTAGCCACCTCCCTGCCTACCTTGTGGCCGCCTTTGCCAAACGCCTGGCCCGCTTGGCCCTGACGGCGCCTCCCGAGGCTCTGCTCATGGCCCTGCCCTTCATCTGTAACCTGCTTCGTAGACATCCCGCCTGCCGCATCCTGGTGCACCGTCCCCAGGGCCCTGGTGAGTCAGGCTGGGGCCACAGATCCCTCCTTGTGACACCCCCTGCTGAGTCCCAGTGCACCTCCTGTGGGGAAGGCCAGGTCCACAGACTGCACCTGTGACACCCACTGTTGTGCCCTGGTGCACCTGTGAGGAACGCCAGGACTGCAGGCACCTCATCTGTGACTCCCTGGTACACCACTGTGGGGCCCCTCCCAGCTCCTGCAGCCCCAGGGAGAGGAGATGGCAGATGAGATCTGGATCTTGTTCCTAGAGCTGGACGCTGACCCCTACAACCCCGACGAGGTGGACCCGGCCAGGAGCCATGCCCTGGAGAGCTGCCTGTGGGAGCTGCAGGTGAGGACCCCATGCGCCTGGGCCCTAAAAATGCTAGAGCCCCTGCCAAACAGGCTTCAGCAGCCCCACATCACCTTGTGGGAGCGTGGGGCTGCCTCCTGCAGTTGCTGCTGTTTCCCTGACGAGGATCATGTCATGACAGCACTGCTCCCTCAGTGGCTTGGTTTCACTGGCCGCACCCAAATCAATGAAACCAAGGGGGCTGGGCTCAGGGATGGTTCTCACGGAGGCCTCCTGCGGGGTGCCTGGCCGTGTCCAGTGGCACAGGCAATGTGGCTGCGTTGACAGTACCTGTGTCACCCTCTCCCCACTAGACACTCCAACAGCATTACCACCCTGAGGTGTCTAAAGCTGCCAGTGTCATCAACCAGGTGTTGTCTGTCCCTGAGACCAGCATCGCCCCGCTCCTGGAGCTCACTGCCTACGAAGTGAGGGCTGGGGCACGGGGGTAGGGGCAGGGCCACGGGGTTACAGAGCACTAGGCCTAGACCATTGCTTCTTCCTAACAGATCTTTGAGCGGGACCTGAAGAAGAAAGGGTCAGAGCCAGTGCCTCTGGAGTTCATCCCAGCCCGAGGCCTACTTGGCCGGCAGAACGACCTCTGTGCCCAGTTCTTTACACTCAGCTGACCCTGGCCACCTTGTTCCCACCCAAATAAATGATTTTGTAGGAGAGCGTGTCTTGGGAGTGTGGGCCTTGAGAGGGGCCGGGCTTCTTAGGCTGGGATGCAGCTCTGCCAGGCAGGGAGAGGCTGCCAGGGTCCTCTGCCTTCACTGCACTGCACGAGACGAGGGACCTGACCTCTGGGCTGGGGCTGGGCTGGGTGTTGCTGCAGCTGCTGTCCCAGGAGCTCCAGGCCCAGGACTCGGGGCTCTGACCCCACCCCTGAACGTCCTGCTGTGGTTGGTCAACCATGCCCATGTCTTCTCTGCCCTGCCCTGGTCAGTTATGGGGCGTGCGTTTGTGTGTGGTCGATACCCCCAACTGGGGAACACTTGTCCTGGGAACTGCCAAGGTTGCAGGCACGTGACTAGAGTTCCAAGGGCACGTGTGGGGCCCGATTCGTCATCGGAGGCTTCTCTGTCTCTCTGGGTGCTTGGAAGTTGCAGCTGTTCACACTAGATGAGCCTGGTTTCCGATCGAGGAGAGGGACCCCACGTTTCCTGTTTAAAAACCCCATTATTCAAGAACAGAAGAGAACAGCGAGATGCCTGGTCTCTTGCGGGGGTTGACGGAGGCACAGGCAGTGGCCTCATTGTTGGGCGCCCTTCGCACCACTCCTGTCCTGTGCTGGCACAGCCCCCTGCATGCCTTTCCCACCCAGAGTGGTGGTCGTGACCCTCGTCTGGCGTCTCCAGGATCTGGCAATTTTGGATTCCAGAGAGCTGCTCTAGTTGCCAGATTGGTCACGGACCCTACGGGGTTTTTTTGGTGAGGCAGGTTTAAACTCGGCTTCATGTTGCAAAGCAGGAGCTCCAGTGCATTCTGTTCTGGTTATTTTGGAGGTGGGGTCTCAAGAACTTTTTTCCCGAGCTGACCTTGAATTGTGATCCTGCTCTCAGCCTCCCAAGTAGCTAGGATTACAGGCATGAGCCACAGGCTCCTGGCCACTGCCTCTATCCTTGTGGGGTTTGTCATGAGGCTAGCTTCCTTTCTTCCCACCCTCCAAACCGCACTGCACTCAGGCCAGGCTGGCTCCCGCCCCACTGGCCACTCCCGAGTTCAGTGTTTTCCTCAGTTGCTCCCACAAAGCAAACCCTGGTTCGAACGTGGCCATGGGGAAACTTGGCCACCCGTTCGCAGCCACGCACACCCACACTGCAGGGGGCCCTCCACCTCCACCTCCACTGCACCCTTGATTACTTGCAAATGTAGTACAACCTGGGAGGCCTTGGGTGTGCTGCGGGGAGGACGGTGTCCTGAGCGCGTGCAGCCACCAGAGGCCACTACAGCTCTCAGAACCTCTGGGGTCTTCCTGCACACTTGTGGGTGGGCCAGGCCTGGGGATCTTTCAATAAATACTCCTAGGCCAAATTAGAATAAGCTTGTAAATCCCAAAACACTCTGCATGTGGGGCTCCTGCTTCCTGAGGCTGCGGTGTGAGCTGTCTGCAGAGCTGCCCTGCAAAGGTCACTGTCACTGCTCAGACCATACATTAGGCCGGGAGGTGCTGGGTACCAGGGTCCAGGGGAAGAAGGTGGATTGTGGCAGCCTGTTTGGGAAGAGTGGTCACCAGCTCAGATGTGGTGCTTTTGTCTTGATCTTGGGTAACTTTCCTTCCTCCATCTTGATCTAACCTGGCCTGCACGGGATGCCTGTGCAGGGTGACTTCACTCCCTCTTTGGAACCCTTGTGGCTGCTCCAGTGCCCCCATGCCCAGCGCAGGCCAGGGCACTCCTAAATCCGAGGCCTCCTCGTGCCCAGAGGGTATTCACCAGGAATTCATGCCAGGCTCCAAAGCCCATCCGAGCTGGGACACAGTTCCTGCTATGGTGCCCTGCATCGCCGCTTAACTCTATGCTGGCCACAAGGTCAGGTGACATGGGACAACTAGAGTCAGAGGTACCATCGGGTAGGTCACTGTGCCTTCAGTCACCTCAGTGTCTTGGGTTGTGTCCCCAAAAGACGAAGCTCAAGTCCTGACCTCCAGGGCCTCAGAATGTGACATCACCTGGAGACAGGCCCTTCCAGAGGTAATGGAGCAGAAGTGAGGTCGGAGAGCTCTGGCCACGTGGCTGGTGTCCTCATCACGAGGGGACTGGGACAGAGAGATGATTGAGTATGCAGGCTGAAGGGAAAAGCCACAGCAGGGGCCAGCCTAGCAACGCCTGGGCTTCGGACTTCCTGCCTCCAGGACTGAGTAAAGGACCAGATCTGAGGTTCTTTCTTACAGCAGCCATGCTGACAGATACACTTGGACAGCTGTGGAGATGGACCCTATCCAGATTCCAGGGCTGTTGACTCACCCCATCCTTGGCACACCACTCATAGGCTCCACATCACCCCACGGGGGACCTCTGTGGAAGTGACCAAGCAAACAAAACCGGCTTGTGTGGCAGTAGGGCTCATGGACAGCTTCAGGTATAGGGGGATCCAGGCAGTCATTCATCCACACCCAGCTCTTGGCTGTTTGTTGCGCGGTGCCCTGGGGGGGGCCTGCTCTGTCTACCAGGCCCACTAGTGGTGCAGAGCTCCATGGGGTGGAGGGAAGCAGGAGAGGTGAGGGCTGGTAGGGCGCTGGGCTTCCCGCCCACCCCTCTGCGGGAGCCAGGCTGGCACTGGGGCCACGGAAGGGAGTTATAGATTCTGCTGAGCTTGGGTACCAGATGCCAGCAGCAGCTCCTGACAGCCCAGGAAGGACAGTGCATGGGGCAGGGGGAAGACTGGCTGATGTGGGTCTCTGACCCCCGGGAGCACCTGCTGGGGCTGGGACTGACAGGATGCACCGCAGTGCCTCCGGGACCTATTCGCGAGGCTCCCCGTCCATGGTGGACTGTAAACGCCCCTGGGACCTGGGAGGGTGCAGAGACCTGGCCGCCTGGTCGGCAAAGCCCACCACCCTGAGCAAGCGTGAGAGCTTGGCCTCCAGTCGCCCTACCCAACCCCATCCTCTGCAGATGGATGCAGGACCAGACAGGTTTGGCCAGCAGTGGGAGGCAGTGGAAGGGGCCAAGGTCATGGTATCCCCAGCACAAGGGTCTGAGAGGGTGCTGACCCACAGAGGCCCCCTGAAAGCAGTGGGTGAGGTGTCTCTGCCACCCTGGGCAGGCAGGACAGTCCAGCCTGTGTCCTCTTGCTCCTGACCAGTGCGTTACGAGTTCCCTTCCTCTCTGTGCCTCCCACAGCGGCCTCCTCCCACACTCAGCCCACCGCACTCCACCCACCCTTGGAGCCAGCCTGGATCCTCAGCGGAGGCTTCATGCCGGGGTCTGGGTTGTATTTGCAACAGAGAGACATCTCTTCCGAGCCGGAACCTGGGGACTGAGGCTCCCAGGATCAGACGTGGCCAAGCCATTTCCTGAGGCTCCTGATGGAGTAAGATGGGGCCCATGCACAGTGAGCTCTGTCTTTTTAAAAATACTTCAAGATTTTTTTTTCAGGCCAATGACAAAGGCCTTTTTAATGTAGGTATGCCCCCCACAAAATTTGGGGCGTACAAAATGTACAAAAATTGAGGTGAAATTCACACAACATAAAAGTAACCATCAAATGTGGTTTTTTTTGGCAGTACTGGGGTTTGAACTTAGGGCTTCCTGCTTGCTAAGCAGGCACTCCACCACTTGAGCCCCACCCACAGCCCCAAAGTTATTTCAGGGGACACATTTATAGCCGACTCGCACCTGTGGTGTCAGCTGCTGGGGAGGCGGAGGCGGAGGCGGGAGGAGCTTTTCAGGCCTTTTTGCTTTTGTTTGTTTTTAAACAGGATCTGGCTGTGTAACCCACGCTGGTCTCAAACTCACGATTCTCCTGCCTCAGCCTCCTGGTGCTGGGATTACAGCTGTGAACCACCACACCCGGCTGGACTGACCCTCTACTGTGTCCCCAGGAGTGTGTCTTTTCTGGTTCCCCAGTGCACGGTGGGACAAAGCCTCACAAAGCGTGTGTCTGTCTGTCTGTCTGTCTGTGTCTCCCACTGGGAGATGGATGTGCTGCCAGGCATTCAAGTCATACTCACATAAGCAATGAAGACGGTGGCTGGAGAACGCACCCCGGTGATAAGGGATGCTCAAACACTCAACACGCATTTAGCAAATCAGCTGCAGATTTGCTGCGTCAGCCGGCACAATTCCAAGCTGCCAGTCTGTGTTTGAAGCTTCCGCGGACGCTGCCAGCCGACAAGGGCTCTGCGCTGGATGGTGGAGGCGGGCGGCTGCCCCTCTGGGCCAGTAGCTGGTGGTGAAGTCACCGGCTCTGCTCCTGACAGCAAGGAGGCTCGTCCCCACAGGTCCTCAGCTGTCTGTGTGCACCGTGGGCTGCTCAGGCGCTGTGGCCATCCGGAAAGTTACTTCAGCAGTTAGTGGCACAGACGGACGGCCACATGTCACCTCCATGTCTCTTCCTAGGTTGGCTGTTCCTGATTCGGGCCCCTGGCTCCTAGCTAAGTCATCTGCAGAGACCCCATTTCCAAGCAAGGTCATATCAGCTGGTTCCGGGTGGACATGACTTCACCCCAGTAGAGTGCATGGACGCTTGGCGGGGCCCCGATGTCCAGGTGGCACTGCTGGACTTCGCGGGTGACTTGTCTGGGACAGACGCTAGGGTGAGTGGGGATTCCGGTTCCAGGCCTGGCGGGGCCTGGCCTAGATGGTGCTGGGTGGTGGGAGGTTCTCTGTCCTCTGTGGCCACTTGTGCCCAAGTGACATCTGTACTTGATCCTCCTCCTTCTGACAGCAGGGTGGCCTCTGCTGGGTTTGTAGAATTAAGTATCCCTGACTTCTCAGGCTGTGGTTTAATTACAACTTCAAGTGACCACCGGTCCGTAAGTTTCAGTGTTGGGTTGGGGGCTGGAAACTGGCCTTCATTGGCGGGGCTGGGGTCCACAGTTGCCTGCTCCGCACCTCCTCTCGTGGATCTGCCAGCCTGTCAATGCCATGAGTCCCAAGCCCAGCTGGGCCCAGCTCAGTCAACAGCTCTGGAGCCTCACGCTGGATCCACATGGTTCTG